TTGGCTATGCCTCACCGTCTGGACATATCGCGGAGCAGCCACGCTTGACGCACGACGAGCACGGCACGCTGCGATCGCACCGAAGCTTCAGCCTGCGGTCAACATCGTAACACGACGTCATCAGCACAGATCCACGCGCCAAGCACCAAACGGATGGGAGCGAAATGCGGGGGAGGATGGGTGCGGGGAGGGCGGGGGACACTCAGGCACTACTACGCACCGGCGGCATTCAGCACAGGAGAGTCGATTGGCGCCGCGCCGGCGCTTCTTGGCGGCACCCTCGCCGCTGCCGGACGCGGGGTTGTTGTCGCGCTTCGGAGGGGCGGACATGAGTTAGTTTAGTCTGTATCGCGCGCGCGAAGGAGGATGATGCCCGAATGGAGCAATCGACGGAGGGGGAGGAGGGGGACGAAGGGATAGGTCACGGGATGAAGGGGGTAGGGGAAGGACCAAACGGGCCGGGGGAGGTAGGTGGGGAGGGGAGGGGAGAGGGAAGGTGCGACACTCACGGACGGGTCGTCGGACGCGGTATATATCATCGCGGGATATAAACGCTGGGCTGATTTGGGTGTGGTGTGGCTAGAGGCCGGCGGGTGGATGGGGGAAGGGGCGAAGGATCGGGTGGAGGGCGAGAGGGCGGAGGGGGGGGGCGTCGGCGTACTCGTAGATGAGCGACGGAAGCTTGAGCTAAAGATGAAGCCGAGCCGGGATCAGGTGCCGGATGGGGCGAACGCGAAACGGCAAGGCGCCTGCCCTTGGAAGAGATCCTTGGAACCCGTTGGAGTGGGGCCGGACGGGAGAGAATCCCAAGTGGGTGGGAGGGAGGGGGGGTGCGGTGCGGTGTCCGTGGCGCAACGATTCGTGATTTGCGATTACGGGCTTTCGCCTGTAGTTGCCGTTTTCGGGACGGTAAACCACTTCTGGCGTGTCGGTTGTGAATCAGCCCCAGCTGCGTGACGCGGCCGAGGTGTCGGGTTCAGCTCCTCCTGTCGACGATGCGCACGTCTGCCCTTCCTTATGAGCGCCGCCGAGGGGGCATGAATCTCGATTGCGCAAGCAAAACCAAGCTGTGCACCTCCCCCTCTCTTCGTCCTTGATGCTGCGATAATACCGACCGTTGCAGTGTAAACCAAGCAAGATGAGATTGATAGCCCAGATCCCCAGCGCTCCCTGGCTCTTGCCTACCATTCTGTGTTCTCCCGATCGAACTGCACTACCCCTACCTACCTAACCCACACACGGTCCCAGCGCACCGTGCACGAACGCGCGGGTCTCTTGAACTTCGCCTCTTCCCGCCGGCGTTCAAAACGGACGCCCGCCCAACTCCCGATCTCCGCCTATCGCGGAGATACACGTCCGAAAAAGGCAACATGGAGATCGCGATCAGTCTGCCTCGATGGCTGTGCTGCTCAGGGCCGAGAGGTCGGCTCGTTTGTCGGCCCAGCTGAGCGCTTTCATTCACCGAGACTCAAGAGTGGACTCGTCACCGGCCCGCACATCCCTTGCAGATCCCCGCCCTCTAAACACGCCAATGCAATGCATTCCTCCCCGTCCGCCCGATATGCACGCTATCTCTCTCTCTGTCATCAGGGATGACTACGACGATCAACACCAGAACAGACCGTGTTGTAGCTCGTTGTCGCCCCCCCCACATCTCGAGCCCCGTCTCACGGTTGCTGATCAATCCCCTGTCCGCGCCCGCTAGCGTCCTCATGACGACACCTCCCATAACTGAATACACTTACCCTTACTGCGATCTACCGACTCAGCCCTCATGGATCCCTGCGGCACGCGCGGTGACTGTCACGGGAGCGTCGACCCAAAAGCCGGCGGCTGCCAATGCACGACCATCCATGTATCCAGAATCTGGACAACTCGCGACCGCCAGCCCACCGCCCACCCGCCTACCGCGCAGCGCTCCCCGAACCTTACCGCGCTCTCCGTTAACGTTCTTTAATAATGATAAAAACGAAAAACCTTCACCGCGCTTCGACAACATAATCTATCCAAAAAAAGACCCCGAGATAGCGACCGATACCGATATTTCGCAATGGCAATCCCAGAGATATGTAGCTCTGCGCGCCCTATATAATGCGATCAAGCGCTAATAAAAAAATACTGCCCGGGCGCTCGAGCTGGCGGTTGACGATAGGTTATCTCAGTCCCTCTCCTCGTCGTTCGTGTCTTTTCCACCGGCATCTCAACAAAACAAAATTACTTATACCGCTCCGTCGTCTTGCTGCTGCCTCCGCATCATCGCTCGTGTTGTCTCCAACTGCCTTCTCCTTACTCCAGCTCTCTTATTGAAGTTCTAGCGTCAAATCTGACCAAGGGCGCCCCACGCGCGCACGTGGCCAAAGCCTGGCTGGCACGCGCAGCGGCACTTCGCGATCTTGTCATCGTCACCGCGTACGCGTTGGTCGATCAACAGCGGAACACAACCTTCCCCCCCCCCGCTCGTTCAAGAACGCGGAGCGGGGTATGCGGGTTTAAACGGAAAAAAGCGGGGGGAGAGACACGGTAAAGGAAATTTCTAGCGTGTAAGTCCCCCGGATCCGCGCGTTCTCCCTGCCCCGATGTTTGTTTTTTTACAATACCCCCCCACAGCAGGACGAAAAAAACGCGGTGTAGAGGGCGTGTCATCGCCAATGGGCCTAGGCTGACGAGCCCTGGCATATGCATTGCGTCGAATGTTATGCACGACGAAATATCGTCACGGTTGATACACCGCCCCCGTCCGACTTTGGAACGCGGCGGGCGTCGTTGCTGTCGTTGATCCCGAGCTGCCTGAGGCGTCATCGGCTGCGCTCTACTCCTCACCGCTTTTTGACAACGCGCGCCGCGCTATACCATAGCCGGCCGGACGCATTGCAAACAGTCACGAGAATTCCGCTGGATACTATGCAAGGAAAGGTTATTTTTGTCAGTCCTGTAAGGCAGTCCTGCCGAGCTATCAGAGCGCCCGTGCGTCCACTCACCACATACTCACGCTACCCTTAGTCTGTGAAACCCGGACGTCGGGCAGTGTCCTGCGCCTGCTTACAGCTGCTTCGACTTCGCTGAAACACCAACACTCCCTGTTGGCCGATGACCCACGCGAAACACCTTGTTTCTGCCTCACTATTCATCCTCGGGCTCGTGCAAATCTGCACCGAATTCCTTTTTTGGACCAACTAGGAGAGACTGTTTGCCACTTCCCCAACCACTGCGCCCAGTCGATGCTTCGTTCGCCACTCAATCAGATGATCATCGATCGGAACACGACGCGGACATACAAGCTGTCCTTTACACGTTCATATATTTCATTGTCTCTCCAGTGCGGTTGCTGGAGAGTGGCCATGAAAAAGTATGGGTACCCCGCAACTCTTCACCGTGTTCGTCTCGTCGTGATCTTGCTCGCTGGGCAGGTCTTCTCCCCCTGGAGCCCTCGAGGGTTCGAACAGCAAGTCCGCTAGTCATATATCCCACACCCACGGCGTGACGCAGGGTTCCGGCCGCTCGGTCGTATCCTCCATCTTGGTACGGTGCGTGTGGCGGTGCTTTCGCCCAGAAATCCCTACCGCCGCGCATGGCTTCGATTGGAGCTCAGCGGCGCCGAAGCTCACGAGCATGCAGTCGAGCAGCGCGTGCAAACGCAGTCGAGACGAGCGGTCGAGCCCCCGGTGCAGTGCGATGTCCCGATCTGGATTTTGTGTGTGGACGATATCACCAGTGACCATCCATGCTTACGTCTAGATCTTAAAAAGTTCGTCAGGGTATCTTGATTCTTAAATAAAGCATCGAGGAGATAAGGGAGGAACTGAGAAACCTGTGGATCCGGTGTATCGCTACGTGCCCTGCGCACACGAATATTCAACCATCGTGAGCATCTTTTGAATACAACAATTCTCGGTGATACAATTAGTCTTCGTCGCGAAGGAGAGATTTGAATATCGAACGCAGCGCGATCGATCCAAGGTCCTCAATCGTCCCACTGCACGAGCACGACTTCCTCCCTCCAGGCCTCCTTCTCGTCTTTCCCGCCCTGGCCGACGCAGCAGTCACGCTCGCACGAGAACACCATGCACGTCCCCCACTCCATCCCGATCCCCGTCTTCAGCGCCGCCTCGACCTCCTTCCGCCTCGCCTCCCCGTCCGCTGCTGCGGGCGGGCGCTCGGGCCCGGCCATCTTCGGGCGGAGGACGTTGATGAGGTTCGGCATCAGCTGGCACTCGAACACGCGTGCGCCACCGCACGCCGGGCAGGGAGGTACGCTCGCGGGCGAGTACGTCCGCCGCGCTGCGGCGGGGGTGTTGTTGAATGCGGCACGGGTGACGGAGACGGCCGTGCCCGGCGTCGGGTTCACGGAAGGGTCGGGGAAAAGCTTGCGGAACACGTCGTCGGCCGCGTACGGCAGCGGCGTGCCCTTGAGGTCATATCTGTATACAATCGGCAGCAAGGAAGGGGGGGGGAAAACCTCCGTCAGCGATTCGAGTCGACTGCTTGAGCAGCAGTGCAGATCGCGAGCCCCCGCGATGTTACACACCCACCTCACGCATTGCTCACCCGCGTACCCCGCCCGCTTGGTGAATCGCTCGAACACGTGGTCGAGCTCCATCGAGTTCTCGTACCCCTCCAGCCCCCACTCCCCGCCGCCTCCTTTTCCCTTCCCGCTCTCCGCGTCCGGGTCGTCGACGCTCACTCCGGCGGGGAGCTTCGCCTTCGGCGGCGGCGGGAGGTACTCGGCAGTGGTGGAGAGATATTGCGCGGGATAGGCCGGCGCGGCGGCCCACGGGGAGGTGTCGAGCGTCGCGCCCGCCATAGCCGTCACGAGCTCGGATTCGCCGGACTCGGACTCGTCTTCGGGCTCGGGCTCGGAGGAAGACTCTTCTTCTTCGGAGTCTGAGCCCCTTTCGTCTACTTCATCGGGCGCTTGAGTGGAAGACGGGGGAGGCGCGGACGAGCCGAAGAGCTGGTCGCCCAGTCCACCGAAGCCTGCGCCGAAGGGGGTGGCGCCTCCGGGGCCCTTCATCTATCAGAAGCCTCGCATAAGTAAAATGTCCATTCATCCGGACAATATATATCAACAGGGACAATACGTCGGGAAAGAGAAATCAGCGAAAAGGCAAACACAGATAGCGACGTGATGTGGCGGGACACCCATTTCATCCAAAGCCGAAGAAGCCGCACGGCAGAGAAACAATAGATCGGACGACCGAGTCTAATCGTCGTTGCAGAATCCGAGGCGACCCACTGACGCACTGCGCCGATGGTTCGCACGAAGGGGGTGGTATTTAATCTGACTCACGGAGAACGGGTTCGCTTTCGCAGAGGCTTTGGCCTGCGCCTTCTTCGCTTCGGCAGCGGCGCGCTCTTCCTCCTTCCTGCGCTCGCGCTCGCGCCTGCGCGCCAGCTTCTTCTCGAGCTTCGCCGCGTAGGGTGCATTGAAACGAAGGCCACGCCAGGCTCGCACGCTGATTCCGGGGCGGAGAGGCGGAACGAGGACGGGGGCCGGTCGTGATTTTCGGATACGGGCGTGCCGAAGTGGAGGTGAAACAAAAACGGGAAGGACGCATGGTCAGGACCAACGGAGCGGCGTCCCGGTCGGGTGTATCACACACCGAGAGGCGATTGCGTTTGCTCACCTGCCCTCCTTGCGCTGGCAGCCTGGGTTGGCGCATCCCCAAACGTAGATCGCGCGGTCCATCGGGCTATCCTCGAACGGGCACCACATCTGGACGAGCAGTTGCATCGGCTGCTTGCAGTTCGCACATTCGCTCGAAGAGATCGGTGGTTCACGCGCGAGCAGGAAGGCCTTTGAATCGCAAACGCGGTTTCCGGAAAAGCATGCGTGAATTCCACGGATGGCGAGCGATGGTACAGGTGGGTACTACATACGGGAGTGCCGCCTATGCGGGACACCGCGACATCCAAGATGTCCGAGGAGGACGCGAGAGGTCCATCTGGGACGCCTAGCAGGACGTCCGTCTCGACGTCGGTCGATATCTCCTCGTCCGAATCTGACCAGTCATCCTCGACATTCGGTGCCATGAATGTTACAACCTAGAAGATGATGACGTGTCGTTAGCACACCGGCTTGATATACGGACATCAGAAAGCGAAGATTGCGTTTCAGGAATGCATGAATGGTAATTAAAGATGTTATCGTCAAAACCAGGGGAAGAGGAAACCTCAACCACACGCGGCTCAGACTCGTCATCTGAGGATCATCATGAAGACACGAGGCTAAGATTCGTGTCGCACCTTATGTTACAGATAAGCGAGTGAGCCCGGTGAACTGAGGGAAACCGCAAGAGAGAGAGAGGAACAAGGGAGAGATGTCGAAGTCGATGGCACAACGACACGAGGAGGAAAAATCTGCGGGCACCATTTCATTGCCGGAGAACGTGACTTGGCGCCTTCATTCACTGATGGCGCCGGCGCGCTCGTGTCGCCGCAGGTGCATGACGCTCGAGGTTACTCTGTCTACGTCTTTGAATCTCGTTTGGCTACCTACATAGGCTTGGGGTCTTGGAACTGTGCACTTCAATCTTAGTCCTTCTCTCTCACCATGGTTGCTTCCTGGATATCTACGCTGGCCTCGGTAGGGTACTGCATCAACCCCTCGGCATCTCGTCTGAATACTCAAGCGCGAGCATTGATTTCGCCAGTATGGCGGTTGCGCCTCCTCTGGTCTACGTAGACCAAGGCGTGTCCATGGTTAGGAAGAAGTGTGTTTGCGTTGCCAGTTCGCTCTTCCGCGCAGTGTTCTGATACTGTCCTAGGGACTCGACAGGCTTCTCTCGCGACGTGTGCGCTATTCTGTACGTCGGAGCAAAGTTTGCAACACGTATCACCGAGGCTGAGCCGTATCTTCACAGGCTCATAGCGAACATAACACGCTGTTTCTTCTGGCTCGGCAACCGGTTCGAGTTGGCTCTCCTCGTGCAATCCATACTCATGATCCTGGCACAAGTCCGTACTCACCGGAGCGACGCTCCTGCGCTCATGCCGTCACCTTCTGACACCGTTTGCTGATCTTCCGCGTTCGTCCCACAGCTTGCCTTGTTGTACATCTGCATCCGCTTCCGTCCCGCCATTAGTCCCGAGAACATCGGGATGTCGACGCGGCCCTTTGGGTTCTGGCAGTGGCCGACCTATTCTCGCTACGTCGAGTTCCTGGCTGGTTACATGTCAGTCCCCCTTCGATCCGAGCTCGTCGGACTGGGCTTAATGAACGCCGACTTACCGATCACCGTTCTTCGTTATGTCGTAGCTTGTGCTCGGCCATCCTTTTCCTGATATTCGGCCGCTCGGAGATATTCATATCCATACTCGGTTTCTTCGCTCTTGGCTTGGAGAGTACACTGCCTATACCGCAGTTGATTAGGTTCGTACCGCCATAGTTGCCATTGCGCTCGTGACTGCGATCGCTGACAGTCGCGAACAGCAATTACAAGCAGCGTTCGCTGTATGGGTTTAGAGTCACTACCCTACTCGGATGGGTAGGCGGAGACGCGTTCAAGTAAGCCCTTAGACGTTCCAGCATAGCTTCCCGAAGTCTCACTCGCCGGCTTTCTATCATCTTCTATAGGACTGTCTACTTCTTCCTGCAGCACTCTCCATTGCAGTTCAAGGTGTGCTCCATCTTCCAGCTGTCGATCGATCTAGGTCTGTCAGACCTGCTCCGTTCTGTGGTCTCGTTACTCAATGCATTGCTACGTAACAGCTATCGTTGTGCAGGGGTTTGTCTACGGTAGCCCTCCACCGGAAAGCGTCGTGTTGGAGGTGGACGACATCGAGCAGGCGCTTGCTCTTGACCAGGATTAGACTTAGGTGATATCTGCGACTGTACCATGTAGTTTACTCTCTGGTGCCCGTAATGTGTGTCCTACTTGCGTTCGCAAACGCGATTCTGTACGTCAGTCGTTACCCGTCGCAAGCGAGCGTCAAAGCGCAGCTTGCCGCGATGGCGCGGAGGCGCAGTGTTGGCTTCCCTTTTCGGACACGAAAGTCCATCACCTTCCTCCGCCCACCTCTGTCCTCCCCCAGCCGCAGTTTCATCTGCTTGGCTGCCACCCTTTACGACCATGGACGCCTCAAAACCGATAGCGTTTTGTGAACATGTACAGCTCTCCAGCCTTGGCGTCCAGCCGGCCTCGATATCCTTCCAGGTCAGTAGCCAACGCGTCATTGCCAACCTGTACCGCTGCGGGCGCGCATTCTCGACGGCTGACGATGACCTGTCTTGCAGACGTTGACGCTCGAGTCCGACCACTTCATCTGTGTGCGGGAGCAGTTGAATGGGCAGAACCAGGTCGTGATCATCGACCTGGCCGACGCGAACAATGTGCTACGTCGGCCCATCACGGCGGACTCTGCCATTATGCACCCTCATCAAAAGATCCTGGCGTTGAAGGGTACGTGCTCTAGCACTCGCTCTCAGAGACGCAGGGCGAACTGAAACATCAACTACGCGCAGCTGGCCGGACGCTCCAGGTTTTCAACATCGAGACGAAGCAAAAGGTCAAGTCGCACGTCAACAACGAGGACATCGTCTTCTGGAAGTGGATATCTGACTCGGCCATCGGCATGGTCACCGACTCGTCCGTCTACCATTGGTCCATCTCCGACGCCACCTCCCCGCCCCAGAAGATCTTCGACCGTCACCCGACCCTTGCCGGCGCGCAGATCATCAACTACCGCACCACCGACGACGAGAAGTGGCTCGTTCTGGTCGGCATCTCGGGAAACACCACGAATCCGAGCGCGTTCAAGGTGAAGGGCGCGATGCAGCTGTACAGCAGGGAGAGGGGCGTCAGCCAGCCGATCGAGGGTCATGCCGCTGCATTCGCGGAGGTGAAGCTGGACGGGCACACGAAGCCCACGAAGCTCTTCACGTTCTCGGTTCGGACCGCACAAGGCGCGAAGGTTAGCTTTCCTATCGTGATCCACCGTTTATTCCGTCTGATCTCGCTTTCAGCTACATATCGTGGAGATCGACCACCAGGCCCCCGACCCACCTTTCGCCAAGAAGGCCGTGGATGTCTACTTCCCTCCGGAGGCGACCAACGACTTCCCGGTCGCAATGCAGGTCTCGAAGAAACACGGCATCGTCTACCTTGTCACCAAGTTCGGCTTCATCCATCTCTATGACCTAGAGTCCGGCGCCTGCATTTATATGAACCGTATCTCCGGCGAGACGATCTTCGTCACGGCTGAGCACGAGGCGACGAACGGTATCATTGGCGTGAACAGGAAGGGCCAGGTGTTGAGCGTCAATGTCGACGAGAACACCATCATCCCGTACATCCTGACCACTTTGAACAACACGGAGCTCGCGTTCAAGCTGGCGAGCCGAGCCAACCTGCCTGGTGCGGATGACTTGTACATTAAGCAATACCAGCAGCTCTTCGCGAGTGGCCAGTTTGGGGAGGCGGCCAAGGTCGCCGCGAACTCACCTCGGGTATGTGAACGTTGTTAATTTATGTATGGACGTCACTGACGCAATCTTTCGTCCAGGGTATCCTGCGCACGGCGCAGGTGATCGAGTCCTTCAAGTCTGCACCTACTCCGCCAGGCGGCCTCTCTCCGATCCTGCAGTACTTTGGCATTCTGCTAGAGAAGGGCGAACTTAACCACCTTGAGTCGCTCGAACTCGCGCGCCCCGTGCTTCAGCAAGGCAGGAAGCAGCTTCTCGAGAAGTGGCTGAAGGAGAACAAGCTCACTTGCAGCGAGGAACTTGGTGACATCGTCCGCCTCCACGACATGACCCTCGCTCTGAGCGTCTACCTCCGCGCGAACGTTCCCAACAAGGTCATCGCCTGCTTCGCCGAGACAGGGCAGACGGACAAGATCGTCCTCTACTCCAAGAAGGTCGGATACCAGCCGGACTACGTCAGCCTGTTGCAGCACATCATGCGCACGAACCCGGACAAGGGAGCGGAATTTGCGATGCAGCTCGTGAACGACGACTCGGGCCCGTTGGTAGACGTCGAGCGCGTCGTGGACATCTTCATGGCGCAGAACATGATCCAGCCCGCGACTTCATTCCTCCTGGACGCGCTGAAGGACAACAAGCCGGAGCAGGGTCACCTCCAGACCCGACTCCTCGAGATGAACCTCCTGCACGCTCCTCAGGTCGCGGACGCTATCCTCGGCAACGAGATGTTCACGCACTACGACCGCCCCCGCATCGCCAACCTTTGCGAGCGCGCTGGCCTTCTGCAACGGGCGTTGGAGCACTATGAGGACATCGCCGACATCAAGCGCGCGGTCGTCCACACGAATGCCCTTCAGCCCGAGTGGCTCGTGGATTACTTCAGCCGCCTCACGACAGAGCAGTCGATGGCCTGTATGCAGGAGATGCTGCGGGTCAACATCCGCCAGAATCTCCAGATCGTCATACAGATCGCGACAAAGTACTCGGATATCCTTGGCCCTGTCAAACTCATCGAGATGTTCGAAAGCTTCAAGAGCTTCGAGGGTCTCTACTACTACCTCGGCTCTATCGTCAACCTCAGCCAAGACCCCGAGGTTCACTTCAAGTACATCCAGGCCGCTTGCCGTACGGGCCAGATCCGCGAGGTCGAGCGCATCTGCCGCGAGAGCAACTACTACAACCCGGAGAAGGTCAAGAACTTCCTCAAGGAGGTCAAGCTCTCCGACCAGCTGCCGCTCATCATCGTCTGCGACCGCTTCGACTTTGTCCACGACTTGGTTCTTTACCTCTACCAGAACGGGCTCACCAGCTTTATCGAGGTATACGTTCAGCGCGTCAACTCTGCTAGGACTCCCCAGGTTATCGGTGGCCTTTTGGACGTGGATTGCGACGAAACGACGATCAAGAGTCTCCTGGCGTCGGTGACCGGCAATTTCCCCATCGACGAACTTGTTCAAGAGGTCGAGACCCGGAACCGTCTGAAATTGATCCTCCCGTGGCTTGAAGCCCGTGTCCAGGCTGGCAGCCAGGACCCTGCTGTCTACAACGCGCTCGCGAAGATTTACATCGACAGCAACAACAACCCCGAGTCCTTCCTGAAGGAGAACAATCTCTACGAGCCCCTCGTCGTCGGCAAGTTCTGCGAGGCTCGCGACCCTTACCTCGCGTACATCGCGTACGCCAAGGGCTTCTGCGACGATGAGCTCATCGCGATCACCAACGAGAACTCTATGTTCAAGCAGCAGGCTCGCTACCTAGTGAAGCGTCGTCAACCCGAGCTTTGGGCGCAGGTCCTCACACCCGACAACATCCATCGCCGCGCCCTCATCGATCAAATCGTCGCAACTGCGATACCTGAGTGCACCGACCCCGACGATGTCTCCGTCACTGTCAAGGCGTTCCTGTCGGCTGACCTCCCGCTTGAGCTCATCGAGCTTTTGGAGAAGATTATCATCGAGCCCTCACCCTTCAGCGACAACAAGAACCTCCAGAACTTGCTCCTCCTTACCGCCATCCGCGCGGACAAGGGCAAGGTCGTTGGTTACATCCAAAAGTTGCAGAACTACGATGTCGCCGAGATCGCCAAGATCGCGACCGACCACGGCCTGTACGAAGAAGCTCTGACGATCTACAAGAAGTACGAGCAACATGTCATGGCGATGAACGTACTTGTCGAACACATCGTCTCCATCGACCGCGCGTTGGATTACGCTACGAAGGTCAACCAGCCTGAGGTGTGGAGCCGGCTTGCGAAGGCGCAGTTGGATGGTCTTCGGGTGAAGGACGCGATCGACTCCTACATCAAGGCGCAGGACCCCTCGAACTTCCTTGAGGTCATCGAGATCGCTAGCCACGCCGGCAAGTACGACGACCTCGTTCGCTTCCTGCAGATGGCCCGCAAGACGCTCCGCGAGCCCAAGATCGATACAGAGCTCGCGTACGCGTACGCCAAGACTGATCGCCTGCACGACATGGAGGACTTCTTGAGCATGACCAACGTCGCGGACATTCTCGAGGTCGGCGAGAAGTGCTTCGAGGACGAGCTATATCAGGCCGCCAAGCTGCTGTTCACCAGCATCTCGAACTGGGCCCGGCTCGCGACGACGCTCATCTACCTCGGCGAGAACCAGGCTGCCGTCGAGAGCGCGCGCAAGGCCGGCAACACCCAGGTATGGAAGCAAGTGCACGCGGCGTGCATGGAGAAGGCCGAGTTCCGTCTCGCGCAAATTTGCGGTCTCAACATAGTCGTTCACGCCGAGGAGCTCCCCGCCCTGGTCACGTCTTACGAGCGCAAAGGCCACTTCGATGAGGTGCTCGCCCTCTTGGAGGCAGCCCTCAGCCTGGAGCGCGCGCACATGGGCATCTTCACCGAGCTCGCGATCCTGTACAGCAAGTACAGGCCGGAGAAGCTGATGGAGCACCTCAAGTTGTTCGTCTCGCGCATCAACATCCCGAAGGTCATCAAGGCCGCCGAGCGCGCGCACCTCTGGCCCGAGCTCGTCTTCTTGTACATCAAATACGACGAGTTTGACAACGCTGCGCTGGCGATGATCGAGCGCTCGGCCGACGCCTGGGAGCACAATCAATTCAAGGACGTCATCGTCCGCGTCGCGAATGTCGAGATCTACTACAAGGCTGTTTCGTTTTACCTTCAGGAGCAGCCGACGCTCTTGACCGACCTCCTCTCCGTGCTCATTCCAAGGATAGACCACGCTCGCGTCGTCCGCACCTTCCGACAAATCGACCACATTCCGCTCATCCGCCCTTATCTCATCGCCGTACAACACGTAAGTGACACTTGTGTTTTGTTCAAAAAAATCAGCTCACCGCGTGTCTCAGCTCAATATCGAGGCCGTCAACGATGCCTACAACGACTTGCTCATCGAAGAGGAGGACTACAAGACACTACGCGACTCCATCGATAGCTTTGACAACTTCGATAACATCGGTCTTGCCCGGCGGCTAGAGAAGCACGAGCTTCTGGAGTTCCGACGACTGGCCGCCCACTTGTACAAGGTCTGTGCTCTGTGACCCTCATCCCGCCTCGCCGCAGGCTGACGAACTTGCCCATAGAAAAACTCGAAGTGGGACGAGTCGATCGCGCTGTCAAAGCAGGACAAGCTGTACAAGGACGCGATGGTTACCGCTGCCACGTCCGCCTCGCAAGAGGTCGCGGAGGACCTGCTGTCCTACTTCGTCGACATAGGCAACAAGGAGTGCTTCGCGGCGACGCTCTTCATTTGCTTCGATCTCCTGCGCTCAGACCTCGTCGAGGAGCTCTCATGGCAGCACGCACTCAACGACTTCTACATGCCGTACAAGATACAGGTGCAGCGTGCGCTTGTGGACAAGGTTGCGGCATTGGAGAAGCAGGTGAAGGAGCTCGCGACGAAGGAGACGAAGAAGGAGCAGCAGGAGGCGGATGCGCCGATAATCAACCCGGGCGGGTTCGGCAACAGGTTGTTGTTGACGCAGGGCGGGTAAGGGTGCTCTCGATTGGGAACGTGCTGCATTCGTCGCTGACATCACCTCGTTCCAGGTTCACAGGGCAGGCGCCTCCACCTATGCCTCTAGCGAACGGCGCCCCGAATGGCATGATGCCGGTAAGTCTCACCTAGTTCGGCCTCAAGTAGACTCTTGCTGACTGCTGCGGCCCAGATGATGACTGGGATGCCTGGTTTCTGAGGGCTGATCGACGGAGGATGGAGCTTTCGTTTATCTGTACATGATGGACTGTTAATATCGACCGTATGCACTGTGGCTAGCTGCTAATGGATTTCCTTGTTTATCTCTCTCAAGATCCTCGTCCACGCCAGATTGACCACCACGAATCGTGTTCAAACCGACGGCAGTCTTCGGCGACGCCTGTTGGTATTCGTCAGCCGGTGATATATAAGTTCCAGTTAGCCATGTTTGAGACGAATTGCCACCGTTATCGGTGTCAGCAACTACATAGATTGGTTTCACCGATTGCTGGACCGCGTAGCTTTGGCTTCGCATCGACAAAGATTTTGCCTTGTGTCACTATGCTCGTTGGACGAACTTGCTACGCATGAATGGAATGACGCCGTGATGACTATCGCTGGTAAGGTTTGCTGGTTGGTCGGCATGTTGTCCCATCCATGCCTCATGTCTACCGACGTGCATGTCTAGAACACCCTGATCGCCCTTACTCTGCATCTTTGTTGATGTTGACGTCGTTGAACGCCCTAGATTTAGATGATCGGGCGAATGACGAGTAGAGAAACCGCAAGTAACCTTTTAGCGGGCTTCAACCTGTGCAACCCTTTGGTCGGAAGCGCTCCGGAGCGGGCGGGCGGGCGGAAGGCGCGGCCTCAGCCACCCCCCGACTTTCTCAAGGTCTTCCACACCCGCCGCTGCTGCACGTTGCTCTGCTCTGAGATTCTCTCTGCACGCCCCTCGACGAAGCAGCACTCGATAACAGTCCTCTACCCCCTTGGCTGTTGGCGACAGCTCGGTCAACCATGCCTTTGTGTGGCGCCCCATCTGGAAGTTCAGGCCTTGGCCGTAGACCTGTGCGCGTCATACCTGCACGGTTCGCCGACTCGATTCGAGAGCTCACACGCGTGTTTTGTGGCTCAGATACAGCGCAAGGTGGTCGTGTGCGGCGACGGTGCCTGCGGTGAGCGTTCTCCTATGACTTTTGTTAGCGGGATGGTGCGTACTAAATGGCGCGTTTGCTGACAGGGAAGACCTCACTCCTCAACGTCTTCACACGCGGATTCTTCACGCAGATCTAGTGAGCCCCCTGCTGCTTGTGTCGGGCGCTGCGATTTACTTAGCCAAACAGTGAACCTACGGTGTTCGAGAACTACGTGCACGACCTTTATGTGGATGATCAGCTGGTTGAACTTAGCTTATGGGATACGGCCGGTACGTCCTTGTCATCCCCCGTCATACACATAGATACGATATATTGACATGCCACGCGCCTGCTCATCCAGGTCAGGAAGAATTCGACCGGCTACGATCGCTCAGTTATGCGGAAACGCACGTCGTCATGATATGCTTCTCGGTAGACAACCCGGTGTCATTAGATAACGTAGAGGCCAAGGTGAGCTAAATCATCGCCCTTCACGATCCGCAGACAGCTGACGTTTCACGCAGTGGATAGACGAGATCCTAGAATATTGTCCGGGCGTGAAGCTGGTCCTTGTGGGTGTGTGCAGACAATCTGATGATTTACGGGTGAACTCCCGAGACTAACGCGTCGGTCAGCGTTGAAATGCGATTTACGAGAGGATCGCGGCGTTGCAGAACGTCTGGCGCGTTATGGGACGCACACGGTCCAGTACGAGGAGGGCTTGGCTGTGGCGAGGCGAATACGAGCGTCGCGATACCTAGGTGAGCAACCAGACACCCTCTTATTGCTTCCTCCTTCCTCTTCAACAACGCTCATCATATTGCTCTCAGAATGCTCCTCCAAGCACAACCGTGGCGTTAACGAGGTTTTCTACGAAGCGGCACGCGTATCGTTAGCCACTCGGCCCAAAAGCACGTCAGGCGGCGGCTGCATCATCATGTAGTCGCCCTCCACACCAGGCTCCTCAATCTCGTCTATACCCTTATATGGCGCGACTCACACTGGACGGCACCTTTCCGTCTCTCTCGTCAACAATAAACGCTCGGACTACACTACTCGTCATTTTACGGACTATCTATCATTTTCTTCCTTCTCGTGCCTTGTTTTTCCTTGGTTATGGTTCATGCCGTTTACTCCCGTACCATCTGCCGCCTCCAATCTGCATGCCGCTGTCTCGTAGTTTTCCTTGCGCATCCCATACTCGCATCACTCTCATGTATTATCCTGTATCTTATTGGGTACTATGGCTATGGAAATGGGGCGTCTCGGACTCCATCTGCTGCGCCGGAGAGTGCTGGTACAAGAGGACTCAACGAACGTTCCGGGAGGATATCACGACCTCGTTGCGGATGTGTTCATCCGCGCATATTGCGAGCGCTTGCCGGGCGCCGTCTACGAGCTCGAGGACTCGGGGGTGCTCCAGACGATCCATCTCCTCGATCTGAGCGAACCTCGACGTGAGTCAGTGGCAGGCATATGTGCTTGTGGGCACTCCGTTCTTCATTCCCTTGCGCAGACTGCTGGCCAAATGCGAGATAGCACTTGCATGCAAAGTGGGACAGCAGAGCCCCAACTCTACAAAACGCAAAACATCACGGTAGGGAAAGCAGCAGTCATCCAGCGGTCCATGTTATCTATATTCTATGTCTATCAGGTCAATACGGTCTATAGCCGGTCACATCCTATCTGAGACGATAATTGATACTTAGTATCTATGCATTAGCACGCAGGTACGGTCAACGGTATTTTGACGGTTGTCTGGTATCAAGGTCAGCAAGTTCCCCGCAGGCTGGTAACACGGGTATATACTTACTGCAAGCCCCTGATCATCCCAAAACAATCAGTATATCACAGGTTCGATCAAGAGGTACCAGTACATACTGAGAGGGAGGTTTCTTTATATTTCACCGACATGTCGGCTGCAGTCAATCGCATAGCCGCGATCGCCTCGTCCAAGGTGACGCTATACACGCCATCGCTAGCCATAGCAAGCTGAGCAGCCGTCACCGCCTTCACGGCCCCGAGCGAATTCCGTTCCTGCACCACTTTGGTCAGAATATGCAGCGTTGGACAGCGAAGACCGATGTTAGTTGGCACACGCACGATGCACGGCACTTGGACCAGGCCATCAATGGGATCGCACGTTAAACCGAGGTTGTGTTCGATCCCGATCTCGGCAGCTTGCAGAACCGTCTCGGGTGATGCTATAAGACAGCTAGCTCGTCGGCGTGCATAAGGAACGATGAACAGAAACGCACGTACCTCCCATGCACGCAGCAAAGCCCGCACTGGCCATGGAACAAGCGACTGCATTTAATCGTGAGTGATACGTGCCACGGCGAGCATTTGAATCGGGCGCGAACCTCCGACTTCTGCTTGGCATCCGCCTTCGGCTGCTGATATGGTGCTCCCCCGCTTGAATAGCATTCCGACAGCCTGCGATGATGTTAGATATCCCATAGCTGCACTGTGTAAGTAGCCCATGACGTACCGCAGCGGTTAGCAGGAACGTTTGTATTGCCTGTATCCACCACCATCAGTCATAGACAGGCATAGGCCGCGTAAAAAATGGGCAACGCATACCTTCTCGGGATCATCGGTGACGAACTCCACGATGTACTTGAGTACGGCCGGGATCACGCCCGCAGCGCCGTTGGTGGGGGACGTGACGATCCTCCCGCCGGAAGCGTTGACCTCATTCACCGCGATTGCGTAGCATGACAGGAAGTCCATCGCAGGAATGACCGTTTTGCGCTGTCATCACATCATTCTCAGCATCGCAGTCCTCAGGAAAGACGGAAAGAGGAGGTACTCACAGGGGGCATCGGCAACATGGCGTGGTCAAGGGCGCCGACGACCCTCGTTGACCTCGCGGGACTGAGGTGTCCTCGACCCGTGGCGTGTTTCGGCGCTTCGCCCGCTTTAGTTTGCGTACCGCCGGAAGACAGCCGGCTTTGGTGCAGTGGGAGCGGCAGGTCCGGAGTTTTCCCTTCGAGCAGGCCGACGGGAGCCGAGCTGGCCTCAATGCGCGGGGCCGAGGACACAGGCGCAACGAGTCCTGGATAGAATCTAAACCCGCTTCATTGATTAGCCAATTGCCGAGGGATGATGAGGATGTGGTCGCACCCTCTCATCAGTCGCCTGTACAGCATTGGTGCTCTCCTACGGAGCCCAAGACGGCCGGGAAGGGTGGCGGAAGACGTGGAAACGCCAGTGCGGATACACTCGTCCATCACGGACCAGATGCGCATCAACTGCGTTGCCGCTCTTGAGAGGAGGAGCAAGAGTAATGTAGTGGAAATTCGACGGACCTTCTCGTGAATCTGGTCGTGAGGCGTCCCGAAGTACAACTCGTTGTCGTATACGATCTGCGCGATCGTCATCTGGATATCCATGTCAGAACCGGGGTCGCTAAGCTGCATGCATCTCGGAACTCAAAGATGAAAGTGTTCGTACGTTGTGCTCCCTGGTGAGTGCAAGCAACCCATCTCCCGTCGCGAAGGGGTAGGGCGGTTTGTCTGCTGGCGGAAACTCGGCCTTAACCACCCCTGGGGCGGACTGGTGCTCCGGATCCGGCGAGTTGACAGTCGTATGTTGATGAAGCCGGGCACCGTGCACGGAAGACTTGTCAACACCCTTGTAAAACAGGTTCTCGTCCACTGATTAAGATGAGCAACGGAATGACCGCGAAAGGCGAGGAGAATACCTTTAGTCTTCTCGTTGACGACGAATCCGCCCCCAACGCTTGTCAAGCAGGCGAATGAAGTGATACCCAAACATCAACAATTCTGCGCTCACCTGAAATACTCTATCGGAAAGCCAGTTAGTTGTGGCGGGGAGCAGCGAGCATACAACATCGTGTCGTACCATTCGTCGCGAGCAAATCGCCGTTCTCGTCGAAGACGGAAAACCGCATCTACCGGCCCGTATCGTCAGATGGATAGCCCGAGCCTAGCATGTTGACATACTCCATTGGGGTGCGTCTTCAATACCTGCAAAGGGAAAGTAGCATTTAGCTCCATCAGCCTATAACCTGAGTAGACGTACCTGATCCCATCGCCATATCATATCCCTGTCCATATCGTAGTGGATGGAATATTTTCCTCCTAGCACGAGCCTCTTGTCGTTCATTATGGACATGTAGCGGGAGGGGATGGTGCCGGTGTCGATGGTTTCGGGATCCGAGCCTTCGAGACCCAGAAGGACAGCTTGCGGGGTGTGATGGCTATGACCACGGAGTCAACATACTGGCCGTTTGCTTGAACAGGGTCGAAAAGCGACCAATCACCCTTTTCCTGTGGCCGCGAGAGAGCCGTATCTGGTCGACCGTATCACGTTCAAATATTCAATCATGGACGGCCACGTTTTCGTAAAGGGGCTCACAAAGTAATCTTGACAGACCGGACCTAACGACCAGTCAAGACGCGATTCTCGGCCTCCTAGACAAGTGAAGAAGCGCATACCTTGTCGAGTAAACCAAGTTGCTCCAGATCCTGGATGAAGATCTTCCCCGCCCGCATAGGACCAACGGTATGTGAACTACTTGGCCCCACTTCACGACGTCCGTATTAACTCCCCTGTTTCGTGGCCTTGCGAGATGACGAGCCGATGTTAACTCACCACCTATACTGAACAGGTCAAATGTGGATATGACGGCATGCTCGGGGAGAACGCGTTCGGGCTCGTCCAGCGGGCGCTCGTCATCGGGCAACAGCGCCCCCGACTCATCGTGAGCCTCGTCCTTTCGCAAGATTCTTGACGCTCTGTACGTCCTTATATCGCGTGGAGATCGGTGAGTTGTGGCGGGTCGCACGGATGGCGAGCGTAGAGTTCGCGTGAGTCGACCAAGTCGGGCGGCGAGCATCGTAAACGCCGTCTAGCACGGCGAGGATGGTATTTTGTCGAGCAACAATAACTGACGGAACTCGGTATGGGATGCGTTGAGCAGGCACGGAGAGTTGGCTCCGGAGTTTCAGTCGACCAATCGGACAAACTTCGTTATGTATGTATTTGAGCCAGGGGGAACGCGTCGCGGACTCGCGCTCAACCAAGAAGCAGTGTTGGGCGAACTGCCTTTGATACCACACACAACGACAGCATCCGCGATCTCTACACACGCTTACTTGCATACTTATGCATGCCTTCGCGGAAAATATTGAATGTGTCCCGCGACGGAATGAGAAGGTGCGGAAGTGCGCATAATTCGCATCCGCGCTTCCGCACCTACCTCGAGCACATAAAAGCTAAGTATCCTGGTCACACTGATCTCCAGCATTCTAGTTCTAGCCATCACCGCCGCTGCCAAAGATCTACCCCTATTTACACCTCTACCTATCTACAAGCTATCTAGAATGCTCGCAGGACTCGCGATCTTCACCAGCCCTTGCATGGAGTACCTTGAGTTCACCAAAAACTACACCGCGCTCGGAGATGTCTACCGCGTCTACGAGAAGGAAGTGGCCGACGCCATCTCCGAAGAAGCCCGCGCCTTGGATCGGATCCTCGGTCTGATGAGCGGCACCATTGAGGGCGACGCCGACGACCTCGAACGTGCGGAATGGCGATTCAGCAACCTGCGCTCTCTGCACATGCTGGAGGGCGTCAGCGTCGTCATGCTGCGCAGGAAGAGGGAGGCGGCGGCGGTTGCAGATACTCACACCGTTGACTGCAAGGTAGACCGCTCTGCTTCTCCGACGTCCACCTCTTCCACAGCGCGGGCTCCCAGGGTCGACTTCAAGCTCAGGTTGCCCGCGCTTCCGAAGCTTCCTTCGTCTTCAAGGAGGCTGCGGAGGATGACGCGTCTGCTGCGGGGTTCTAGTACGTCCGCTGAGGTTTCGTTTTGCTAATGTCCGTACTAACCAACGTTGCTAGACCGAGTTCAAGTTCAAGTGCTTGAGAAGGAAGCCGAGGTGCTTGCTAAGCTCCAGGCCCTCATCGATCACGGAGTTTCCTTCCACCCCGAGCAGGTTGCGGATCGGTACGCGGCAAGATACGGGGTACGTCCGCTCGCATCCTTGCCCTTCGTCGTCGACTCACCGTAATCGTCAGGATGAGTACTACATGTTCGTCATCAAAGCCCTGGCGAGGAGAGGCTGCGTCTAAGACGCCCTCGCGGGGCCTCGGGTGCGCGGCGGCGGCGCCCGATGGCTCCTGGGACTAGGGCGCGAGTCTCACAGGCACCGTGCCCCTCCACGCGCTCGAAGGGGTCGACGTCGTCGGCGTCGGCCCTGGAGGAGGTGGCACCATCCCCTATCTTCCGCACGCCGCCGACACAGAAGCACAGAAGACGAAACCGATGCGGAGTGTGTCCGAGTCTTCGAACCGGTTGGGCCCTGGGTCGTTGCGGCGGACGTGGACAGGAGGGAGAGAACACCGGCGACGCTCTTTGAGCGCCGTCGGCCCGTTCTTTCTCGATTCTTCCCGTTTGGTGAGGTTCGCGTCGATGTGTGGATGAAAATGCCCATGCGATGTGTTTCCTCATGCGACTTGGGTGTCCTTCGCGGGTTTGGAGAGGAGGGACGCAGTTGCTGGAGGACTTCCGGTAAGCTAGCTTCTCCCTCCCGTCTTTCTTCGAGCCTTGCTCACCTGAGTTAATCCTTAGGTCGAGAGCGGGACGCCGCGATCGCCTGGGATTCCTCCAGCAACCCAACAATTTGCCTCGGCGACGTCGGTGCGCCGGCTTGCAGGCCGGGATGTTCGGTACGTTTCTCGCTCCTACGTGTCGCCTTCGGCCTCTTGCTTACTCGGTCTTCTCCATCGCAGGCCGAGTTCGGGACGCCGGGCTCGATCGACGTCCACGCGTCTGCCTCGAAAAAAGGGGGTTGGATGGAGTTGGAATGGGGAGAGTGGCTTAGATAGCTTCTTAGACGGTCGTAGATAAATAGATAGTCGTGGCACGGACACTGGATTTTTCGCGCTTAGCGTTCTGACGTTTGTTCCCTTTTTAGCCTTTACAGCTGCCTCTGGTCCTACTGGCCCTCCTGGTCCCCTGGTCCCTTGGTCGCTGGTTTGGTCCCTCCGGAGTTCAAGGACAAGCTTCTCCCAGAATAGGATCGCCAGTGCCTGTCGCTGGCGATCCGGCAGCCGGCCTCTTCGTGGCCTGGGGGACTAGTACCCTTCGGGGGAAGCCAACGGCTGTTTCGGACTCTCGCATCTCACAGGAGCTCTCGAGACCGGTGCGCAGGTGAGCCCCGGTATTCTCTCTCTTCCTTCCTTCGACGCCTGACGACCAGTCACACGCATAGGTACCTCATTCAATAATTCCGATCGCCCTCCGGGGCGAGCGTATATGCTGTTGGTGAGCGCTCTACAGACTCGCTCGCAACCCGCGCACGTCGGCGGCACTGCACTTCGCGTACGTGTAGACACCGATCGCTACCTTCAGCAGGGCTCATGTATGTACTATCACTCGCATTCTTTGCTATCATACATACGACATGCATTACGGCTCCCTATGCGATACTGTGCTGCACAGCGCAAGATTTGGCAGTCGTTCAGTCAGAGAAAGTTATTGCGCGTGATTGTTACCCCGATGGAAGGGACTACGCGTTCGTTCGTTGTAGGCTCGCTCCCGGATCCCACCAACAGGCGATGGAGTCCGACGATTTTCAAAGCTTCTCGTGTCGACCCGGACATGCTCAAAGCGAAGGGGTGCTTTCACGACTGCGAGGGATTGATGGGGATCGGACAGGAGGCGTATCACGGTGGACAGCATGAAATACGCTGCTCGGGATGACACTGCTCGCACTTCGATGCGTGTCGGAAGATGGTCGTAATCGGCGGCGGACTTGGGACGGAGTTCTAGCCTCAGGTGCAGGCGGGCGCGAGACGGCTGCCTCTAGCCAGGCGGGTTTTCCTTCCTCGATGGGTGGCAGGTAATTGCTTGGTGAAAAGTGATCATTACGTGGCGGCGCATGTGCGAGAGCTTGAGACGTAGAGGAGAGGTCGCGAGAGACGTTATACGGCGCAACGGTCGTTGAGTCTTCGGTCGGCAGGTGTAAGGTAGCTCTATGCGCAGGAGCTAATACTCTCCGACGTGCCTATACCGGCGAAGGCTTAATCGTTTGCATCATCGAGTTGCGGGTTGTAGGGCTTACGTTGATCATCCAATTGTTGACTTGCGACATGCTCAGACCGGTTGCAGCGCAGAGCACATTCTTCTCTTCCTCGGTGGGGTACGGATGGTCCGAGTGTCGATGAAACCACTCTTTCAAGTAGTCGGTGACCGGTTTGGGAAGTTTTCCGCGTTGACGCGGGGCGCGTTCGACCAAGGCGCTGGCTTGCAGAAGGCTTTCGTGGGCTGCGTTCATTGCTGTGAACCCAGTTAAGAAGCCTTTAAGGTTGCCAGCATCTCCGGTGCTTATGTCCATGCGACTGAGATATGCGGATGGCGACGATAGCCTGAACACAGACGGGATTTGGCTGTTTGAAGGTCAATTCTCTGCAACGCTGGCTGTATCACAAGCTACTCGCCTGTTATTTTCCGTATTAGGCGCGGATGCCGGTCGACGCGTGAAATCGAGAAGTTGCAATCGCGCCACTGGGTAAGCACAGGTCAGATCGTTTGACACGAGCATTAGAGAAAAACGAAGGTGACCGTACTTCGATCAGCGTCGAGATTGATGACGGGCTTGATGTCGTATAGAGCAACTTTGAGCTTCGCCATGGACCTTTCACCGGACGTCTGGTACACGAGATTAGTCCGTCATGCTATTTTCCGTGAAAAGCAGGTAGAACCTACCATCATAATATAAGATGGATCTAAGTCGTGTACGATAGCCATCTCCGCTAAGCTGCAGTTCTGTAAGGAGTTGAGAGTCCGCTTCGACGTTGCATACTACCACTTGCCTCGAATATGTAGTCGAATATGACATTCGTAGGGTCTTGCCACTGTCCAAACTGTTTTAGCTCCTCACCCATATTAACAGCAACGAGAAGGGCACGAACCGAACAAACGTCCCCGACAACATCGTAGGCGTCGTCTGTTTCGTCCTCTTGGAAGGGGCTATCGGTTACCGGTGTGCTGGAAGGTTCAGACACGTCATCACTATCACTTGCGTAGTCCAGACGATTATATCCGGCGCCGGCCTTGAGTACCTTGGGCCATAGTCGAGAGCGATATCGAACGCGATAGCTTCGAACAAAGACGCATTGATTGTAGTCCCTTGTTAGACCGTCACTTGGAACAACAAGCGCGGATGCGTTGAGAAGTTCCTCCCCCGACGGAGGTGGCTCGAGTCGTTGCGGGCCATGGTTGTAGTGAGCGGAAGAGTCGAAATGCCAGCTTCCCCAGACATACGCCGACGCAGAGAGCATCACGGGTACGCCAGCCCTGAATTCCACGTTCAGTTGCCTTTCCGTATCTCCCGCATACGCGAACATCGCAAAGTCCTGCGTGAGGTCGTGTCCCGTTACAAGGCGGATGTCATCTGTGGATACGGCGTGGCCTTGCTCTCGCGCCCAACGAGCCCATGATCTGGAGTGCTTTTTCAGGTAGTTGAGGTAGCGCTGTTCCTGGCGCGCATTGGCGATGTATGTCGGGAAGTTAGTGATCAGCGCCGCCCCCTCCTTGCTACTCGTCTGGAAGCTGAAAGTGCCTCCAGCACTGGCCGGTGTGCTGTAAATTATCGTTCAGACTACGAAGCTTCAAACAAGGAGGAGCTACGAACATGTCCGAAGAACCTCCGGCCCCTGCGCCCAGCTGGCGGACGTATGTTGTATGTAAACACGTCCTCGGGTGTCGAGGCTGATCACGCTCGATCCATCCGACTTCGAGCGGCACGAAGTCTTCGGGTATGTCCACTCCGCGTCGACGGTCTCCCACGGGTTCTGCAGCTCTGAACAGCAGGATGAAGTGACCACGTTGTATGTAGCCGACATCGCCGATAGCGACGCGATTGTAATCCTCGGAAGGCGCCGGCTGCCTAACCATTCCTTTCAACGCACTGATCCAAAGTGCCAGCCGACCTAACGAACCAGAGGGGAAAGCCGTGCCCTAGTAGCATCATCTGCCTAACACCGAGCTTGATAAGCATAGGACGCGACTTCCAATCTATATAGTCTATGACGGACCTTGCATATATTTGCCATGGCTCCTCAGCCATTTCGAGTTCGTCCTGTCCGGTAGCGTTGAACAGAGTCTTGAAGAAGCTCCCGTGCTCGTTGTCAAGCTGCACTTCCCAGTCCATGCACAACTTTCCGATCTTCCTCCATTGCTATACAAACTCACACGGAAACTCGTGCCATGCCCGGCACGGCTTGTAATAGTATGGCTCTGAAGTTGTGAACTAAAGTTAAAGCAAGAAAAGCCGGACGAAAGATGCTGCTTGGACTTCAGTTTCCGCTTGTAACTAGAGCTCTCCATGGAAAGGCATTGGGCGAAGAACAAAAAGGTAGTAGCTCCGTCGAGAGAGGGTCGCGCCCGGGGCCCCGGCACTGACTCAACACGTGATCATGAGCGCAGCCAATCAACGCTATCGGGAGCGGCGCGGAGAACACTCCCTTGAGCCTGTACTTGATCCACTTCATGGTCGCCGGACACGATGTCGTCTTCGACGCTGAGATGCACCCCTGCGCTCCGATAAGCACATTCCTCAAGATCGATATGCATTACACTTCGAGGTTGAGTATCACGATGCATTCTTGCGGGGAAGGGGCTCGCAAAGTCTTATGTGGCGAGGTCTACCAACTTCGAACGACTTTCGACATTCTGCATCGCGCTTTACAACGATAACAAGATCCCCAAATCCCAGCTCAGAGACCCTTTACCACGGATTCTTCGCTCCATCGAAGTTGAGGAATTGACCGCCCGCGGACTCCTGCGTGGCATTGTCTATCACTTTCAGCAGCATCGGTGCGGTCTCATCTACGGTCTTGAATTCGGACAGGGACGCGCCTAAAGCTGGTTCATGCTCTACGGCAAAGGCAGCTGTGGTATACGATCATCAGCAGCTCAGGCAAGCCGCCGAAAATCACAACTTACACATATCCGTAGCAACGTGGCCCGGGCAAATAGGGAACATCACTTCGTACACCCCGTTAGCAGTGGGATCCTTGATACTGATATCAAAGGAACGTTGGAGACGCACCCAGCCCGTCCTTCTCGTGCTCATAATACAGCTTGCGGATCATGTAGTTCAAGGCCGCCTTCGATATGCCGTACACCGCTGTGCCGAATAGCGCGCTTGCGCCTCGCTCGAGGCCACCACCTTGCGACGTCATTGCGACGAACTTAGGCGGAGCGGACCCAGACGAGCGGCTCGATTTTAAGAGCGGCAAAGCGGCTTTAAACAGTACGAAGGTGCCGATGACGTTCACCTAGACAAATTGCAGTTGAACGCGACGGCCTCATCGACGTTATACGAGCAATACGGACCTCGAAATGCTCCCTCAGCTCTTCCTCAGAAGCCTTGTACGCAGGTCCATACGCATGGAATATACCTGAAATCCATACTTAGTCCGAACGCACATCGAAACTGAATATCCGTGGCACTTACCGGCGTTGGCGATGACGACATCCAATCGACCGGCCTTCTCTTTCACCAAGGATTTCGCTTCCTCGTTGCTCATGACATCGCCAGACACCAGCTTCACGATGTGCAGCTTTCCAGGGCGCTCAGCGGTTAGAGTTTACAGATTCGTGGCGGCATCCGGGTTTCGCGTTCCAGCGAATATGATGGTATTCTCGCGGGCCGACAGTGCTTTCACGAAACCGAAACCTGTGGACCCCCATGCGGCAATCAGCATCGGCCCGTTCACTATTATTGAATGAACTCGCCGATTCCACGGTTCGCGCCAGATACCAGATATACGACAGGGGCCATGGTATGAGTCTTTGTTCCTCTCTCGCTTTCAACACAGGCTTTGTTGGAATATGAGAATTCAGTGCGCGTTCAGTGCTCACTACTAATCTGATCGCTGTACACGTATATTTACTCGCGCTCGCATCCGATGTACCTGACGCGCTTGCCCAGCAATCTTACCCCTCGCATTGCAGACGGGTCAAGCGCGCTCCGTGCCCGACATGCCGCCCGACATTTAACAGGCTTTATATATACATTCCATGCGCCCGGACCCTCTACTACTATGTTCTATTGTAACGCGCCCAACGCAAACACGCCCGCCTACGGCCTGCACTGCCACGAACAAGTAGGCCGCACCTCGTTATCGCGCGCCCCTCCACCTCCACCACACGCCGTATTTCGTTATCGCGCACTCGTCGCCGCCTGGCCTACACCCACCACCCGCTCTCGACCTCGACGACCGCCCATGCGCTCGCAGCGCGCGTGGCACGCGACACTCAATCCGACGACGGCACATGCGCCTGAGGCCCCTCGCGATACAACGATCCCGGCGCCTTCGGCGCGCGTTTCGGTCAACACCAAACGCGGCGCGAGCTCGATCATAACGGCCTCGAATGGTCGATCTCCACCACCACCTCCTGCTCGACTTTTCGAGTCTTTTCGACCGGCTCTCCGCTCCGCCTACCGGTGCTCGAAACACTACGCGCTGCTTGCGCATCGGCGCGCACTTACTCTCGGCATACGCAACACTAGGCACGCGACGGGATTGGACGATAGGGACGAGTTGTAGGGTGTAAAAGGACAACTCGTATGTAGTTCTCGAGGAGATACGGCCCCCAAATCGCATATCGTTACCCGCTCTCGTCTCCGTCCGACTCCGTCTCTGAGTGCGTATCCGTTCCGCGCACGCTTCTCTGTCGTCTCCGCCTCGCCCACGTCCGCTTTACACACATCTATTTCCCCTATTCCTACCTACTCTATCTACCCATTCGGCAGCCGCTGAACCCGCCTCTTGGCCTCGCGCACATATCTTTCATTTTGGATTCGGCCTAGCCCACCCGCCGGTCTGCACTACACTATATCGTCAATACCGGGACATGGTTTGGCGGGGACGAAATTGGTTGACATGTGGGTTCAACCCACACCGTGGAAGTCTCACGGGGATTGAGTTTCTAGTGCGCACTGCGTCAGGGTATATCCAAGTGGTAAACGAACCCGGCAGCGGTCAAAGTTCTCCGTGCGGGAGCCCGCCAAAAAAGGCAGCGCGTAAAAGCTCCACCCCACTTCGCCCGTGCAGCAATTACGTACGATCTTATACTTCCTCGACGTGGGTTCATGCAACCTATGAGGCGAATGGTTGGACTCGTTAGCGCCTATATTCCGCGGTATTTCCTGGGCGTGGGTCTACCTAGCGAGATGACTCACCGAGCACTGAACACAAGGAGTCTAGGGAAGGCGATTACTTTGTGCCCCGCCCATCGACCTATATCGATGCGATAGGAGCTCGCACAAATTATAACCACGCGTTTATCACATGGAACTGCTGGCCATCTCTACACATCCCAGATCACTAAGATAGACAAATGCTCACGGGGCGATTGAAGAAAACCGATGATGAGTATGTTCCATTGTTGGGGGCTAAGCGAGCGTGCTCACTCGGAAGGCTTGCAGGTGACTCAGATGTCATAGCCAGGCCGTCGCGCTGGATGTATCATGACTACTGGACGTACATATCGGCAAATTGTATGCACCGTCACATTCGGGAGGCACCTCACATCAGTCCAAGCAAGGTGGGCGGGCATTTTCACTTCCCGCACTATGCATACCAGTTTACACGAACCCGGCAGTCTGCAGCGCCCTTCCGAAGAAGGTGTCCGACGCTAGACTGGGCGCGAACGCGTCCGGCGTCAGTGGTTCGAACACGACGGAGTTCACCAGCGGCTCCGTCCCGTAAATGCCGCCCGAGGCGCCGGTGGCCGCGATGGCCGCCGCGGCGATGTCGGGCGTCGTGCAGTCGATGTTGACAGTCTTGCCCTGGTGCTGCGACGGCGGGAGGGGCAGCGCGAAACAGAACTTGTTGTTGGCGGTGTCGCATGCCGTAATGTTCGAGCCGAGCTAACGAGGCGCCAGTCAGCCGGATTGACACGGTCTGGGATAACGAACGTACGGTGCCGTCGTCTCCGCAAGTAACGATATCCGCTCCGAGACAGGACACCACGCCTCGGATGCAACCCGTTGTAGCCGTCGCTGTCAGACTGGCCCGGTTTATACTCTGCGCCGAGTGGCCGATAGCTGTTCGCAAGAGTGAGTGCGCTGTTCCATTTCACATCCACGTGCGTAGGCTTACAGAGGAACGATCCGACAGGTGGGGGGTTGTCCAATCCTCCGGGAGTGAACGTGGGGCCTGCCGCCGACGCGACCGCTGTGCCAGAGACGGCTGTCTGAGGGGCGACTTGACGAGGCCAGGCGGGAGCTGCGAGCGCGCTGCCTATGGATGCAGCAACGAATAGGAACTTGGTTGACATGAACATGGTTCGATAAGGAAAGTTGAGGGGATACAAAAATGTAGCGCTGGGCTGGAGATGAAATGTGAATGTGGAGGATCAACCTGCCGGACACGCTCTCCGTTGAACGTTCTTTATAGTCCTCATCCACGCACCTCCGTACCTCATAATCACAGGACCTCCACCAAGGGGAACGGCGAGTGCGCAGTTTCGTACGTGCGATGTAGCACGACGTCTGAAGTTGCAGTGCGCAGCAGCAACTCATAACATGACTGCTATGGAGAAAAGACGGTTGCTGCGCCCGCAGGGATGGACACGATGTTATTGCGCAGAAGAAGCAGATCTGTAGTGGTGTCAATCGCACAGCCGGGGCGACTATGATCATAAATAGCTCGGGATATGTGGGCCGGTTCCTGATGAGGGCCAACAACGACGACGCCTCATCACCATCACCACCTCGCGGGAGTGTGATAGTATGGTCAACTCCTTGCGATCAGTGAAGATGTTGCGCAAGGGATGGACCAATCAAATGCTCGCTGAAGATGCATATGGGCCCGGTTCAGTTTTGCATCTGCGAAAGAAGCTACTGCTGAGTCGAGGGCATGTACAATCGCGCCCAGTCAACTAGCACGGTCGAAGGTCGATGAATGTGCTTCAGTTACAGATGGGAATGCGTTTTGTTCCGCGAACTGTCAAGTAGTCCATGCAATAAAATAGAGAGAAAAAGTGACTCGACTACGCAATGGCGTTAACTACGCTGGAATACAAATGTGAGGCAAGCTTCAGAGGCACACAGGCAGGAGAGGAAAGAGAGAGAGATTGCGGGATATCAAGGAGCGAGGGGAATGTGCATGATTGAAGGCGGAGAGGAGGAAAGCAGGGCCACCAAACAAACAGATGGCTGTCGTCATGTGCGCTGCCGTAGCTGCACCTGGTGCCCGGGAGGACTGAACGGAGGATGCTCCCCGCTGTTGCGCGGCGTCCCGACGTATGACGCTGGCCTTGTCGGTGGCTGCATTGCGGGGCTGGTGGGGCCGCCTCGCCGTTGCAGCGCGACCCAGTCCTGCTCGCCACCCTGGTTTATGGACGCAATGGTTTGAGCAAGCGAGGAGGGTGCTGAGCCCGCCGAAGGGAAAGACATCGGCGAGTGGGTCAGAGGAGGCGGCTGCGGTGATTGCTGCCGCTTGCTCAACCCGCCGTTCCCTAGTTGATCTGATGAGGGAGATGTGTTGGGGCGCGCAGTGCTAGGCCTGAAGCACAAAAGCTCTTGAGCGTTCATTCCAAAAATGCAAGGAGAAGTCAACTACCTTTGGGGTCGGCCATCTTGCATCATCGATGCTAGACTTCCACTTGTGTTATTGCTACCGAACGGCGACGTTGCGGTCGGAGAGGCGATCGGTGGACCAGGAATAGGAGCTCGACCCTGGGCCTTGACCCTCATGTACGTGCCGCACTTCTTCATGAACTCTTTGGCGGGGAGATCCAAGCTGTTCGCGAAGTATTCCTGGTCGTGGAGAATCGGGAGGAACTCCTCCGGCACCAGGTAGAATTGATCCTGATTTTCGAGAAGTGCCGTCACGACCCTGATGCCCCCGAAACTCTCGTCGCGGACGCCATCGCGACCACGAGAATAGAGGATACTGGGGCAGATGACCGTCGCCAGATTCGGTAAGTCCATCTTGCTCCCCGTTTCATCGTCCGTGTGCGCGAACGACGCGACCCATTTAAGGAAGACAAACAGCACCTCCATCGTGTCTCGGTGAACCTTGGGCAAAAGGAGGTTGATCATATGAAGCAGACGCATGCGGTCCTCCTCCTTCGGTAGCGCTGGATGACAAAAGGCATCAGGCGGCGCTCATCGCGGCACAAAATCGGACTTACATTGAGAAGCGATCAAGAGTCGATGTAGCTTGAATGTCAACAGAGGATCAGGGAGATCACGCAAAAACTTCTTCAAGAGGGCGGCCAGCTGGACAGGATTGTCGGTCGTGAGGTCGACGGAGTTCGGATCCCGGTCGATCGCCTCGGTCAGGTCTTTGAGCCTCCTGATGTTGCCGTTCTTGCGGAAAATACCCTCGATGGACATGTCTAGAAGGCTTTGATCAGCTTCTGAAGGTATTCCCAGGATACGATGCATACCCATTTGCCTCATTGCCGACACGACATCGTCGATGAAACTTGGGATCCTTAGCGTAGTCCGCGATGCTCCCAGGACGGAGTCCGCGCCTTCCCTTTCGACGAGCAATTCGAGCGGCACGCCGAAGACACCTGGACGTTCCCGTATAAGCACAGAGGAAGCAATGCTGGGCGCCACTGTCACCAACCTTTCTTCTTGATCTTCTTGTCGTTTCCGCCTTTGAACCACCTGTTCCAGAACCCGCTCTTCTTCACCTCGATCAGCTCCAAGATCTCGTCCAGATCGAACTCGTTCCGGAGCGGCGATCCGTGCAAGACGAGCACCGCGCAGTGCTTGACGATCGCGAGCTCGAGCGGCGACAGCTCCGCGATGAACGGCACCTGGCTCTGCCGCGGCAGCGAGCGGTGCTGCTCCCTCGCCTGGGCGGCTTCCATAAGCTGCGGGATGTCCGCGAGCGTGATCCCTTCGTCCGGCGCCGGCAGGCCCATCGGCGACTGCTCCTCCGAACCGATCGCGGGCGAATTCGGCATCGACTCGTCCACGATCATCACCTCGGTGTTGTGCCGCGCATACGGCGGGCGGATGACCTGCTGCCCTTCGTGGATGGACGCGGGCGGGAGCGGGCCAGGGCCGTTGGCCTGGCGAGTGGGCGGCGCCGGGTCGAGAGGTGACTGGGACTGCGGGGGTCTCGGAGGGCGCACCGGAGGCAACTGGGCCTGCTGCTGCGACTGCGGGTAGGTTGCACCCACGGTTCGCGCACTTGACGACGCAGGGATAAGCTCGCGCGAGCGCTCCGAAGTGATGCCGACGTCGGTCGGCTGCACGCTCTTGCCAGCAGGGCTCTCGACGATCGTGGAGCGCTTCGCGATCCGCGCGGTGGCTGACAACTTCCGGTCGAGGTGGACCGACTTCATACGCATGATGTCGCCCGAGTTGCGGTACGGATCTTGATCAGGACCCTGTTGGATCGCCCCCTGACCGCCGGGCACTACACCTGGTTCGTCAGCCAAAGATGACCAGAAAGACGACCCGACCGATAACCCACCTGGCGAGAGGGGCACGACGCCGCGCTTCTTGAGCAGAATGTAGAGCCTCCGCAGCGCGACGTTGAGCAAAAACGCGTACTGCTCCAGCCTCGAGACCGGCTGGAACCCGCCCTTGCATCCGGGGTGCGCATGCTCCGTGCAGTAGATGACGGTCGGATACCGCCCGCTCGAGGGGCTGTCCGCCATGCTCGCCTCGTCGTACACGAACATGCCCACGTTGGCCGGTGGCCTCCGCGCCGTGCTCAGCTTCGGTTTCTCCTCTTTCCCGTCACCCTCCCCGCCGCTCCGTTCCCTCTCTCTATCCTTCTCCTTCGGACCCTGCACCGCCGCCACCTTCCCACACGTCTGGCATTGCACGCAGTTCGAGTGCCAGCGCTGGTATGTCCCGAGCCGGACGCAATCCTCTTCGACCGTCTGTCCGCACTTGACGCAAAGGTCGCTCGGCGGGCTCGTCGGCTTGTTCGGCGCATGTCCGTGCGTCTGCGGCGCAAACGGCGAATCGCCCGCGAGCTCGGGCGCGAGACTTCGGAAGCCGTACGTCACGCCTTGCGTCCCGCCAAAGCCTGGGCCAGATCCGTTCGTGACGACCATCTCCGCGCCGTGCGCGCCCTTCAGCACGCGTTTCGCGCCCGGGTTGCCGCCCTGGACCGCGAGCAGGTGGAGCTTGTCGAGGAAGTTGGAGATCGCGTCCCGCACGTTCTGCTCGCGCTCGAGCTTGAGGGCGCCGGTGAGCGCGATGCGGATGAGGATCTTGAGGTAGTGGGCGAGGCCGGTGACGAGCGCGAGCAGCTCCTGCGTCATGCCCATCCGGCGCGCGCCGGTTTCCTGCGTGTGCGAGAGGAGGGTGAAGAGGTCGACGGTCTTGCGGCAGAGCATGCGCGCCTCGCGCACGTGGGACATGCCTGCAACGTAGCCGGCGAAGACGTCAGTAAACGCGAAGCGTGAGACAAAGTGATCGGAGGTGAAACATACCTTTGAGGTTAAGCCTGGCGAAGTGATATTCAAGGTCGTCGATGGTCGCGAAGAGCACCTCGACGTGGAGGATGAACTTTTCCGCCATCCGGATCGCCTCCAGATACTGCCCGTTGCTGACTTGCCTCAGCATGTCTGATATGCACGCCGCGCTCGACTCTTCGAAGGCGGATAAGACCCTAGTCACGTCGAAGCAACAGGCAGCGCCGACGTCAGCGATCCAAACTCATGTAACCCACAAAAGGGGAAGACCGAGAGGGCGGCGGATCGACTCACGTCCATATCCGGTAAACCTGCTGCTCCATCCTGGCCTGCTTGTCCTTCAGGCTTGTCGCCGTCTCCCGCTTCTCCTCCTCGGCATAGTCCGGCTCACTCGGCCGGCCGTTCTCCGAGAGCTGGTCCGAAGACTGCGAGAGCTGGCTCTGGCTCTGCGATGCGTCGCCATCAGACGGCGCAGGCAGTATCATCGACTTCCTCGATACGAGTTTCACGTTCCAAAACTGTAAGTTTCCGCATCGTCAGCGACGGTCCTTCCAATCTCTGGAATGGAAAGACGATGAAGAAACAGAACAAGAGTCACCTTGTTGATCATGTAGCACTCCGGGTGCCAACACTCATCCCGATTATTCCGGTTGATCTCCACAAACTGCTTCAATATCGCGCTGTTGCACCCCGCGCACTTGGTCGCGAACCGGGTCGAGTAGTGGTAGTGGCAGTACACGTCCCCGTCGTGCTCGTAGTACGAGTCCTGCGGGCCGAAGAGCGTGTCGCAGAGGGAGCACGTGAAGTGTTCGACGTGGAACTTCTTGTCTATAGATAGCGTGCGCCGCCGCGCGCGACGCGTGAACAAGGACAAAATGTGCGAGGAAGGGGAAAATGGCGTACTGCAAGCGGTGATGTAGGACCCCCGGAGCGCCATGCCGCATTGCGCACAGATCAGGTTCAGCCGCCGGAAGTAGTCCCGCTCGCACAAGGGATATTGTTTGCCATCCGGCCCGTCTATGGGGAAGAACTTGGACGCGACGACGGTGCCGCAATCCTACGTGATTCGTGATCAGATTCAGCAACGAGGCAAAGGTTTGCAGATATGAAATAACTCGCCAAGCACTTGAAGCAGTTGAGATGAAAGACGGTGCCCAAAGCACGCACGAAGGCGCCCTGCATGGGGCGACCGCATGCTGCACAGGCCCTGGAAAGACGGACCGTGAGTACGATGGTGTTTAAGCGGCAGGAGGGAGGACAGATGCGAGGGAAAAGGCACCGAGACGCGGTGTGGCGGTGACCAAACGGGTTGGAAAGATCCAAGGATGTGGCATAGTTGACTCACGAGGCAGCTACGTTGGCTGGGAGAGCGCCGTTGTTAACGCCTTGGATGGTATGATTGTTGCCCGCCCCTTGATGCGCCGAACGTCAGTACGATGTGATGAAACATTGAGTGGTCGGGCCAATATCAATGCGCTCTAAGAGGGAGCGAAGGAAGAGGGCGAGGAGGTGCCAACGTCGAATGGCCAAAACAGTACTTGACGGGGAGAAGGGGATAGTATGGTGGGCTATAGAGACATACTGCTGTTGTGATTTAGATCCTCGCTCCTCGCATGCGGTACGCCATCGTAGTCGCGATGCCTGTTACGCTCGAGATCGTGTGGTCCACCATACGTCGACGACCGTTGCGGCACGTTCAACCGGCCCGGGGTAGCGTCGGCCAAGCGAGGACTCGGGCTCCCGCTCACAGGTGCGGACGACGGGCCCCCCTGCGACTGCTGTCCTCCTCCCTGCCCCACGCCTAGCTGGTTCGACGACGCTGCCTGGGGCGGCTGCTGCTGTTGAGGACTCAGCTGTTGCGGTTGCGGTTGCTGCTGCTGTCGCAGTTGCTGCTGACGAGCGTCGTCCGTAGGGTGGTCGTTCGCGTCGTACCAGAGCCCCGCCGGCTCCTCCCTGACGGCGCTCTGCGATGGCCGCCGTTGCTGCTGCTGCTGTTGGGTGTGATGTTGCTGCGAGGACGAGGCGGACGGGGACGGCTCCCGCGAGTGCGCTGCGCTGCTCATGGTTCTGGAGTATCGTGCTGCTGCTGTCCGCGGCCGCGAGAGGGAGCCAGAGCGGTCGGGCGCGCGAGTGGTATACAGGCCAGCTGTGCTCGGCCGGGGTGAGGCTGCAGTCGACGGTGGAGATGAAGAGGCTGTGGTCACTTGACTCTGATCACCGCATCCGCATCTCCCTCGGCCGCGCTGCACCTGCAATTCTGACGCGGACAAGCGTTTATGGGCACACGATCCCTCCGATCAGGATGCTGTACGCTACAGGAATAACGCTAACTCTGATAGCCCGGAGAGAAAACCTACGTGGAACCCGGCACGGTGACTGTAAGTATGCTCCGGTGGTTTAGTCGCCGCGCCGCACGCAGCTTGGAGCATCAAAGCTAGCGAGCTATAAGGGCCTCTCATTCTTCCGGCACGATTGTACCAAATCCCATGACATATCGCATAGAATTTTATGGCGTGATGCAGTACAGCAAGAGATAGACGACATGGAAACACAAGCAAATCCGAATTTACTTGAGGGGGATGCTGCAAATACGTCAGTATCGGGCGCTTGGGCGACGTGGCAGTGAGGCACATACAAACGCGATGCTGGAAGGTTTCGATATCAGATCACGATAGTTACAGAATAGGGAAATGGATAAACTTACAGTGCGTGGCACCAATACCGGGCTTGCCGTGGCGCACGGGCTTGTACGAGCACGAGAACTCGGCAAGGTAGTGGCCAGTCATCTCGGGCTTGATCTCAACCGAGTTGAAGACCTACGTGTCTCGTCAGTAACCATTCGACCAGAGATGACCGCGAATCGCTCGATTTGGCAAAGTAGAAAACGGAGCAACACTCACCTTGCCGTTGTAAATACCGACGACAGAGCCAATCATCTCCGGGACGATAATCATGTCACGGAGGTGGGTCTTCACGACGGCGGGCTTCTCGTTCGGGGGCGCCTCCTTCTTCGCCTTGCGGAGCTTCTTGATGAGGCCCATAGGGCGGCGCTTCAGACCGCGCTGGAACCGTCTCCGCGCACGGGCGTGGACCAACTACAAGCAAGCAATAACTTCAACGACGAGTCTCCTTGATGATGAGAAGGTTTCATCGAACCTCCATGAACTGTCGCGGAGATCGTCAGTTCCGAGTCCGGTTCATATGTCGTGCGTACGCACCTCCTCATTGCCAAGGTCGAGGAGCTTGTCAAGCTCAACACCGCGGTAAGAGAAAGTACGGAAGGTGCGCTTCTTCTTGAGCTCGGCGGCGAGGGCGGGGTCGGTAATGTCCGCGTCTTGGGCGCTCTACAAGACGAGATAGCCATGGTCAGCCCCTCCCGTCTTCCTTTCACATCCAAGCAGCAAGTACGGTAACATGATGAGACAGCAGCACCCCAGCAGACCGTACTCTCAGAAATTCAACAGGAAAGAGCGCTCACCATTTTGATGTCTGTCGGAGGGGCGGGCGGGGGATGCGGACTCGAGCCAGTGAGAGAGGAAAGCGTGAGGGACTGTACAGCGCGTTCCCACGCTCAGCCACACCCTCATAACTTCACTTCCTTGCGTCTTTGCACTTTCTTTCCTCACCCTCGAGTAGAATCCACAGGTCTTCGCGTAGGCGATTAAAGGTGCATCCATCGTATCCTTACGTTTGAAGCCCAGAAAGCTGAAAAGACCTGCTGCAGTGATCCGTGGCTACCCGCTAAACCTTTTCAGCCCTCGTACATAACATCAAAGTACGAACGAGTACTCCCGTTTCCGTCGTTCAAGATGCTCAACTCTTGTATCGGGATAGATGCGCCACATCGCCGCCTACCTGCTCCTCCAGATTGGAGGCAACGCCTCGCCGTCCGCTGCGGACGTGAAGAAGGTCCTCGGCGCCGTCGGCATTGAGGCCGATGATGAGCGCCTGGAGAAGCTCATCTCTGAGCTCGAGGGCAAGGACGTGAACGAGGTCTGTTCCTCCAGTATCCGCGTCGATTATCACGCTCACGGAATCCGTGTATTCCAGCTCATCGCTGAGGGCTCCGCCAAGCTCTCCTCCGTCCCCTCGGGCGGTGCTGCCGTCGCTTCCGGCGGTGCGCCTGCTGCTGGTGGCGCGCCTGCCGCTGCTGCCGAGAAGGAGGAGGAGAAGAAGGAAGAGGAGAAGGTTCGTACCTCGAGCTTGCTTATACTGCATTGGGACGCTGATTGTGCTTCGCTGCGATCCGCAGGAGGAGTCCGACGACGACATGGGCTTCGGTCTCTTCGACTAAACGACGATTGGCGACCGATATCATCGTGTACTGCATTATTGCCATCTGTAGCAATACAAGATATATCCGTTTGCGTGATCAACGCCTCGCCGTAGCTGTTGTGAGCTGCTACGGACTTCGCGATTGGCGTACTTGATCGAAGGCCATGTTGGACCGTCACTGGTAAAGACATACTTATTGTTGGCGCTAGCCAATCCTTGCCGTATGAATGATCGACATAATGAGTGCATCACAAAGTCCATCAGACGGTGAATACATACCTTCACGGACAGCAGTGTGCATCCGCACTGAGGCAGCTCACTTGCTTATGCTCCACTTCGGCAACAAATGAGTAATGATACTGCTAAGTATCCTGTGATATGATGGTTTTCGTCATCAAATTGCTCGGAGTCACTACTGGGCCGACAGCATATTTCATGCATGACGGAGGAATATGTTCCTCGCGCACATCGTGAAGGTTCGACGTTTGGGCAGTCTTAACCATCGTAGTGTTGTCGCCATGGTACAGAATTGAGGAATCGAATACAGCAAGTCCGTATATGCATACCACGTAATAAAGACAGTGCAGAATACAGTAAGCACAGAGGTCGCGGAATGCACGGCCGGGGATGTTTTGTGTAAACAACCTGCGATAAAGACCGAGCTGCGCACCCTCGGAACTGTGCGTCTAGGCAGCCATATACGTAGCACACAAGATCTGGGTTGATGTAGTATGTCAGGATCCGGTTGCATGTATGTAACGCTGACGATAAGCGGCGTCGGTGTGATGTACGGAGGGGAAGAAATGCCAGAATTCGGAGAACGTTGCAGTTTTCACCTGATGCCCAGTGCAGCGCGCAAGCCCGGATATAGGAGATCTCGACCGAAGGACGATACCCATTGCTTGCATCGACGTAATGAGCTCGAGACGGAGAGAGAAGCGGTAACTTTCAGCGAACTTGAACGGTCGGTAAGAATCTCGGCTTTCTTTGAGAAGCTCTTCTCCGGAGGTAAGTTGTCCAAGTCAGTGGTCGTGGGCTTGGCCATGAAGCCCGATACAAGATATCTGTTGCCTCACGATCCTCGCAATCGTCGATGTTAGGCTGCGCCCAGCTGCGTCTGCTGGCTCCGCACATGGCCGCATTTCGGAATTCGGTAAGATATGATGATGCCCGAGGAAGCTCCAGGTAAAAGGGTTTATTGACATGTTGCCTCTGCATCGGTACAAGCACGTAGAGAAGGAAAGGCGGTGATCCACCGAACTCTTACGGCGTAGTGAAGGTGAAAAGCCAGAGGAAAGCATTCATAATTGCCGGCAGCCTAAGCCGAAGTATTCGTGGGACTATGCAAACTATATGGGGATAAGCGGTGAGGTATTACAGCATTCAACTTGCGTAATTTATCATCCCATTCGGTCAGCCCGGGTTTCGTCCCGTTCCTTTCGGACTGCTGCTGCTGCGTCAACCGAGCCCTAGTACCACTTACCCAATCGAAGTTATCCCTGTATATACCCCATCAACTCCAGCCCACATGGGGATAGATATAAGAAGCGCTAGATCCTGCCTCAGTCTCATCTATTGATCCTCCGAACATCCACAACCGCGATACTATGCAACCCGAGGCTACAACATCCACGGGATTGTCAGACTCTGACTCTTTCGCGAGGAGGAATACATCCTGTGCAGAATGTCGACGTTCCAAACTAAAATGTGATAGGTCAACACCTAAGCTACATCTCCAGATTATTAGATGTGCTCAATTGTGCTGTGATGACAGGCTGGTACCGTGTTCGTCGTGCAAGAAGCGCGGATGCGCGAATCTTTGTCCGCATGGCACTTTGGTCGCGGTCAAAGGAAATCAGTGCGACCTTCTATCGCATTGCTGCAATCAGCGTTCCGACTGACCGATTCCGACAATTCCGACAGAGCATTAGCTGCACAGTCTAAGAAGCTGGCGGAGCAAGTGAAGCAAATGTCGCTCAGGATCAGGAACCTGGAGATTGAGCTCGAAGCCGCCCGGGCCCTCCAGGTTTCTCGAGTCTATGAGCGTGTATCACGCAGTTCGACACCGCTTGAGAACGTTTCGCAGGTGGTGGCGCCGGGCATGCGAAGTACAAGCGCAGCAGGTACTCTGATTTTCGGAAACGATGGGCAAGTGCGCTACCATGGAGAGACGGCGGGATCGGAGGTGCGAAAGTTCGTCTTTGATTGAGACCTCGCATTCACATTGATGGCTTTAACCTCAGCACTTGGCATCCTGCCTTGTGGTATGTTAACTGCGAGTGACATGAACTATGCTCATACATTCGTCCAGGAGCAGCATGGTTCCGATCCTCAGAAACCTCGAGGTCATCGAGACCTCGGGCTGGCATCAAGCATCATTGAACTATCAAGAACATTCCCTTTCGGTATGTTCCGCCAATAATCGTATATATATGAATCTCAAATTGGAATTGTAGGCGACCGTCGAAGCACGGAAGTTTGTGACAAGGAGGATTTTGCTCAATACATCCCGCCGCAAGAGCAAGCCATACATCTATTCAGCCAGTACGCTGATGAATGCGGATGGATGTGAGTAACGACTATTCACCTCGGAAATCTCGACTTTGGTTGACTAGACGGGCGCAGGTTCCGACCCATGGTTTGTAGCGATGCCGAGGCGCTCATACACGACGTTTATAACGAAATCCCCGGCGGGCCTCTAGGCAATGTTGACCTCCACAGGCTGTCGCTTTTCTTCACCCTGCTCGCCCTCGGGGCCCGCGCACAGGCGAATACCTCTTCTCCAGACGCCGAGCGGTACTACACTCTAGCGTGCGCGACCTTTGCCCTAGATCGGCAGCTTCTACGGCCATCGCTCCAAAGTGCTCGAACGTTATTTTTCATGGTCCTATACGAATGGTTCTTCGAAAGTGCGGACGTCGAGCGACCGTGGATGCTCTTGGGGCTCTGCGTTAGTGCATGTCAAAATCTGCGCCTTGAGCGCGAACCTGCTTGGTCGTCAAACATGAACGAAGCAGAAGCGGAACCACGCAGAAGGATGCTGTGGGAGCTCCTTACGCTCGCGACCGTAACCGTGAGCGCCCATCCTACAGCCATTGCTGCCAGTCCTCGACGAAATTTTGTAGTCCATTCACGTCGGTCGGCCCTCCGCTCTGACCATCCACAACATCGACGCACATTTCCCGGAGGACCCAAAGACAGTCGAGGATGCGGATGGTCATGCTGACTTTGGTTGTACGTTTCCACACGGTTCGACCATATCCATCAGCTCACCACTCGTCCAGTCCACGCATGGAAGTTTCGTTATGCTGGTGAGCGTTCGGTCCTCCGTTCGGCGACGATCGCTATGCTGACACGTTTCCGTTATCACAGCCTCTTGTCTTTCTCGGGTTACAGATCACGTTTTAGGACCTCCGTCTGCCTACGCGGAACTTCTGGACGTGGATAAGGAAATCAGAGTACGAGGTTCCTACAGCATTGGCTGCACTGTGCTCACCGGATTTCAGCGTTATCCAGTTCCCGAACAGCTCCAAGTTCCCACCCAGGACCGTGACCCCTCTTGCTCGTGGTCGATCACTCCGCAATGCGCCCTGCAGCAGTACTGGGTATGCCCCTTGGCTGTAGAAACCGTCGCCAGCATTCTCATCGTCTTAACAGGTCATGTTCTATAAGGAAAGCAGTATGTCAATCTGCGACATTCGGACATTTCCGATCTAACCCGAAGATGTTTGAAAAGCGTTGCTATACATTCATCGGTCGTACGCCGGGCGAGCTCTGAAACATTGCCCTCACAACCCACTGTTACACGAATACGCACCTTCGGTGCTGGTGCTTTACCGCTCCGCATCGCGGCTCATTACTACGGTTTGCGATCTCCACTCTATACATCCTGGGGCAATTCGTTCTGTTTCCTTATTCTGGTCTGGGATATTCTCTGCTTGTGTGAGTACCGCGGTGCTCCCAGCGCATGTGCCATATCAGATGCTGACGACTTCGGTTAGATCTCTCTCGGATCACTCGTCGTCGGGAGCCCGTCGTGCGCCTTGGCGGAGAGCGCTCTAGCTACCTTGGAGAAAGGTTATCTACTATACCAAGAGAGTGGACAGGGCTCAACTCACCCATCTACTCTAGTGAGTATCTTATATATCATATACTGTGAACCGTGCAGTAATCAGTAACCCGATACTAGGCTGCCCTCCATAAACTATTACCTAGAGCTCGTCGAGCCTTTGACTCGATCAGAGGGGTCGCCGTCGCTCACGACATCGCTGTGACTCCCGAGACTTCTCTGTACCTCCAAGACAACCTCGGGCTCCCTGCAGACGAGCTCCAAGTCATGGGAGGCTTCGGCGGCGTCCTGAGATTGCGAGTAGATGAACTGCAAAGCGTCCTGGAGCCGCCCTTCGCGGATGTGTCACTTCAGGATGCTGATATCGCCATCCCAGACGGATCCCAACAACTCGGCCCGGGATGGCAGGGCGACCTGCAAATGTCACATCATCAATACATGCCGCCCGTGAACACATGGTTCGACGACATCTTCAGCATACCCGCCCAGCCTCCCATCATCAACCACTCTTGGTAATGCTTAATAGGCATCCCTAAGATGACGCTGAGCTATATATTCTCGATGCTTGTGCTCCCTGCTTCCAGGTCTCGCAACTAGAAATTTGCATACATATCGTACTGGTTTTATAATTCTTGCATGTCGACCCACCAGTCCATGCTGTATCATATCACAGCTTGCTGCTACCGTTGTGTAGAATACAAAGAGATCCTGATCGCTAGATCAGCGGCTTTTGCATTTACCACTACATGCTTTGCGCGCTCAGTCCATCAATGATCTGCGTGGAGTTCGCGACAAATCCCAATCCTAAGCCACGACTCAGTGAAGCTGTTGTCACGGACATCAGATCGAGTACGTACCATTCGCATTGAAGATGACCATCTCCGTAGCGAACTCCGGGGAGCTGGTCGCGGAGGCGTCCTGGACGAAGATGGCGTCGTATCCCTTGTAAGCGGCGTCCTGCATATCGTCGCATGAGCCGTCAGCAGGCGCAACCTACGCGATCTCCGGCTCACCACGAAAGTTCCCTACATGTCATCGCGTCATCAATCGTGATTCTACAGTGCATGACTGGAGTGTACACACAAACACACACTGATCCGTATTGACGCCTGTGATGAAAACTGTTGAGATGAGGTTGTCCTGGAGGAACATGTTTCCAGGCGTCTGCGCCCCCCAGAAGCAGCTGAGGCGATCTAGTGGTAGACCATCAGTACATCAACATAATAGTTTAGACATTCGACATACTTTTAGGAAACTGGACGTCGGTTCCGTTTGCAATACCCTCTTGGGCGAGGTCCCAGAGAGGACCGTATTGCTGAGCCGTAAAGGAGCTCCCGTCAGGCTGCGTCATGATCACGCTTCCCGTTTGAGGACTGACTGACCTGGGCATTCCACGACCCTGGCACCAGCTTGCGACCCATATCCACCTCTGTGCCGTTATCGTTGATCATGCCCATCTCATCACCCATGGTCATGTTCGGGTTGCCGCCGCTCGCGAAGTTGAAGAGGAACGCGGGCGGCATGGTCAGGAGATCATATTCGCTGAGACCCCACTGGCACCTGCATAGCGAACTCCGTCAACCAGACGCAACCGCAGGATGTGCGATGCAGGTAAACTATCATGACGAACCATATTACCTTGGATCCAGCAGCTCGGAAAGCATGGACAAGGTCGATGTTCGGCTGGACCACCGCACGGCCAGCTGAAGAGGTGGACAAGTTGGGGTGCAGGAAGAAGTCTAGACGACGGCGGGCAATAAATCGATAAGAGTTTGTCTCTGCGAGGAAAGAACGTACTTTGCATGTCTGTAAGTAGTTCATGGCGACGGTGTTTGCTACGTATCTCGAACGGAATAGCAAAATACTATACCTATGATGACCAACGCGCTCCTCTCTGGGTTGATGAGTATCTGCCTGTTCAATTATCCGTGAGGGATCCGTTCACCAAAACCAGAGCAGCTCACTTGTTCGTGTTGGTCTGAATGGACTTGGCACCCGTGGAGTTGCCTCGGGTGAGGTCGAAACCATCAGAGCCGTACGTCCAGAAATTGTATAGATTCCCGAGGCTGTCCGATGATATATTGGCCCGCGGTCGTAGATGATTGAAAGTGCTGGTTCCTTCAGCGCCCGTGAATCCTGGCGTAGATGGCGCAATGGACAGGGCTTTTAAGGCCAGAGATATCACGGTCAGTAAAGCGATCATTGTGTGCAAAGAGTGGAGAGTGTGCGATCTCCCGAGTTTGGGTGGACGAGTAAACACCTCTATCGTGACTGGGCACGCCGGTTTTGTACGGCCAAAGCGACAACTCGGCGCTCCGTAAGCGTACGCAAGCGCTTCCAACACGTTGGATGCATGATAACGCGAGGTGCATGACCAGGCCCCACGTATCGCGAAGGGTTTGCGCGTTCGGGAAGTTCTCAAAGTGAATACGGAAGAGACGAGAAGTGGCAAGGGCACGGTAGCGTGAGGGCCGATGACCTCCATAGAGAGCGACGAATCACAACACGCACTCTTCCGATGTATAAATATCTTTTCGATCGTTCAAACGTTCACTGTCGACGGATGATATCGGCCATCACCAGCGTGTCGTGTTAGATGGCCCACAGGCAACGCTACCCTGGAACAGTCTGTCAGGTACTTCAACACGTTGCAAGGCTGATGCAAGCATATTCGGTAAAACGCACCAGAACATAACAAAGCCCCCGAGAGAAGCGAGATATATCAGCGCCAACTGGCTTAAGCTTGCAGGAGGACATGTGACCCTCAGGTGGTTTGAACCCCGGTGAACACGGGATAGCAGCATCTCTAATCTGAGGCTTCAGACTCAAACATTGTGGAGGCTAGTTCGTTTCGGATTTTGAGTCTTGTTATAAGTGTGTTCAAGCAGATCGCAAATGCGCGGACCGGGGGGGGGGGGAGCAAAGAGGCGGTCCAGCGTACCGTCCGTGGTAAATCATCGCTCAACGAAGCGCCTTATATTTACCACGGATTCTTTGCCCCGTCAACGTTCGTAAACTGCCCTTTCTCGTTTTCCCGTGTGGCTTTGTCTATGATGAGCAGCTGTGCCACAGTATCGTTAACTGTTTTGTACGGTGTCGCCCCCAACGGAGGTTCTCTCTTCACGCTGTCCTTCCCTACGATGTTAACTCGTCGGCTATCTGGACCATGCAAGCTCAGAAAGTATATAGCTTACCCATGTCGGTGTCGACCGGACCGGGGCAGGTAGGGAAGATCACTGCGGGTATAAGCACGTTCCTGTGTTAGAGGCTACGGGTACGGAAGATATAGCTGACCACCTACCCAGCCCATCCTCCGCATGCTCAAAGTGCAATTTGCGAGCCAGGTAGTTCTTAGCGGCCTTCGAGATACCGTACGAGTCCATCGGTACAGGTCACGTTGCTCCAGGCTCGAGGCTACCAATTTGCGACGAGATCATTAAGAACTTCGGCGCGGTCGAGGAAGCCTTGAGCAGCGGTAGCGCAGCCTTGAACAACACGAATGCTCGACAACGTTCACCTGTTTGCACGTACAGGTGAACAATCGCACGTGGATATCAACAGAGCGCGTCGCGTCACTGTCGCGCCGCGCGCTCCTCATCGCTCGTGATCTATCTCCGCCTCGGAATAGTACTTAAGGACTCCTCTTCCAACAATCTGACTATGCGTATACGAACCGTCATGTTATGCATTGGGGCTGAGTATGTCTCAAGTGAGCAACTGGACGAAAAAAGCTACATCAATCTTCCCCGCTGCAGTTTCCGATCTTCCATCAGTTAGGCTGATCAGACGGGCTTAGCTCCTACTAGTTTTCGGCATGCGCGCAGGACTAATTCGGGTATCCAAAAGCCTGCCACTATACACGAGCGACAGGAGTTCTATAGTGCTGAACTACCTTCTACATCAAGACCCTTGGTATCCCGTTGTACATGGATGAGGATCTGCAGACGCGTGTTCTGTCGATGTTCCCATCACCACGGATTCTTTGCGCCATCAAAGTTCAGGAATTGACCGCCCTCGTTCTCCCTCGTGGCGTTGTCTATAACCTTCAGCAGCAAGGCGGCAGTGTCATCCACGGTCTTGAACTGCATCGAGCGTACGGCTTCGTCGCGCTCTGCGCTAAACTTGGCTGTGGCATGGTGATTTCAGCTGCATCGAGCACGCAGGGAGCATTATCACCTACCCATATCGGTCTCAACCGCACCAGGACATATGGGGAATATCACTGTGCGCCTTTCGTCAGTAACCTTGTCATGAAACCCATATCACGGGACTCCAATGGACCGCACCTAGTCCGTCCTTCTCATGCTCAAAGTGCAACTTTCGGATCAAATAGTTCTCGGCTGCCTTTGATACTCCGTACGGCGTGCTCTGGAACGGCAAACTTGCCCCGAAATCGATACCGCCGGCTTGCGACGACACGGCAACGAATTTTGGGGGCGCGGACCCCGAAGATTTGCTAGCTTGGAGGAGCGGCAATGCGGCTTTGAACAACACGAAGGTGCCGACGACATTGACCTGGAAGTACCTGGATGTGAATGTGACGCTTCTCGTGACAAAACATACGAACGTCAAAAGTTTTCCGCAGGTCTTCTTCTGAAGACTGGTATGCAGGGCCGACCGAAAGGTTCACCCCTAATGACACCATCATCTGGATCAGATGCACATGTCACCAAGTTTGAATGGCCCGTACCAGCGTTGGCGATGACGACATCCAGACGGCCGGCCTTTTCTTTCACGAAGGAGATGGCCTCTTCGTTACCCTTGAGATCGCTCGACACCAGTTTGACGATGTACAGCTTTCCCGGTCGCTCGGCTGCTAGCTTCTGGAGATCTTTGGCGTCGTCCGGGTTGCGCGCTCCTGCGAACACGACGGTGTTCTCGCGAGCGGACAAGGCTTTCACGAGACCGAATCCTGTGTGGACATATGCAAACCGTCATCTGTTGACCGGCCAGGATAACTCGAGGAATAGAACACCCACCGATCCCGCGGTTTGCGCCAGACACTAGATATACGACGGGGGCCATGTTTCACGTAAGTTACTAGCTCCCGAACGGTCGATATGCACATATATAAACACCTCGTACACCTCGAGGCTCGCCATCGTATCGACCATCATCGTGACGCCAATGGGTCTGACAAACAATCGGAGATGATTAAGCCCCATCCCACATCGCCAGGCCAAGCTTCCAAGGCGGTCTCCTACCAATAGTCGAGCGCTTTGCAGTGCTGCCCCTTTCCTAGGTACAAGTGCTGACTCATTGACACCGATAAGGGATACATCGCGTGGATTGTCGCCATCGGCGACTTAGCAATAATGACCTTACAAATTCTCTGGTAGACAGGCTTCTCAAAAATAATGCACATCCGATCACGATTGCCTGCGCGCTCTCCGCAATCCGCTGCCAATGTGCATAGATCTTATCACAGGCGCTCATCGAACGCCTACTTCATCGCGGTATGCGATGTTGTATGACATTGTACGATGCTTGCTCTTTACTACACTATTGTCGTGTCGCCTTCGTCTGTGGTGAGAAATATTGGCTTCTGTGCGGCCTAACTGGAGGTGGCCGTCTCGCACCCGCTTGGTCCTGAGGCGGGAACTTCGTCCCAACTCCACCGTCGAGTACGAGCATATGCATCTTCCGGCACGCATCGAAGCGCGAGCCGGAGCAGTGCATTTCATGCTGTCCACAGTGGCACGCATGCTATCCGATCCCTTCAATCATCGTAGCCCTGAAGATATCCCTCTGAGTATGTCCGAGTCAACACGAGACGTTCCTGAAGATTGTTTGTCGATCCGCCGCATGTCGCCGGGATCCGGGGACAGGCGCAGAGCAAAGTCACGCGTAGTCACTTCCTAAAGGGTGTCAATCATGCTCTGACAGAGGAAGCGTATTGTATTTCGGGGGCATGACAGCACAAAACCACGGGTAATGGTGCATACATACAAATTGAATTGCGAGATGCGAGATCATGTCGAATGAGCCCTGCTGAAGGTAGCGATATCGACACGTACGCGAAGCGCAGTGCGAGCGAGTCCACAGAATACACAGTGGGCTTACCATGATGAACCGGCCCTGAAGCCCAGTTATGCTCGTTCCCAAGAACGAACAGAACATCGATGTGTACCTATGCGTGTCACTGGACATGAGATCTTGAAGACGGAAAAGAGAAAAATACCGAAGCTCACCTGTGCACCGGTTTCGAGGGCTCCCACGAAATGCGAAGGTCGAAAACAGCCGTTGGCTTCCCCCGAAGGGTACTAGTCCCCCAGGCCACGAAGAGGCCGGCTGCCGGATTGCCAGCGACAGGCACTGGCAATCCTATCCTGGGAGAATCTTGTCCTTGAACTCCGGAGGGACCAGACCAGCGACCAAGGGACCAGGGGACCAGGAGGACCAGAGGCAGCTGTAAAGGCTAAAAAGGGAGCAAACGTCAGAACGCTAAGCGCGAAAAATCCCGTGTCCGTGCCACGACTATCTATTCATCTACGACTGTCTAAGAAGCTATCTAAACCACTCTCCCCATTCCAACTCCATCCAACCCCCTTTTTTCGAGGCAGACGCGTGGACGTCCGTCGAGCCCGGCGTCCCGAACTCGGCCTGCGATGGAGAAGATCGAGTGAGCAAGAGGCCGAAGGCGACACGTAGGAGCGAGAAACGTACCGAACATCCAGGCCTGCAAGCTGGCGCACCGACGTCGCCGAGGGAGATCAGTGGGTTACTGGAGGAAGCCCAGGCGATCGCAGCGTCCCGCTCTCGACCTAAGGATTAACTCAGGTGAGCAAGGCTCGACGAAAGACGCAAGGGAGAAGCTAGCTTACCGGACGTCTTTCAGCAACTGCGTCCCTCCTCTCCGAACCCGCGAAGGACACCCAAGTCGCATGAGGAAACACATCGCATGGGCATTTTCATCCACACAACGACGCGAACCTCACCAAACGGGAAGAATCGAGAAAGAACGGGCCAACGGCGCTCAAAGAGCGTCGCCGGTGTTCTCTCCCTCCTGTCCACGTCCGCCACAACGACCCAGGGCCCAACCGGTTCGAAGACTCGGACACACTCCGAATCGGCTTCGTCTTCTGTGCTTTTGTGTCGGCGGCGTGCGGAAGATAGGGGATGGTACCACCTCCTCCAGGGCCGACGCCGACGACGTCGACCCCTTCGAGCGCGTGGAGGGGCACGGTGCCTGTGGGACTCGCGCCCTAGTCCCAGGAGCCATCGGGCGCCGCCGCCGCGCACCCGAGGCTCCGCGAGGGCGCCTTAGACGCAGCCTCGCCTCGCCAGGGCTTTGAGGACGAACATGTAGTACTCATCCTGAGAACGAGGATTAGTTCGTGAAGAAGGGTGGGGACGGGAGCGGACCTACCCCGTATCTTGCCGCGTACCGATCCGCAACCTGCTCGGGGTGGAAGGAAACTCCGTGATCGATGAGGGCCTGGAGCTCAGCAAGCACCTCGGCTTCCTTCTCAAGCACTTGGACTTGATCTAACAACGTTGGTTAGTACGGACATTAGCAAAACCAAACGCGAGTAGACGTACTAGAACCCCGCAGCAGACGCGTCATCCTCCGCAGCCTCCTTGAAGACGAAGGAAGCTTCGGAAGCGCGGGCAACCTGAGCTTGAAGTTGACCCTGGGAGCCCGCGCTGGGGAAGAGGTGGACGTCGGGGAAGCAGAGCGGTCGACCTTGCAGTCAACGGTGTGAGTATCTGCAACCGCCTGCGCCTCCTTCTTCCTGCGCAGCATGACGACACTGACGCCCTCCAGCATGTGCAGAGAGCGCAGGTTGCTGAATCGCCATTCCGCACGTTCGAGGTCGTCGGCGTCGCCCTCGACAGTGCCGCTCATCAGACCGAGGATCCGATCCAAGGCGCGGGCTTCTTCGGAGATGGCGTCGGCCACTTCCTTCTCGTAGACGCGGTAGACATCTCCGAGCGCAGTGTAATTTTTGGCGAACTCGATGTACTCCATGTGAGGGCTGGTGAAGATCGCGAGTCCGGCGTGCATTCTAGATAGCTTTTAGAGAGGTAGAGGTGTAAATAGGGGTAGGTCTTTGACAGCGGCGGTGATGGCTAGAACTAGAATGCTGGAGATCAGTGTGACCGGAACACCTGGGTTTTTATACGCGCTCGATGGCAGGGAGTGCGGAAGTACAATATTTGCATCGTACCGTCGCGGGACGCGTTCAGCATTCCGCGACGATACGATGCAAGTGTGGGCATGGAAAGAGAGGAAGAGAGTCATCCGACTGTGTCGCGGAATGACGCGACTCCGGTTGCCTCACTGTCAGGGCCCTACAGCCATGAAACGCCGGTTTATCGTTTCCCTGCATCGCCTTCCACACAAGTCCTAACGAAATCCTTACACAACAAGTTAAGAGCGCGCGAGACCGCGGGTTGAGCGCTGAGCGCTGAACAGGGGACCACTTGGCAATATATACTCCCGGACCCGTTGTTACACGTGTCTCTGGCGAACGCTGCATTGATCAGGCTGCGACGATTCTGACTCCCCCAAGCTGCGCTGTCTGCACATATAGTCTGACCCAGATACTTGCGACGCTTGCTCATGCTTGCAGTACTGTTTGTCAGACGAACTTCTCGTTCAAGCTCTCTGTATGAGTCGAGTGCATATTTAAAGCTAAGGTTGCTTTCGATCTCCTTGATCATTCCCGCTCGTCGTATATTTGGTTTCTGCCGTGAAACGTGGAATCGGTGAGTGCTGTGATGTGGTAGCGATTGATTTAGTCAATAGTTGACGTATCGAAACCGATGACCGGGTCTTGTGAAGGCGCTGTCCGAGTCCACTCGGGAGAATACCGTCGTGTTCGCTGAAGCGCGGGACCCGGCGGATCTGCAGAGATTAGCAGCCGAACGGCCGGGCAAGCTGCATATCCCGAAGCTGGTATCGAGCGATGCCGAAGGCAACGAAGAGGCGGTCTCGTTCATCCGCGAGAAAGGCGGTCGTCTAGACGTTGTCATCTCGAACGCTGGTGAGTGCCACCGATGTCATATTTCAATGTGTGCTGGAGCAGATCCTGGGATTCCAGGTATAAGCTACGCGTATGGAAGATCTGCGAAAGCATTTCGAGTTCCGTGACAGACTGTTCGTTCTCGTGACTTTTGCTCGCGCTCGTAGTCATATCACATGCTCCTTTAGGTCAACGTCGTCGGTACCTTCGTCCTGTTTAAGGCTGTAGTGCCGCTCCTGAAAGCCATCAGTGCTTTCGGATACGCATTCGTTCTTATGTTCACTGCACATGTGCTGAACGTACTCGTTCTTATGTTCACTGCACATGTGTTCCCAATACTGCCGGAGAAGATGTCATATGACTTCTCCACGTTGTCAACTGGGAATATTGCTGCGCGCCCTCCGTGTACGTATAACTTGAAGCTTGCCTGGGTGGACATGCATGCTCAAACCTCCTTACCAGCTGCCTAAGCGCTCATGATATGTGATCTCGCCAAGTCCACACCATCAGATTGCACTACATAGTCTTCACAGCCCTATGATGAACCATTATAGCCGCTCCATCAGCGATCGAGGCGAAGGGAGCGTTGAGTGGCGGCTGGGCATAACTCTCCCACCGAGAAAGTATCCTGGTTGGGGGTTATACATACATTGCATGATCATCAGGTCCTGGCAGGTCAAAAGTATGGCACTTGGCGATAACGTTGGAAACCATCGATCCTGCCCACCCTTCGCATCTCGAATCCACCCGTTCTTTAACCTGCAGTGTCGACACCTCATTTACATTCCCTCTCTCCCTCACACACGCCCCTGACAGGAATGTAGCTTGCGAAGACTGGAGACCCGTTTTTCATCATCTTTTTGTCTCTGCGGCCAGGTATGCGCGATTCATACGTGACATATGCCCGCAAACGAAATCAGCCCCGATTTTTTTTCTCATAGGTGTTCGCATTCTATTATCATATATCCATTCACTCTCCATTCATTTGCTCATTGTCTATCATCTGGATCACGTTCAAAGGGACGTGCACGATAGTCAAGACAAACACGTTCTTTCTAGTACTTACGATGGGGCTGTCGCACAAGCACAACCGCCCGACCCTTCAAACCGGCATCAACGAGCGGGTTGTTGATCCCGAACCAACAACTTTTCATATAATAACCATTGTATTCTCAGAGGTTCCTTCTCCTACTTCACTCTCTTCCACTACATCCACTTTCGTCGACGTCGCTCCGGTGACATCGCCTCCCTCTCCTGCTCTTTTTACATACTCTTCTACTTCATCCACTCCCGTCGGAATTGCTCCGGTGACACCGAGCGAGGACTTCACCTTCGGTCCAGCGGCATCCGCCACTACCGATGCCGCAGCCTCTGCGCACGATTCGTCTGCTGCAACAGCAACAGCGCCTATGAGCACAACGACTCAGAGTTTTGCAGTGCCCAGTGCACCCTTTATGCCCACAATCATACCCTTGGCAACCAGCACTGGCAGCGCGAGCAAGGAGCAGACCATCGGGGAAGGTCGAATCCTAGGCGGTGTTGCCGGCGGACTCATCATCATGCTCGTGGTGTTCGTCATATTTCTCAAAATGTACTACCAGCGCAGGACGCGGAAACTCTTCGAGAAACCCCCAGGCTGCACAGAGGACGGGTCTGATACTGTATCTCCATACCCTCTACCCCTTCCGGCGACCAGCGGCCATATCAACAGAACCTCTCGAAAGTTGAGGGCATTCGCCACGCCAATTAGGTCGCTCACCAGGGGATATTCTGCCATGCAAACGTCGCCCTTCAAGATGCCCTCTGCCGAGAAGATCCGAGAGACAGATAACCCGGAGCCGTTGGTCGTTTTCAATCCAACTGCCGAGAAGATCCGAGAGACGGAGAACCCGGAGCCGCTCGTGGTGTCAAATCCAGCTGCTATAACACAACGATCGTCGCTGTCGCAGCCGGACGGCGGCACGCAAAACCCCGCTCAGTAAGCTGCCTTGACGGAGACGGAGACGCAGCAGCGGGATCGCAAATAGCTTGTCGCTGTGCACACGTTAGCAAAGCAGCCGCCGCCATCGTATGGGGGTACTACGAACTAGGGGTTTGCAGCTTTCGTTTCTCGCTCATTGCAACGGAGGATGTCGTGTCCGATGCTTTCCAGATTATACCCGGATGGCGAAGGTTATGGGACCATTGTTGCCAGTACAAACCCTCTATGCGAAAGACAATTATTCGGCACGTCATTGTTGATTATGAGCATAGGATATACAGATGATACAAAGCTTCCGTGTGCAGGGATGTCTTTAATGGTAATTTCTGGGAGTTCGGTCGTCGTAGGGGTGTAACGCGCCGGTCCTGCTTCCCTGCAGGCACGTTCAAGGTGCATCTTACATTGCACGATATGAGATGAACTTCCAAAAAGCGGCCTGACCTCTGCGATGACTGCATTGCTTACTCGACGTGAACCTCTGTCTGAGTTCGTACAGGCCCTGGGAGCGGCAGCGAGGAGGATCGTATTCGGCCGAGGCGCTCCGCTGCAGCGGAGATGTTCCACGTAGCTTCCACGCGACGTTACAACGATGGACAATCCCTTTCTGGAGATACCCTTCATGCAACGCGGCAATGGCGACCAACTGTGGCCAGCATACCAACCGCGATTTCGCCCGGAAACGTGATGTGGTTCAAGTGCATACAACGCTGGGCATCCTTCGGAGGGATACTGCGGGCGATGGGCGCATCGTCGTCAAGCTGTGTTGTTCGAAAAGGGCATCAGTATTGCGATGTAGGCTACCTGTTCTGGATGAATTCCGCGTTCTTCCTCATTGCTGCTGCTTTGCCATCATGGTAGATTCTTTCTTATACGTGGCCTCAGCCCTTCGGCATCTTAGACTGCAGCAAAAGTTGTCATCGGCTCGCTCAAGTTTGCTGTGATACCGCAAAGCGCTGGTTTGGTATGTGCCACAAACTTCGTGTTTTTCCAACTCTGATCGTTTTATTGTAGTTATTTTCTTTCATAAACAATAGCGGCACTGTAGCGGACCGTCCGACATGGCACCAGGAATCACCACCATCACCACAGTCCAGTTAATCACGGTGCACCCCTCACCGTCCTCCAATGCAGCGAATGTTGTTACAGTCTCTACATTTGCCCTCACCACGATATTCATTTCACCCACCTCCGACAGCACCCTCGCTAGCAGTGGGAGCGTCAGCGGGCCGGTGACAAGCCAACTCGTTACCGCCGAGCCCTTCAGCTCTGCGTCGGGCGTCAGCACTGTGGTGTCTCTGACTCGTGCTAGCTCTGCCCATGACAGTTCAACATCATTTACCGCACCCTCCAATGCGCCGCTTGCATTATCAAACAGGAGCACGTCAACGATACGCGCAGGCCCGATCGCTGGCGGCGTCGTCAGCGTATTAATCGTCTTCCTCGCTGCGTTCGTCGTCCTCTTCAGGAAACGCAGGAAGCAAAGGGCAGAGGGACGCTCTGAACCACTACCACGCCCCGACCAGGCCGAAGAGATTCATCCCTATCCTTTACTATCTCCGACCACTGCCGTCCGAGGCAACAGAATCTCCCGCAAGTGGGAGACGCTCGCCAGCGGTTCCTCCTCCTTACGAGCGTCTCCTACTCCCGGCGTCCCTGCAAACCCCGCGAGCCACGCGAAGACGCCCGTCGTTAGCGTACGGCAAACCGAGAACCCCGAACCGCTCGTCGTCCACGACCCCTCCGCCATCATCGATTTGCACTCGACAGCTGCGCCGTCGATCACCGATAGCGCAGCGCGAGACTCGGACCAGGAGACCATCTTGATCGAGGCGCTCCGGAGCGCCGTGGAACATCTCAATGCTGTTCAGGCGTGGGCGGAGCGGACCCGACAGCTTCCACCGCCTTACCAGGACACCTCTGGGAGTGCGCAGCCAACGCTTTCCTTGCGTGGTAGCTGAGAGACATGCCACCCCATCACTCGCCCAGGACCTACTTCTCTCCCATGGCTATGCGATTTACCTTTCGGTCGTCCTCCACTAGCGCATAAGGTTGTTATGGACGTTCGAGGAAGATACCCCTTCTATGTATTTTATACCAAAGGCACGATTGTTCCGGACGTCATTGTGGATTAGGAGTACGATATACAGATATTTTACAGAACGTCGCTCATTATGCGGTGTCTTTGTTGATTTGTGATGATCAGCCGAATCTCGTGATAGGATTGTATGCGCTTCCTACCCCGCCCATCCTCGGTAGTTCTTCATAACCGAAGTTCGAGCGGGTTTGCGTGAAGTCGATTGGGTGAGGATGTTTGCATTGTTACGGATGGACGGTAATCGGGGGCAGAAGCGGAAGCAAGAGGCGGGCAGAGTCAGTGCCGATTGCGCAACATCATTTGCGAGCGCGTCGTACTAGGCCCGCTATGAGGAGGGTACCGACGGCGGCTGCACCAGCGGCGAGTGCCATCCCGATGTAGCCCTCTACGGGGAGATGCTATGATCAGCACAAAGATCGACGATATGAAGACAGGAAAGGGCCTAGCGTACCTTGTTGCACCTTCTTCTCGATGAGCGACTCGAGGCTCTGCGCCTGCATGTTCTGGGGCTCTTTGTCGAGAAGGAGCACGTTAAACTTGCGCGCCTCCTCGTAGTTGCCCATCTTGTAGTGCCCTAGCGCGAGGTAGTAGAGGCACTCTCTGCGTCGTCCGGGCTCTGCGCGGTATATCTCTGACGAACGGGAGTTCGTGAGATTCTTCATGCCATATACAAGCTAATGCGGAGGCTCCCGGCTCACCCTGCAGTAATCGGACGCCTTCCACCTGGTGTTCCCGCAGCGGACTCTTGACGAGACCCCAGGCATAGTTGAACTTGGTCTGCACGGTTACGTGCGACTGCGCCAGTTCGCGTTCGTACTGTAACCTCAGGACCTGGAAGGGGGGCGCGTGTCAGCTTCCGAGACGTCATCGGGTTCCGGTCGGCAAACTCACGTCCAGTTCATCGTACGATAGCGACACCTCCGCATCTGCAGCGTAGGGTAGTTCTGTGGCCTTCTTCATTCCGACAAGAATTGGGGAAAGGTTGAATGAGGTTGTGTAGGGAAAGGCTGTTAAGAGGAGGATGCGTGCTGCGTGCGGCAAGAGCTGCGTGCCCGGCTGTGCCGGGTGATTCGCACGCTCCCTCCTCTTTCTCCAACGTTCGAGCCAGCGCCTCATTACCCAACGACTCGAAAAACAGCACACAAGGCGCCAAAAAAGGGCTATCTATACGAAATGGCCGACGTTGGTGAGTGTAGAACCGTCTCGCCACCTCTCTCGAGTCTCATCCCTGGGCGGCAACGTGCAGGGTACGGCGACAGAGGTGAATACCCTCCCCCTCCTCCGCGTCCGAGCCTCGCACCGAAAAAGACCTCTTTTTTTTCTGCTATCTTCTCCCTTCTACCAGCTAGCTAGCCCTTCGATTCACGGTCTCTAGCGGTCTCGCTGTGCTATACCCTTGCCCCGCGCTACCCAGGCGCCCTCCCCCTACTGACCGCCCTCGGATCGCGCCTTCCAGCAGAGCCACGTATACTCACCCCTACCCCTTTTTTCTCCCCCCTTCTAGACCGCCACGAGCGCCACCGCCCCTCCCGGTACGACGACAGAGACAGGGACCGCGACCGCTACGGCGGCGGCGCCCCCCGGCGAGACGACAGGCGCGAGCGCGACTACGAGCGCGACCGGCATGGCGGGCGCGGGTACGACGACCGGCGCGGCGGCGGGCGGCACGACGAGGACCGCCGAGGAGGCGGCGGCGGGCGCGGGCGCGACGACGACAGACATCACGGGCGCCGCGCGGACCACGGAGAGGACAGACGCGGGCGCGGCGGCGGCGGCGGCGGTGGCGGAGGCGGCGGGCGCGGCGCGAGGGAGAGCCCGGAGCGGCGCTCGCCGACGCCCGAAGGCGCCGTCCCGCTCTCGCAGCGGAAGCGCAAAGCGAGCGGGTGGGACGTGCACGCGCCCGGGTACGAGCAGTACACCGCGATGCAGGCCAAGCAGACCGGTGAGCATCGTCGAACGTCGGTACGCGGATAAGGAGAGCAGTCGCTGACACCGTATGCTTTTGCGCACAAAACAAGGTCTGTTCCCGCTCCCGGGCGCGAACCGGACCCAGGTACCGCCCATCCTGGCCGTCCCCGGCCTGCCGCCACCCATGCCCGTCCCCTCGTTCGGGATGGGCATCGGCGGAAACCCGAACCTGTCGCGCCAGTCGCGCCGGCTGTACATCGGCAGCATCACGCCCGAGATCACCGAGCAGAATCTCGCCGACTTCTTCAACAGCAAGATGATCGAGATGAGCATTGGCACCGGCGGCCCGGGCAACCCCGTGCTCGCCGTGCAGTGCAACTACGAAAAGAACTACGCGTTCGTCGAGGTGGGATCTCGTGTTACTCCTTATGCAAGCTCTGGTGTCTGAAGTGGAACGATGCATATAGTTCCGGAGTGCGGAAGACGCTACGGCTGCCATGGCGTTCGACGGGATCATCTTCCTCAACGGTCCTCTCAAGATTCGCCGCCCGAAGGATTACGGCGGGCCCGACCCGATGGGCGCGGGGTTGCACGTTCCAGGCGTCGTATCCACGAACGTACCGGATTCGATCAACAAGGTCTTCGTGGGTGGCCTGCCCGCGTACCTGAACGAGGAGCAGGTGATGGAGCTCCTCACGAGTTTCGGCGAGCTCAAGGCGTTCAACCTCGTGCGCGAAAACGGCAACGGTCCTTCCAAGGTAAGTCTATATCACGTTTCCCACGGGGTGACCCATACACTCATAAGCCACGGGACCAGGGCTTCGCCTTTTTCGAGTACGTGGACGAATCGGTCACGGACGTGGCCATCCAGGCGCTGAACGGGATGGAGCTCGGCGATCGGTACCTGGTGGTGCAGCGGGCGTCGGTGGGGGCCAAGCCGGGGATGCCCAACCTGCCGTACGAGCAGTTCCCGGAGCTGCCGCGGCCGATCATGCCCGCGGGGGACGTGTCGAACCGGGACGCGCGGATCCTGCTCATGCTGAGCATGGTCGTGCCCGAGGACCTGGTCGACGACCAGGAGTACGCCGACATCTGCGAGGACGTGAAGGAGGAGTGCGAGAAGTTTGGGGCGGTGGAGGATCTGCGGATCCCGCGCCCGGCGAAGCGGGATCGCACCAAGTGGGGCGAGGGCGCGGGGGGCCAGGCGCCGATGTCGGCGCAGGATTATCAGCGGATGGACGAGGCGGCGGGCGTGGGGCGGGTGTACGTCAAGTTCCGCGAGGCGAGGGCGGCGGGGGACGCGCTGAAGGCGTTGGCGGGGCGCAGCTTTGGGGGGAGGAGTATCATCGCGACGCTGTTGAACGACGAGAGCCAGACGTCGCCGCCGCTGCATGTGATCTTTGCGCCGCAGCCGGAGGCGCCGCCGCCGCTCCCGTCGTCGTGATGAATGAACGGGGGAAGTCTGAGGCGGACGGCGGCGGTGGTGGTGGTGGTGGTGCTTGGTGGTGGTTGGCCTTGGCGCTGTCGCCGCAATATGTCCTCTTCTCTACTCGATGTGTTGTTTTGTACATGTTTGGTGTGCGCAGATCATTGTCGTGCTTTGCGATGACTTCGATGTTGGCGATATGTTGGGTTATGTGGGTATGTCGCGTTGACGTTGTGGGGTGACGCGTGACGTCTATTGTACGGCATCGGTTGCTCGATCGTCGTTACTTAGTCTCTTTCACCTCTTCGATCGGCGAGCTTCTAGCATCGTCGCGTATATCATGCGTAACGTTACTTAACCGTCGTAAATTTAAAGCTTGTGTTTGTCGGGCACTGTGACCGCGTTTCAATCTGTCCGCAAACGGCAGGAGGATGGACACCATACAGGAATGCATTTGCGACTGCCGCATCCGGACTCACGGTCTAGTCGGCTCTACCCCAAATGCGTGCAAGGTCCTTCCCGGCTTTGGATGCGAGAGCTCCTTTCCGCTTTCGAGTTCTGGAGCGCGGACAGGCCCTGCGCCTCGTGCCGGTCGGTGGCCGGTGGCGGCGCGTTCTTTCGCTTCCGCCCTTCCATCTGAAAAACTCGCGGAGGGGAGGGGAAGGGCCTGGGCTTCGCCTGCGCTCCTGTCCGTCCTGGGCCTCTCTCCCCTCACGCGTCCACGCGCACCCGTCTATCAGCCGTTCCAGCGTTGCCCATCGCTCCCATCTCCGTCCGTTCGCGCCCCTGGGGGTGCCTCCCCTGTCTGAACTTCTAGAGACATATGGCTGTGCGAACGCTTTTGTCCCCCGCCAGGGCAAGGGGCGCCCTTCCGCGAACGACGATCGTTATGATGATGCTGTAAAAACGCTCGTAATCAAACCCGGGATGCTCGGGAAAAGCGCGTCGACATCTCGACCCCGTCTGATCTCGTTTATCTCGTCCCCGGAGTCCCAAAAAAAGCCAGGGGCGAACGCAGATAAATGCAGCGCGAATGACCACTAAAATGGAAACCTTCCTGCATGACAGGCGCGACGCAACCAACCGGTATGCGTATGTACGCTTGTATGCGGAGGCGGGGGTGGATCGGATCGGGGCCCACCCACGGCATTCATACTCGACGTCCGGACAAAGTTTAACTCGCTTGGAAGCCAAAGGCCCTTACGCGGCGCGCGATCGCCACTAGTAGAGACTTAGCCCCCCCCTCCTTCCTGTCCCCTCGACCCATCTCTCCTCCCCCCGCCTTTGCTTCCCGCCGCCACATCAGCCACGCCCCTCGCGCGCGCGAGCTTCTTTCCCGATATCTAACTCCTCTCTGTTCTCTCCCTCCGAGCTTTGGCTGTCGCATCTCCGAGGGTCGGACAGCCCGGTAAAAGGGACGCCGTACGCGTCAGGGACCGGAACGAAGAGCAGCCCCCCCACCCACCCTCCCCCCTGCTACTTTTGGTTCCGCATTTGCTGCCGCACACGCGCGCGATCATAGTCTTCTGTATCGTGCCCTCTCCTCATCCGGCGCACCCACTACCCGTTCTTTTACTGTACGATCCACGCCAATCTCTGTTCCTCTCTCTCTCCGCACCTGTTCCAAAACAAAACAAACACGACTACGACACCCACGCCGGTACCCAAACGGAACGTGATGTGGCCGTTCACGGACTCGGCGAAGCGACGCGCGGAGCGCGTCACGGCGCGCAAACGGACGGACCGCGCGTCGCTCCTCGCGCGCGCAGCGCCTTACGTTCCCGGGACGCACGAGCCCTTCGTCCGCGCGACCGGTGCGTTCTGGGCCCCTTCCCCCCGCGCCTCTGCTCACCCATCCCCCTTCTCTTTTTTTTTTTTTCTTTCTTCCCGGTGTACGGCGGCTTCTTTCTTATTTGTTATCTGCCCATAGCGCCGGAAATCGTGAGGAACATCGAGTTGGGCAGGTGGACGGCGGCGGCGGTCGTCGACGCGTACGTCGCGCGCGCCGCGGTCGCGCACGCGCAGACGAATTGCATCACCGAAGGTGAGCGAGTGAGCGAGGCGAGCAAGGTTTATCATGGGAGGCAGAGCGCGCACCCGCACCACGGTAAAAAAACGACTTCGCCGCGCCGTGCGCACAGATCGCCCGGAACGCTCTGTTCCGCTCCTCAGCGCGTTTGGAACGTCTTTTTTTTCCTTCTCCGCCTTCTCTTCGCCCCCGTTCCCCCTTTTTTCGAGTCCGGGTCTGGGCTGACTTCTCACTTCCCTTTTCCGGCACACGGCGTTGTCTTCGCAGTGCTGTTCTCCCAGGCCAAGGAAGAAGCGGCGGCGCTCGACCGGGAGTTTGCCGAGACGAAGCGGCTGCGCGGGCCGCTGCACGGGGTGCCCGTCACCTTCAAAGACCAGTGTAAGGCCCAAAAAAAATAAAAACCTTCGTTTGCTTTTTCGCGGTTTTGGTGTCGCTGACGAACGACTGGGCGGGTGTATGTTGCAGTCGACATCAGCGGATGGGATAGTTCGGTCGGATTCACGACGTGGGCCGAACAGCCCGCGACCGCCAACGCCGACGTAAGTCCCCTCTTCCTCCTCCTCCTCCTCCTCCTTTCATTTCACCTCCACTCAAACCCCGTCCCGCTTCATTCGGTGGTGATCGCGTACGTAACAAAAAAACGCTGACGGGCACGCAAAACGCAACGCACAGATCGTCGCGCAGGTGCGCGCCGCGGGCGGGATCGCGCTCGCCAAAACGAACGTGCCGCAGACGATGCTCGCGTTCGAGTGCGCCAACCCGCTCTGGGGCACGACGACCCACCCGCGCGACCCGGCTTTCACCTGCGGCGGGAGCTCCGGGGGCGAGGCCGCGCTCCTCGCCCAGGACGGCGCCGCGATCGGCTGGGGGACCGACATCGGCGGCTCGCTGAGGTGACTTATTCTCCCCCTCCCCCCTTCCCCCAACCTCCGTGGATTCGAGTCGAGTCGAGTCGCGTCGCTGGTTTTTCCGGGGGGGTTCGCTCTGTTTGATTCCAACCCAGCTCGCTCACGTGTTGCTCTCTGCTTCCGCCCCTTTTTTTTCTTTTCTTCAAGGATCCCGGCTGCCTATTGCGGGATATACTCGCTCAAGCCGAGCTCGCGGCGGGTGTCGCTGCGCGGTGCCCGAGGTCCGCCCTTGCTCCGTGTCCCATATGCGTTCGCGTTCGCGCTCATCGCCCGGTTGCAGATCCCGTCTCCGGCTTCGAAGGCGTGCGCACCGTCGCGGGTCCCATGGCACGGTGCGTAGCCCGACCCTCTTGCCGCTTTCCGGGGCGCCCGGTCTGATAAATGTCCCCCCCTCGTCGTAGATCGGTCGAGGAAATCGAGCTCGCGTGCCGTGCCGTGTTCGGGTTCGACGACCCCTGCGCGGACGTCGTCCCGCTCCCGTACCGCGACGTCGTCCTGCCTCCCAAGCTCAAGGTTGGATTCTGGACCGACGGTAACGTGTTACGTTCCGAACGTGAATGGGTTTTTCGCGTTCTGAAAACGATATCGCGCACAGATGGCTTCGCGAAGGCGTCGCCGGCGTGCAAGCGCGCGGTGTTGGAGGCGGTCGACGCGCTCCGGCGGGACGGGCACGAGTGCGTCGAGATCGCCGTGCCGGGAGGTCAGCGCCCCAGCTCGCCTCCTACCTCGGTGCTCTCGGATCGCCTGACGTGTCTTCTCCCCTTCCCTGTACCGTACTTTTTTCGTGATTGATAGGTTCGGAGGCGATGCAGCTCTTCATGGGCCTCACGTCCGCGGACGGATATAGGACGGTCAAGTCGCACCTCGGACCGGATAAGATGGTACGCGGTATTCTGACCGCAGATTTGGCGCGGATGGCCTGACTTTCGTCTGTTTTCCAGGAGAGCAGCCTGACGCTCACTCTGATCGGGCCCACGATATGGGGTAGGTCGCGGCCAGCCTGACGAAAGCAGTGTCGACTGACACTTGACTGACGCGTGTCTCGACCTTTTTCTTTTGCCTGCCTCTCCTAGGCTGGGCGCGGCAGCTCATCGTCTGGATGCTCCGGTACGTCATCGGCGACGAGCACTACGCGCAGTTCGTGGAGAACGGTCAGACGAAGCGTATGGACGAGTACTACCGCTGGAATGTGCGACGGGACGCGTACGCGCGCAGGTTCTACGACGAGGTGTGGAATAAGCACGGGCTGGACGGTATCGTTTCGCCCGTGCAGGCGCTCCCTGTTCTCGCGCACGGGTACGCCCTTCGCTCCTCCCCTCTCGCACGAACAAGTACGACATTGGGTTGATGAAAATCGCGTCACAGGCAATGCAAGAAGCTGAGCGGGCTCGCGCACGCGACCGTGCTGTACAACATCGTTGACTGCCCCGTCGGCGTCCTCCCCGTCACGCGCGTCGACCCGAAGCGGGACGCGCTCACGCCCGAGTGGACGAAGGCGCGGCCGGGGGCCACGGGTTCGGCGCTGCTCGAGGGCATGCTCTACCGCGACCGTCGGCCGGCGTACGACGCGGCGAAGCTGGCGGGCATGCCTGTCGGGGTGCAGCTCGTGGGCAGGCGGTGGGAGGAGGAGAATGTGGTGGAGATGATGAAGGTGCTCGATCGCGCGCTGGGGGTGAGCAGGGGGTTCGGGCCCGGGTCGGTGAGGCCGCCGGCCTGAGTCTCTCCTCTCTTTCTCGCGGGAACCGGGCGGTTAAGGCGACACCTCTCCTCGGCCTTGGTTTAAACATGTAACAACGCTCGTTTCGCCTTCTTTATATTGGTCGGTAGTAGTATCCTGTGTAATGGTGTCGGTTAATACGTAGATACCCCCCCCCCTCGTCCTCCCCCTCCCCCTCAGATCCTTAATCGAATCAAACTAGTGCTTTACCTCTTTTTGGACGCCGCCGGCGTGTGAGATACTGACGACTGATCAATACGCCCTTTTGCCTTCTCTCTTGTCCTTCGCCTTCTGATCCATCTGGGACGACATGGAGGACGATAAGCGCCGGGAACGGGACGCGAGATGGGGAGAGCGAGGCGCACCCAGGTCTTTTTGCAGTCCCTGTACGCCTGGAAGTAGTCCGTGCACGCGTCGCGGTCGTAATCGTTCCGGTTCAAGCACTCCATCGACGCTTTCGCCGCCGCCTCGCACGGGCTGCTTGGACCCAAAACCCGATCGTGAGGTTCGTTTTCCCATGCGCAAAGAGAAGGTTTTTTAAACAAATAAAACGCTCACTCGTAGAACTTGGTGTAGGCCTGCCGACTCTGGAGAACGATGCCGTGTGAGCGCTGAACACCGGACAGGGGTCCCGCGTTCCGCTAAGCTAGCTAGCTAACTTGCGACGCACCTTGAGCTTGGCGCGGTAGTCTTCGGGGTCGACGAGGTCGTCTGGATCCGGGAGCGGGGCGGGTTTGGGAGGCTCTGGAGGCGCTTGAGGCTCGGACGACCACCAGCCTGTTAACCAACCCATCGCGAGGAGGCCTGACAATGGGAGGAGTACGGGAAACCGCCGAAAGTGCGACGGGAAAGCCAGTGCTCCAGTGGTGCGCTGGGGTATGCGCAGCCACCTCCTATTCATCTGGCCTAATTTGGCGTCAGACTATGCCATACGGATACCGCACCAGTCGCCACAGCGTGGTTCGCGGACTGCAGCAACGCAGGATTTTTTTACGCTGATGACTATACACTAGTATAGGTAGTGCGCCTCCAAAATGGACGTGTCGGCACACGAAAGCTATGCATTAATGTAGAGGATGGTATAACATGACGACATCTTCGTAGCGTATATATATGAGAAGAGCGGCGGCGGTGGGCTATGCGTCCCGAATCAGGACCTCTGCCGGAGCATAATCAACGTCGTGCATAGCGAAAGACCATACCGAGAAGAGCACTCACTGAAGAACTCGTACGATAACCAACATAACGCGTTGCTCGGCATGAACGTCACCACGCGCGGTGACAAGCCCCGCGAAAACCCCCTGAGCCCATCGCGCTGCCATATGATCCGGAACGCGTCGAGCATCCCCCGCGCCTGCCGAATCTCGGAGTCGTGGCTCGTCCCGCGTGTCTGCAGCAACGTCTTCGCGACGTCGAGCGGCGTCGTGACGCCCGCCGCGACGCCGCCCGCCAGGCCGCCTGCGATGACGTGCGTGCCCGGCGCGTACTCCCCAGAAGGGTTCATCGCGCGCTTGATCTGCTCGTACACGGTGAACTGCACCGCGGTGAAGGGCACGGTCATGGTGAGCGTCGTCGGGTAGGAGATGTAGAAGGCGCCGACCCCCTCCGTCGCGTACACCGTCCGGGCGCAGGTCCACATCGACCGGAACTGCGACTCGTGCACTTGCATGCGCTGTTTTATCACTGGAGTGGAGGGAGGGGCGGGGGGCGTGAGCGGAGAAACTAGGAGAAGGGGGGGGGAGGGGGCTTACCGTCGAAGGGGTTCATGAGCGCGTCGCTCGCGATGGTCGCAGATGCGCCGGCGAGCGCTGGAGAAAATGGGCATGAGACGGGACGGCCGAAATCAGGAAGACGAATCGCACGTACACGTCGCTATCCACTGGTTCCCGATCCTGTTCCCGCCCGCGAGCTCCTTCACGGCCTCGTACGTCCCAAAGTGGACCGCGTGCGCGGGCCCGGCGCCGACGATGACGCTCGACACGCCCCGCCAGAGCGCTGCGGCGCCCTCCGCGGCCGATATTCGCGTGAACGCGTTCCCGATCCCAGTGTAGACCGCCGCAGGGGAAGCCGCGAGCACTTGCATCCGAGTCTGCGAGTCATGGCAAAAAAAAAAGTGCGGTGAAAAGAGGCTTTGGTTGAGTATGTGCGGAGGGGGTGGGGGGGGACCGCCAGTGCGGGCGAAAAAACGGGGCAAGGGCTCACCTTAATCACGTCCACGGGAAACATCACAGCATGTTCTGTTATGCCAGCCTAGCGACAAAAAAAACGAGCGCGCAGTCAACAATCCATCCCATTTCTTCTGCGTCCATGACGTGGCGACGGGAAGGGCGTACCAAGGCTCCTGCCAGCATGCTGACCTATATTCCCTGCCATGAGCAACGACGAAATAGTGGCGCAATCGGCTCGAAAACTCACGCCAAGCGGTGCGTTCGAGGAGAGGCCCTCGTACTCGATCTCCTCTACGACCTCCATGGTGTTATCAGATTAGACGAAGGAAGGGGGGTTTGTAAAGATGGGGGCACGCGGCGAGGGGTGCTCTGGATCCTTTGATTTTTGGTGTCTGAGGCAATCTGCGGTGCTTGCCGACTGGCGTTATACACGTCACGCCGGCGCGATTCGTATGTTCGGCGTTCGGCTTTGTCGTGAACAGCCCGCGACGCGCGGACGGCCGGCGGTAGGGGGAGGCGGGAGCAGGTGGAGGGCGCTGCGAACCGCGAGGCTCGAGCCCTATTTTGAGGCCGGGGAGGTGGGCGAGGGAGGACGTGGACGCGGGAACGTTGGACGGCCGTGAGCTCAGGATCGCTCGTGTCCCGACAGACCCGACATCACACGCGCTCCGAGCGCAACATCGCGAATATCAATTTCATCTTTCGTACAAACGACAGCGCAACACGCCGCAAGAAACGAGCGAGCACATCTATATAACAAGCCGTGGCGAGATATCGACCGGGTCAGTCTCAGCTGCGCCGTCCTATTTCTGCTTTTGCTGCGCCGCAAGCCGGTCGTGCTCCTCGATATCTCTGCACACACACGCGGACGAAGAGGGTCAGCAACGCCCAATCAGATCGTGGGAAGACTCACGTCGCTTCCCACGGATAGTCCAGCCTATGAAAATGCCCGAGGCGTGATGAGGCGCAATGCTGGTGAAGAATGGAAAAGGATTACTCACCAAACGTCGGGCACCTCAGCACCAGCGAAGTAGCTGCAGGGTTACGGCGAGGGATGCATCAACATGCACGGACGAAGGACTGAGGATAGGGCAAGGACGCACGGGACATCGGACGGGATCTGACCGAGCTTCTCCTTCTGCTTGTTGTGCACGACGAAGATGGCGAACTTCGTCCTCGCGGCCTCGCGCTCGGATTCGGGAAGCGTGGCAAGTTCAGCCTCGACGTCTTTGCGCAGCTCGGCTATGGCGTATCTGGGGAAGCACGTTCGTGTGTTCATTTACTTGGCCAGTGGCTGAACGTCGCTTACTGCAGAGTCTTGCGCGAGTCGTCCACTTCATCCTATAGATACCTCGACTTAGGGAGATCCGTTTTCGACAAGGAGACCAATGGCAACTTGCCACGATGAGAACACGACGACCGAGCAACTTTTGTTTCGACTCCTCTCCGCTGAGAAGGCCATAATAAGCGAGGGATCTCGTCGGCAGGCACACGAACGTACAGCCATTGCGTCCGGACCACCGTCTCTCCGATCGCTTCCGCCGTAGTACCTGGCAGCTCCTCATAAAGCGACAGGCCGATTGCGTAAATCGGGATATTTCGCTTTGTGGAAACGTCCTTGAGGAAGGTCCTCTACGAGCATATTGGAGTTCAGCTCCATGTTTGCAGATAGATGGGTTTGACAGGTCGTACCATAACACGAGCAGGGAAGAAACCACTGCGTGCATGTATAGAGTCAGTCTCATCTGACCGGGGCTGGCCGGTGTTGCGGGCCTCGTATGCTCACCCTCCACCTGTGGATCCATTCTCTTATGAGACGCTGGTGATACTAGGGAGAACGAATGTGCTTGCCGATAGCGATGAACATGTCCGGCTTGAACTCGGCCTGAATCTTCGCAGCCGACGTCTTAATCATGTTGTGCACCTCATTGTAGGTCACGCGAGCGTGTTCTGGTTCGATCGACATTTCAGAGAGTCTATCTAGGTAGGCGAAGGTGGGGAGATGCGGGGAGAGCTTGCAGTTGGCGAATGGAGAGAAATCATTTTGGGAGAGATAATCGCGATCACGTGAGAATACATTGAAACTATATGCGCACAGCCACCCGATAGGACCTTCTCGCGCACGTTCGTCACCGCGGTTCTGTCCGACTTGCGACGGCTACAAGTCCGTATCGCTAAGGCGCTTGCTCCCTCTGTCCTTAAACTGTTGACTACGGGCTGCTCGGAATTTACGGCGAGGGCTGCGAGGGCTGCCGCATCTTCTCAGGCTCGCGGCCACGGCGCGGCGCGGCGAAGACGCGGGACCACAGCCAACGAGCGAGTCTCGAGGTTAGAAAACACTGCATCCTTGAGGGATGGGTTCCCGGAGTACTCGTCCCAGCATCGCGCACAGCATACGTTGAGCACTGCTGGCGAGGTTCGTCCGCCGCATCAAGATCATTTGCGTCTTGCGCGACACATAAAGAATGATAAATAGCTCAAGACACCGCCAGATTCAGATTCTCAATGTAGGCCGTCACAGGGTAGAGTTCGAGTTTGATTCCGCAGATCGTCGTGGTAAGTAACGCACGTTCCGGTTCCGGGAGGCACCCGAGAGCTGTATCGATTCTCCGATAAACATAAGCTCATCTTCGAGTATGATAGATTAAACCACGCTTGTGCCTGCGATTCGAGCGCACACTATCACTGCAGACATGGACGAGCTGTTGGCGCGTGCCTGCCTCGGTAGCGATATGTGAGTTCCAGCCCTCATTGGCTTAGCCGTCTATAATTCCGCTCAACTTCGCGAAGTCTTAAACCTCGAAGAAGGTTGAAAACATACCGCGTACCTGGGAACCGTGTTCACAATCGGATATCCCAACACGGACCAATTGACTCACTGAACTGGTACCGCACACACCTACCGTGGCTACTTCTGTGCCAGTTTGTCAGCCCTAGACGCCGCGATCTCGCGCTTGCCGATGCGCCCTCGTTGCGAACCACAGCCGTCGGCCCATACCGTTCTTCGCCGGCCTTCCGACTCACACCAGATCGCCCTGGACTTCTGGTTCCGTTGAAGATTCACGCACTGGTTCCCGTACGATGAATTCGGGCACAAGCATATGTATACCGGTCAATTCAATCCTGTGTTGCCCTGCCCATGGCGGAATGGCGTCCGTCCTACTGGTCGCGTTTACCAGCTCGTCCCCCTGTCAGCACTCCCACTCGCGATGCCACGCCGACCTCGTCCCTCAATATAAGCCAAAACCCTCCATGAGCATGCGCACCCTGCTTTGTTCCTGGACACGTCTCTCGATAGCACGATGATCAACACTCCGACCGTATGGCTTGTCTCTGGTTCTAATCGCGGAATAGGTACGTCGAGATGTTTCCAAACCAGAACCGTGATCGCTGTTGCTTTTGTTGTGGACGCCCGAATTTGATGCGTTTCGCATTTCGCAGGCCTCGGAATCGTCGCACTGCTCGCGGCCAGACCGAACACGGTCGTGTTCGCTGGCGCGCGCAATCCGTCCGCAGCCACGGATCTGCAGGCCCTCGCGGCTAAGCACCCCGGGAAGCTGCACATCGTCAAGCTCGTTTCGAGCGATAGACAGGGAAACGATGAGGCGGTGGCCGAGATCAGACGAGTGGCGGGCAGGCTTGACGTCGTGGTCGCCAACGCTGGTAAGCGACGTTCATGAAACTACACCGGGCCAGATGATCTGTGACACGGCACGATGCAGGCATATGTTCGGCGGTGAACCGGGTTCTGGACGAGTCGCCGGATGCTGTGAGGGAGCACATGGAGGTGAGGACACGCCATCCCCACTTTACCTTACGAGAGAGTCGTTAATTAACGAATCCCGCATTTTTTGATCAGGTGAACGTTGTCGGAACGCTCGTATTGTTCCAGGCGACGTACTCCCTCCTGGTGGCAAGCACGCCCTCGCCCAAGTTCATCATCATCTCCTCCATCGGCGCCAGCATGGTGCTATCTACTCCGCGCTCGCACAAGCTATTCGCATACTGTGCGAGCAAGGCCGCCGAGAACTGGATGGCTCGCAAGATGCACTTTGAGCACGAGAGCGACGGCCTCAGTGGGTTCTCCCATGAACATGCGCGTTTTCACTGACTGAAATGCAATCAAGTCGTGTTCCCTATGCATCCAGGTGCAGTGGCGACTGACATGAGTACGTGCTCTTGATCTAGTTTCGTAATTCTTTTCGCTGATGCTGATACGAATGCTTGACAGCGGACGCAATGCGGGCTCAGGACGAAGAGATGAGGGGGTACGAGTATTTGACTCCCGAGGAGATCGCCAACCACATCGTCGCCCGGATCGACGGTGCAACGCGCGAAAACGCTGGTGGACAGTTCGTGAACTATGACGGATCGCGATTGGAATGGTGATGATGGACACGCAACGCCAAAGATGTGAGGGTAGGCGAGGTTCTTGAGATATCCAGCACAATGACTGATTGACGCAGGAACAGAGTTCACGCACCAGCCATCCTTTCGCAGTTGACTGGGAAATGAGTTTCAGCATGTACAACCTATTAAAGGTGTCTGAACAATCCTTATCCAACGTTGACATTACGACTTGTATCGACAACGTCATACGTGCATACCGGCCGACTTCAAGAACATTACCCGGGACTGTTACCTCTACGCAAGACCCTGGCTCCGTTGCTATCACGTGGATGGGTACTATGCTTGTAACGTCACGCGTTCATGAACGCGCCGTCGAATACACGGTTGACACGTACTTATCCTCATACTGTACAGTCTTGCGCAATCATGCGGATACCATTTCTAAGAAGAATCATCGATGACGGGTTCCTGAGAGATACTGGTGTGTTCGTCACTGCACCAGCGTCAATTGCATCTAAAGTATCTTCAAACAATGCCCTCAGATCTCTCCGAGGGCACTACAACCGAATTGCGCTCGCCTTGCGCTGCTCCATGGAACCCTCCGAATCAATGGTGGCCTCACGTCTTTTATGAGCCGCCGCTCAATCAAGCGACTGTCCAAGACAGCGTTGCAAATATGCACATAATGCATGCCCGGCGTGCCCGAGCTCCCTGTGCCGAGATGTCAGGTAGCGTTCCGTGCACCATAACTCACGCTATCCGAAGGGCTGACGTGGTCCTCATGCCGAGAAATAAATCTCGTTGCTGACAGACCGACCCATATCACAGATAGGGAGGCCGATAGGGCCTACTCAAGTCGGCCGAATCGCCATTAAGGACGCCATCCAGTTCTCTCTGCTATTCGCATCTCCTAGCCAGATCATCTCTCCGAACATGACAAACGCTCCCACTGTTTGGCTTGTCTCCGGCGCAAATCGCGGAATTGGTTGGTCATTTTTCGTTCTGCGATGTTGTCCATGATGCTCAACCTTTAATGCGTAGGTCTTGCGATCGTCTCGGTCCTCGTCGTAGCGAGGCCTGACACGATTTCGCCGGAGCTCGTAACCCCCCCCCCCCCCACTGCTTATGATCTGCACGCGCTCGCCAAAAAGCATCCGGGAAGCTGCACGTCCTGCAGCTCGTCTCCAGCGATCGACAAGGAAACCAGGACCGTGGCAGAAATAGAACGGCTTGTAGGTAGGTTGGATGTCGTCGTGGCTAATGCTGGTAGGGTGTATATCTTGCGACGGTTCCATGTCGGTTTTAATAATGCATCTGAGCAGGTATTTGCTACTCGATCAACCGAGTGCTGGACGATACTCCCGAAGCAGTGAGAGAGCACATGGAGGTTCGTTCGCTTCGTATTGCTGCAGCGTTCCAAACGGTAACTCACTACTGCGCGATGGATCCCGCAGGTCAATGTGATTGGCACGCTCGTGCTCGTCCAGGCGACATACCCGCTCCTCGTTGCGAGCACCAAGACGCCCAAATTTATCCTGATCACCCCCCTTGCAGGGAGCATGACAGTCTCCCCGCCTATCCCACTCCTGCTCTTCTCGTACTGCGCCAGCAAGGCCGCCGAGAACTGGATGACGCGCAAGATGCACTTCGAATACGAGAGCGACGGTTTCGGTGCGTATTGCCTCGCGCGCGCCTCCAAGGTACGCCGACGATCCGCGCTGACGCGCTGTCTTGCAGTCATATTCGCGATGCATCCAGGCGCGGTAGCCACGGGGATGAGTAAGGAATCTGTATTAACGACACCAATCCTCCAGATGCCTGATCCTGCATATTACTAGCCGATGGGGGCGCGTGAAGGACGAGGTCATGGCACACCTTGACTACTTGACGCCCGCGGAGGTCGCGAACGAGATTGTGGCTCAGATAGACGAAGCCACGCGCGAGAATGCTGGAGGCCAGTTCGTGAGTTACAACGGGACGCGTCTGGAGTGGTAGAGACGCGAGCTGTCAGTATATATTCAATGCTTTTGGATGATCGCAAAAGAATCTGGAACGCACTCCACGTCAAGTACGGGTCTCCAGTCATACATGATGCAAAAGTGCGCATTACGAATCGACATGGCCGTTCCTCGACGTGACGAAGTGCAAAACCAGTATCAACAGAATGAGCACTGTTGTAACGGCACTATCGACGTAGATAACTGAAGGGCACATGAGAACGATTGTACATGTCGGAAACCCTTCTCCTTCAAATGGATGAGCACTACTTACTATACTCCTCTGGCGATACGAGGGCAATACGACGCAAACCGCACTCCCTCAGTTCGCGGATTCCCCGTATGAAGGCGGCGACTGTCGGCATCGTTCCGCCCGCAGGGCGTTGAGCTGATCGACCGCCCGTTGCAACGCCTCAATCAGAACTACCTCCTGATCGGAGTCTTGCGCGCTGTGAGCCGCGATTGGCGGCGGCAGCGTCTGCGAGGTCGGAATCACAGCGGGATTGGAAATGACGAATGGCTCCGGATTCTCGGTGTGTTGGGTGTGCTCCACGGATGCCGGCTTTTCGGGTCTTTGAGAGACGCTGAGAGCAGGTGACGCTTGCGCGGTGGAAGGTCTGAGGGAGAGCGAGCGGATCGGCGTTGCCAGCGCCTTCCATCTTCCAGAGGATTTGTGGGTGCGGCTGTTGGCCGCCGGGGAGGGAACTTGAGGGTAGGGATGAATTTCCTCCATCCAATCACTCCCTCTTCCAGCGCAATCTTCCCGGCTCCGTTTTTGCAACCGTCTGAACAGGACCACTGAGACGACGATCATGACGATGAGTCCGCCAACAATCCCGCCGGCAATCCGACCCACGGGAACCGAGGATGCGCTCCCTGTAGCCGGTACAGATGGTGAATCGTTGTATGAGGTAGAGGATATGGTGCTACCGCTGGAAGCAGAAAATGAATCACCGATGGAAATCTCGCTGGAGCCCGATGGAATTGCCAAGTCACTGGAAGTAGTATTAAATGCAAATGAAGCACTGATGGAGGACTGCAGCTGGATGGGAGATGCCATGCCAGAGTCGGTTCTTGGGGCACTAATGGCTGTTGAGCTGGCGAAAATGGAGCTCCCGATCAGGGAAGCTGACGGGAGATTTACGGTGAAACCTTCGGGAAGAAAAGTTGTTGCCATGTCAATCTAGGTGAAAGGCAGGCCAAAGAACTGGAAGAGAACATCTAGGAGTGCAAGGAGCAGGGGAGTTACGGCACGTACTGCAGTGGTGGTCCCACACAGCACAGTTTGGTGAGGTATGAGATCTTGCGGCGAGGAGTGCACACAGCGGTATGCGACGTTGGTACTGAAACAAAGAGGAGGGTCAAGGTGAAAACAGTCCCAGCCAGGGGGGGTCTTTAACGCGTCGCCAAAGTAGCATCAAGTAAGTATAGCAAGTCAGGTAACCAGCTTGCTGCTGATGCGCCCACAGCCCAGATATGATGGTGCGATGGGCGCTGGATTCACCGGAGTGCACTCCCCGCTTCATCAGCAGTCTGCTATGCCTGCAAGTTAGCTGCGGGTTAATTGCTCGATCATCGACAACCTCGGCCGTCGTGTGACTTCCTCTGGCCGCTTTGGGTTACTGCTGTAGTAATTCCTAGTAACTCGTTCGCCGATTCGACCTGCACGTGTTATTACTGAGCCCGTCGCTATGTTTTGCCTGGAATCCGAGAGCATTGGACGAATGTGGTCTGCGTGCGACGCGTTGCATAGCCGTGAAGCCTGAACAGCAACGGGGCCAGGTTCAGAAACATCGGAAGTCGGGTTGACGGTGAGCTCTAGATTCACTCACATACGGTCTTTGCAACCCACTCGATCCTCATACGCAAGCTACAGCTTATGTAGCTATCATCACTCATCTACATCGCCGGAACTCCGCCGGAACCGGCGAACACAGCCGCGTCTGCGAATGGCCGACACGACACGTCTACGATGTCACTGTAAAAACGGAACCAGGAATGGCTGCAGCTTCCGGCAGATTTTATCGGACAAGATGCCCTTCGACATGTCTACGAGGCATTATCCCACTCGGAAGGCCTACTATCAGCAGCATGATCACCCCTACCGTGTGGCTCATCTCCGGCGCAAATCGCGGAATCGGTACGCGATAACCGCCTTACCGCCGTTCCTATGTTGACCTAGTCTTGCGTCTCGGCAGGCTTGGGCATCGTGAAAGTGCTCGCGGCTAAGCCGGACACGCTCGTCTTCGCCGGCGCGCGCAACCCACCCGCCGCGACCGACCTGCACGAGCTCGCGGCGCAGTATCCGGGCAAGGTACACGTCATCTAGCCCGTATCGGGAGACAGGGCGGGGAATGACGCAGCCGTAGCCGAGATCAAGCGCGTTGCGGGAAGGCTGGATGTCGTGGTAGCGAATGCCGGTGAGCGTGGGATCCATAGCATGGAGGACGGCGCAAGGATCTGACGCGCATTTCGCACAGGAATATGCTCTTCAGTCAGCAGAGTGCTAGATGAACCCCCGGACGCATTGAGGGAACATATGGAGGTTAGTGTCCCGCTTGCTAGAAATTCCGACCACATATCGCTAATTGTGAACCTTAGGTCAACGTGATAGGCACCCTCGTCTTATTCCAGGCTACGTATCCCCTCCTCGTAGCGAGCACCAAGTCCCCCAAGTTCATTCCGATCTCCTCCATTGACGGCAGCCTCACTATCGCTCCGCCCGTACCATACAAACTCTTCTCATGCTGCGCAAGCAAGGCTGCCGAGAACTGGCTGATCACACGCAAGATGCATTTCGATCATGAAAGCGATGGCCTCGGGTGCGTGCTCATTGATTCATGGACGTACGCTAGGCAATGGCCTCATGTTTGCTCTACGTAGTCGTGTTGGGTATGCATCCAGCTGCCGCGGAGACGGGGATGGGTACGCCAACTCCAGTTTCTCTGATCAGCCTGAGACGCTGATGTGAACGATCGTCAGCCGATGCGCTGCGCGAGAACGTTGGAGGCAATATGACGGCAAGCGGCTCGAATGGTGATCATCGTGATCAAACACGTTACCATACCTGCATATGTGAGATGGCCTGTAGCCTAGTGGGACGATCAGCCCTCGTGGTTGATGGACGCTGATTTGCGCGCACGGCCCTCAGCATAACGAGGCGTAAAACTCAGCAGGACCTATAACATTTCAGTAGGCGGAGCGCAATGTGCATCGTGTTCTTGCCGCAATGATTATAATGATCATTGTATTTGAGTTGGTATCCCTTGCGCCAACGTTCTCTGAGGAGGAAAGGTTCATGTGTAGAAGTCAATGGCACTAGCGTGTGACGTGTTCGCAAGTGCGTTTGTACCGGAGGTTAGTCGTTCACCGTTTGACCATAGCGAAATGCTATGCAACACCTCGGACAGATGAACATCAGATATCATCAGCGATAGAAAACATCAGACTAATTCCGGGATCTCTAAATATGGATGTTGGGCGGAAAATTTGCCCATCCGGTATAATCCGGTATACGTTCGCGACAGGGGTCATGCACCGGCCATGATCGCCAGAAACTGGGAGAGGGCATGCGTCAGATTGACGGCTACCTCCCTGTCAGCAGCCTGGGCGGCGAGAGCGTCGCTGTCCGCGCTCAGCGGAGGCCGGTTCGGCGCGGAGCACAGTTCGAATCGTTGACCGCCGCCGTTCGCGTACGAAGGAAAACCTCCTGCCAACGAGCGACCGGATCGGTACCGAGAGCGTCTCTTGAGAGTGCTTCGGGAATTGAGAGCGTCCAGGTTCAGGACCCGGGGGGCGGCCCGCGGTTATCGGATGCCACAGAGGTGGGTACAGCAACGCATCCTCGGCTTGATCGTGCTCTAGCAGTTTGCCATGAAGTTTCTTCTGCCGCCGCGTACGTTTCTGTACATCCGAACAGCAAGTGCGAGTGCGGCGAGGACTATGATTGATCCAACGACGACACCACCTGCGACGAGGCCTGAACGTATCGTATGCCCATCGATGTGACCATTGCCCGAAACCCTACACAGGGGTGTTGGTTGGCGGAGCGGAAGCAGCGGTAAGAGCATCATTGCCACTGTCAGACGCCGTCGTCGAAACAGGGATTGTTATGAGACTGGCGGCGTGTTTGGAAAGCGTGATGGTGTGTTCGAAGGTCGTCATCAGAGGGGGCCGGGTTGTAGAGAGCGCTTCGGTCAATGAAGGTAGTGCGAAGATAGCACGAATGCGAAGCACCTGACCTGAGAGCAATGTTTGAGAAAGATCCGCAAAGTCTGCTGGCGGAGCGTACCTCATAGGAACATAAAGCTGCTCTTGTCAAATTGTACGTAGTAAACCGTAGGAGGGGCCTTCTCGGAGCAAGATGTTTCCAAGTCCTAGTACTATTCATATGTAAGTATCGCAGCACGCTGATGATGATGCGCCCAAGATCTTTCTAGCAAGGACAACAGCATAGAAGACGATCTTCACTCCTCTTTTTTGTTTGAAAGGGTAGCAACCGGTCGAGAACACGCTGCATGCAAGTGATGCTAACAATGTAACTATATATAGCCAGATCGTTGATCATAAGGATTCACATGGTGCTGCTGTATTGTTGGCGGGGCAGTCGGGCTTCTGTTGTGATGTCGCTCGAACTTGTGAGAGGAGCGCTTCGCTCCGCGGTGGTATGGGCAAGTAATCGAGGAATCGTATATGCGCATCGACACCCAGGCTGTGGCATTTCGAACAGTAACCATGCTGCGCACGGACGTATTCTTGACACTGATACACCCATGAGGGATAACAAGCACGCTGTGACAAGGTTGTTGCGACAAGCCGTTCACCATGGGTTCTTTGCTCCGTCGAAGTTCATGAACTGGCCGCCCTCGTTCTCGCGCGTGGCATTGTCGATCACATTCAGCAGCAGCCGCGCGGTCTCGTCGACAGTCTTGACCGGAATAGCACCTATCCTCTCGTCGTGCTCCGCGCCGCGCGTGCCTGCAACCACCGATATCAGTTTATCGGCACGGGAAGACACAAAGACGAGCTGACTCATGTTAGTGTCGGCTGCGCCGGGGCAGATCGGAAATACAACTATACAGGAAGGAGTTGTCCGTCAGGAGTCGATAGAGCCAAACCATCAAACCCAACGATACGGGGACACGCACTCAGCCCATCCTCCTCATGCTCGTGGTGCAGCTTGCGCGCCAAGTAGTTTCCGGCCGCCTTCGAGATCCCGTACGGACCGAGCGGGAACGGCAGGGCTGCCCCGAACTGGATCCCCCCGCCCTGTGAGGAGATCATGACGAACTTTGGCGCGGGCGAGCTCGCTTTGAGGAGGGGCAGCGCTGCCTTGAACAACACGAACGGGCCGATGGCGTTTATCTGAGAAGAGCGAGCAACGGCGGCGATCAGCACACCACACGGAACCGGACCCAACCTCTCCTTGCAGGGCTACAATGCGCACCTCGAAATGCTTTCTGAGATCCTCTTCGGACGCCTCGTGTAACGGTCCCCAGGCTTGGTTCATACCTGTCGACTCGCCTCAGCGTCACTCTTCTTGGATTTGACTAGATTCTCACCAGCGTTGGCAATGACGACGTCCAGCCGGCCGACCCTCTCCTTGATCAACGCAACAGCTTCTTCGTTGCCTCGAGCATCGGCCGAGATCAGCTTCACGAGGTGTAGCTTGCCAGGCCGCTCGGCAGCAAGTGCGTTGAGGTCCTTTGCAGCCTCAGGATCACGGGCGCCCGCGAATACGACGGTGTTTTCACGGGCTGATAGCGCCTTCACCAGCCCGAAACCTTCATGAGGTACGGTGAGCTATCAGCTGTGATGCCGTCCGTGAACGGTGTGTCTAACAAGAACTCACCGATTCCGCGATTCGATCCAGATACCAAGTAAACGACGGGTGTCATGCTCGCTAGTACTTCGATCCCACCGGCGTACGGCTGCGCGGAAGGGTGATCTGCAAGAGAAGGCCAAGCTCTTCCCTGTGCCTTATGAACGTGCTACACGTGCAGGGCCCGGCGCAAATTCTCAGCATCCTGACGTGTTCGGCGCGTTCGTCGGTCTATGGGCGACAAGTATTGGGGCGGTTCACAAAACAGAACGCCGGCGGATGATAAAGTACAGGTCCGTGCACTCCATTTCGAATGTGAGGTGTTCAGAGATGGGGCGCAGCCGCAAAGCGTTATCGTATGCTGTCGGTATACTTTGACGCGGCGCTCCCATGGTGTCGGGTTCGCCACTGCGCTGGCAGAGTGGCAACGGCCGCAGGCGCCCCAGCGAAGAAGGGCTGGCGCCTAACTTAACTGTGGAGACGCCGAGCTAGACCCTCGTGGCTGTGTATGCTGTGCACTCGACCTCCCGGGCCTCCGACGTCGTTTGTGCTACGGATTGTACCCCCATACATTCATTTGCCTTGTCTTTTATCGGTCCAGCTCTGCTTCTTGGATATGGTTTACCTACGTGGTAATCGACTGAACGGACGAACGGATGAATAACACGATCAGGCTTTCAATCTGATCCGCTCTGATTAGCGGGATACAGACCGATTACAATCGTAGCCGGTCCAGACGGGCTCCGTGTCTACACGCTATCATTATCATGACAGGGCTCGCCCTTGCAAAGCTCTTTTGGCGAGGGGGGGGGAGGTGCCCACCAGCAGTTGCCCGACATCGCCGGTGGACGAGCTATTTGCTCATCCTCTTGACGTGTCCGGCGTGGGCGTTCGCCTGACAAACCAGGTTTTCCAGGTTTTCATGAATCGGTGAGCCCTTCCTGGTCTCCATGTCAATCGCCGTTAAACGTTAAGTACGCATACACTCACAACGAGTTAAGGGCAGCCAAAAGTTGATGACGTCACGCGTACGCGACCCGTGGACGCGCCGCGTATATAGGCTCAGTACGCGACTCATGCTTTCTGCGCGCGCAAATATTCAGGACGCCCTCCATTAACTACGACTCAACGATACCAGAACACTGCGGAGGACACGTTGAGCTTGCCAATGATCCTACCAACGACTGTGCACGTTGGCCTCCTCCAAGAGGTGTCGTCCTCCCTCCCGCGGGCACGATGCGCATGACTACTGGTCGTGTAATGTCCATTAAACACGCTGTCCGAAAGCTCTCCCATGCTACGAGAACACGCGAGCATCGGCAGCCGTCCGCCCTGCCGGCAGACCTCGATCGAACGCATGCCCGGTATGCCCGAGCATTATAGGCTGAGGACATCAAGGCAGCGTCCCGTAGACCCATAAATTCGAGCTATCTTTGAGGCTGACGTGGACACCATGCCGAGACAGAGGCGTTGCTGCTGACTGATCGGTCCATACGGCGATTGTGAAGGCCAAGCGGGCCTATTTAAGTCGCCCGAATCGCCCTTGGGACGACATCCTGACTCTTTTGGACTCTTCGCGTTTTGAAATCCCTACACAACGACACCTCGCCTTCCCAACTATAAATGCCGAGCAACTCCACCGTCTGGCTCGTCTCTGGCGCAAATCGCGGAATCGGTTCGTAGATTCCCATCCTCCGGATTTTTGTTTGTTTGTGATATAAACACCTGAGCGCGCAGGTCTCGCTATCGTCGCGGTTCTAGCTGCGAAACCAGACACGGTCGTGTTCGCCGGCGCTCGCGACCCGGACCGAGCCAAAGACCTGCACGCTCTGGCGGAGAGACACCCGGGAAAGCTGCACGTCGTCAAGCTGGTCTCCGGTGATAGACAGGGGAACGAAGCGGCGGTGGCCGAGATCAAGCGGGTTGCGGGCGGGCTGAATGTCGTCGTGGCGAACGCCGGTGAGGGCGAGACATATCATCCGGGTTAGGGTAGAGAGTGATGATAGCGCTCAGGAATCTGTTCCTCGGTCAACCGGGTGCTCGACGAGGCCCCCGAGGCGGTTCGGGAACACATGGAGGTCTGTTTTCCACACGCTGTACCCCCCGAGCGTTGATTGACCGGTAGAGTCGTACCCAGGTGAACCTCATCGGCACGCTCGTGCTTTTCCAGGCGACGTACGCGCTCCTCGTCGCGAGCACCACGTCGCCCAAGTTCATTCCCGTGTCCTCGATCGGTGGCAGTCTGATCGCGGCGCCGCCCGTCCCGATGAAGCTCTTCGTGTACGGCGCGAGCAAGGCTGCTGAGAACTGGATGACGCGCAAGATCCACTTTGAATACGAGAGCGACGGGCTCGGTGAGAGTCGTGTTTTCGCTTTGCTTTTACCGAGGATCTTTCGATGGTGCAAGTATTGACGCTGGCTTTTCGGCTATAGTTGCGTTCGCGATGCACCCCGGTCCTGTGCAGACCGATATGGGTACGTGGTCCGAGTGGGTCTATTCTGGAGGCGGATCTCGGACTCATGGATATGCCGGCCCAGCTGATGCGTTGAGCGAGAAGGAAGAGCTGATGGCGACCTTGGATTACGTCCCTGCGGACGCTGTCGCGAACGGGATAGTTGCCCAGATTGAGGCCGCGACGCGCGATAACGCCGGAGGGCAGTTCTTGCAGTATGACGGAAGACGACTCCCGTGGTAATGATTTCAAGGAGGGAGATGGAAAGGCGAGCGTTATCAATGGATCGTGTCATTAGTAGTGGCATTCCGTAGATCTCCTCCCCCAAGCAAAGTGCTCTTCACTAGCCCCAGTGTGCGTTCGACCCGATCCTTGGGTCGTATGTCGGCTCCCGCAAATATTACCAGAGCGTCTCGTCGTCAATAGTCCATAAGAGACAAGTTCCAGCAAAGCAAGGTAAGACTCAAGCCCGCGCCTGACGTGGTGTGAGAGCGCTGAAGATAACCACGTGGGTGGCGGCGACTATTTGCCATCAATTTTTGCGCCACTAGCCTCCTCCTTGGAGCCGTCCTTGCCCAAGTACTTAGCTCAAGCTTGGTGCTAAACGTCCTAGCCTCCTCCTCCTCCTCCCCCATAGGTCCTTATCATCACGGCGACCTCAGCTCGCTCCCGCTCTCCCCTCCGCACGAACACGGCGCGCTCGACCTAATCAGTCTCCCGAGGCCCTACCGTTCTTCCTCGGGCAGTAGCACAGAACCGGATCTACTCGCTCACATCGTATATATAATCTGCACCCGAGTCCACCACACGTCAACGCGTAACGCGACACGATGCACCCGAACACCGCCTCCGAGGACGTGAAGACCCCGCTCGACAAGCGCTCCTTATCTGACGAGGGCCCTCCCGAATACAACAGCCTCCCTAACGAGCAGGGAGCAACTGCAACAGCACCACGGGAACGCCCGCCGATTGTATACGACTCGATCCCCGACTTCTTCGCGAGCGTCTGGCGCCGTTTCGCGAGCCTGTGGACGCGTCGCTTCGTGCTCAGCCTGTTGGCAGGCCAGGTGGTGTCGCTCTGTATCACCTGCACGAACGTGACCACGACGGAGCTCGTCAGTCGGAACTGGAGCTTGCCCACGACGCAGACGTTCTTCTTGTAAGCCTCTCTCGCCGTTTTCCCCATCACTTATCTGGACCTGGAGGGACTGATGGCAGTCGCGATATCCAGGTACTTCTCCCTGCTATGCGTGTATACGCCATATACGATGTACAAATATGGCTTGAAGGGATGGGCGAACATGGTGTTCCGCGATGGCTGGAAATGTGCGTTCATATATCGCGTCGATCGGACCTGTGCTCACCCGGATCCAACAGACTTCTTCCTCGCCGCTTGCGATGTCGAAGGCAACTTCCTCGTCGTTAAAGCGTACGAATACACGACCCTGCTCTCCTGCATGCTTCTTGACGCGTACGTCTTCTCACGCTTTGGCTTTACTGTCATGGGATGAACTGGCTAAACCTGGCGCTCCGCACGTTAATATATATAGATGGGCGATCCCGGTCTGCCTGTTCTTCTGCTGGGTGTATATGCGGACGAAGTACCACTACACCCAAATCATCGTGCGTTCTCTACCCTCCCTCCTTTTCTGACTTGTATCGCGATCCTGACCACGAGCGAACGTAATAGGGTGTGCTGATCTGCGTCGCCGGCCTCGGCATGCTCGTCGCTTCCGACCATCTTACCGATAAGGACTACTCCGCGCTCAATATGGCCAAGGGCGATGTCTTCATGATCGTCGGCGCGACGCTGTACGGCTTCAGTGCGTATCATCTCGCTCCAGCTCTTGAGGGCGTTTTCCCCACGATATTCACCTCGCGTATGTTCCTTAGCCAACGCGACGGAGGAGTTTTTCGTGCGCAAGCGCCCGCTGTACGAGGTCGTCGGCCAGATGGGCCTCTGGGGCACGCTCATCAACGGGATCCAGGCGGCCGGCCTGGAGCACAAGGACATGACGAAAGCCAGCTGGAACGGAATGACCAGTACGCATATACATGCTCATACCTTCATCAACCCGGACCCATGCTGAGAACGTTCGCTTCGGCAGTCGGCTTGTTGATCGCATATACGGCCGCGATGTTCATCCTCTACACCGTCGCGCCGCTCCTGTACCGCATGGCCTCGTCGGCGTACTACAACCTCAGCTTGCTTTCCAGCGATTTTTACGGACTGCTCTTCGGTATGCTCGTGCTATCACATTCCTCCGTCCATGGTATGCTGACTAGGGATATGCATATAGGCCTGTTCCTGTTCCATTACAAGCCTTACTGGCTGTACTTCATCGCCTTTGCCGTCGTCATCGTTGGGCTCGTTGTTTATTTCTGGCATTCGACGCGTGAGTGCCGATTGTTAGATTCTTGCGGTCTTGATGCTGACGTCGATCGTGTGCAGCCGAGGAGCAAGGCGAGCTCGACATCCAGGCGCCGGAATACGTCCAGCGCAGGCAGGGCCTTGTGGCCGATGCCAACACATCTACTGTCTAAAATGTCATGAATATCAATCGACCAGTTCATGTATTCTCTCTGCCTCATTGCTGGTGTTGTAATGTTCTGTTAGCGTCTTCTTTGCTACGATTGCTGGGTTTTTGTTGGGAATGAGGTACACGCGCGCGATGGTTAGACCGCAGATATATTTGTTTAGATTCGAACGTCGAAATATCGACGAGGTAATGAATGAATGTACGACTTTCATGTAGCTTTTAGTGCAAAGGACAAGGTTCGCGTCCGGCGACCACTCGGCCGCGGAGTCGACGCGCGGATCCGCTGAGTAACTACTGTAATTTTCCGACCGTCCCCTGTCCCCACCTACCTGCGAACTAAACCTATTCGCCCATTTGTCCCCTGTCCCCTTCCGGTTTTTTGCCCAATTACTGACCGTGGGAGACGCATGGTCTGACCGTGAGAGTGTTTAAACTGATCGAGGATCACTTGGTGAACTTCCCACGGGCCCGAACTAAAAACTACAGTATTAAGTTGCCTCTTCCTCTCCTTCCGCGATTACATCTACACAGTACATCCCGTCGACGCCGCGCGCGATCAGCGTTCCGCCTCGACGGGATGTACTCATAGTTGATACACCTCTTCCGCCCCTTCCGCTCTCGAATGCGTATAAAACTCCAGCCATCCGGACGTTTTGCTCTCTAACATTCTTGTTCTTAGCGTCACTGCACAGCTACTTCTCCCGCCAAAGCCCCTCTATCTGCATACCTCTTCCCTTTACATCTACAATAACAAGAATGTTCACCGCCGCGCTCGAGTGTTCCAACATGATGACCTCCTCTGCCTCTGTCTCTGTGGAATACTTTGAGCTGGCGCAGTACTACTCCCATGTCTTGGCCCGTGTGGTGAGCCCAGAATCCCTTCCCTCCACATCCCCTTTCCATAGCTTCACACATGTTCTGACTTGAAGTTTTCTGTCCAGGATCGCCTCGCGCAAGATGTCGTCGACGCTCTCTGGCAGGAGGTCGACGCTCTCAGCCGTGTCCTCGATCACAAGACCGAGGACGGCGCGATGGTGCTGGAGGAAGCGGAAGCGGCATACAACGATCTGGTCTCTCTGCACCTATCCCAGGGCATCGACGTTGTCGCTCTCTGCGCGGCGTCATTGTACGCAGAGGACGAGGAGCAGCCCAGCGACGAAGACACCGCGCCCTCTGCCACCTCCTACGGGGGCATGACGTGCTCTGAGTCGCAGCTCCTCGCGGCCGTCGCTGCTAACCCTTCCTTCGACTACATGGAGGCCGCTGAGATCTACGTGGAGATCTACGGGGTACGTTCGCCCCTCTGCTTCCATGTCTCCGCCATGCTGACCTCGGATATCATCAGGAGGAGTTCAAGGACTTCGTTTACCAAGTCCTGTCGAGGGCTGGCTGGCTCTGAGCCGGCCGGTCGTCGCGAGCCCCTCGGGTACATCGCCCGAGGGTCTTGGGGACGCTGAGCGCGCGTCCTGCAGGCGCCGTGCCTTCTCGCGCTCAGAAGGGGTTCAACGTCGGCGGTGGCGTCGGCCCCTGATGGAAGGCACCTCTTCCCCAAGGACTTCCACAACACGCCGACCCACCAAACAGCACGGAAGACGAACCCGACGTGGAGAGGGCCCGAATCTTCGAACCGGTGAAACCCCTCGTTGCTGCGGCGGACGTGGAGAGGAGGGGAAGGATACCGGCGACGCTCTCTGAGCGCCGTTGGCCCGTTCTTTCTTGATTCTTCCCGTTTGGGAGGCGTGTTGTGTGTGGTTGAAAGCCCACGCGATGCGCCTTTGCGACTTGGGTGTCCTTCCCGGCGTCGGAGAGGAGGGAGGCGGTTGCTGCAGGACGTCCGGTAAGCTTTCCATACCTCGTGTCCTATTTCGAGGCCTTCTAACATAAGGTGATCTCCAGGTCGAGAGCGGGACGCTGCGATCGCACGAACTTCCTCCGGTAACCCAATGATCTCCCTCGGCAACGTCGGTGCGCCGGCTTGCAGACCGGGATGTTCGGTACGTATTTCGCTCCTGCATATTGCCTTCGGCCTTTTGCTCACTTATCCTCTCCATCGCAGGCCGTGTTCGGGACGCCGCGCTCGACCAGACGTTCCCACGTTTGCCTCAAGGGAATGGGGTTGGGTGAAGCTGTTATGGGGAGAATGAGATGGGGTAGAGTTTGAATGGGGAGAGTGGCGTAGATAGTTTTCTAGACATTCGTAGATCCATAGATAGTCGTGGCACATTGAGTTTGACGCGCTGAGCGGCCTTACGTTTTCACTCTTTTTTAGCCTTTACAGCTGCCCCTGGTCCTCCTGGTCGCTGGTCCCCTGGTCTCCTCGACGGTTTCCCTCTTTTCTTCTAGCCTTTACAGCTGCCTCTGCCTCTGGTCCCCTGGTCGCTGGTTTGGTCCCTCTGGAATTCAAGTTCAAGACCCTCCCAGAATAGGATCGCCAGCGCCTTTGGCTGGGGATCCGGCAGCCGGCCTCTTCGTGGCCTGGGGGACTAGTACCCTTCGGGGGAAGCCAACGGCTGTTTTAATCGACACTCGAATTTCGTAGGAGCTCTCGAGATAGGTGCACAGGTAAGCTCCGGTATTCTATCTCTCTCTCTTTTCAAGGCCAGTTAGCAACACCCATAGGTATCCTTGTTCGCCCTTGGGACCGAGTGTAAGTGGACTTGGACGCCGGTTCAGTGCATTCTGCAGGCCCACTCGTACTGCGCTTCGCGTACGTGTTGACACCGCACCTTTCCGCAGTGCTCGTTCGACCGGAACTCGCATCCCGCAATTTAAGTTGTATGTGTGTACTACTACTGGTGGTTTTTTGTTGTCATAACCCCGAAATACAATACGCTTCCTATGCGATATCGTGTTACTCAATGCGAGATCTGCCAATTGTTCAGTCATGGAGAGCAATCCGTGTGCGCCGCAACTTGGCTTCTGTCAGAGCATGATTGACGCCCTTGAAGGGACTGCGCGTAACTTTGCTGGGCGCCTGTCCCCGGGCGGATTCCATAAACAATACTCCCGAGCGTGTCGTGTTAACTCGGGCATGCTCAGAGGGGAGAGATATCTTCACGTGGGCTACGATAGTTGAAGGGAACGGATAGCATGCGTACCACTGTGGACAGCATGAAATACACTGCTCCGGTGACACTACTCGCGCTTCGATACGTGCCGGAAGATGCTCATAATCGACGGTGGAGTTGGGACGAAAATTCAGCATCAGGCGCTGGCGATCGCACGACGGCCACCTCCAGCTAGGCCGCACAGAAGCTAATATTCTCCCCCATAGACGAAGGCGACAGACACCAAAATAGTGTAGTAAAGAACGAGCATCGTACAATGTCATACAACATCGCATACCGCGATGAAGTATGCGTGAGTTGGTAGACCTTCGATGGGCGCCGGTGATAAATCATTCCGTCGATCTATGCACATTGGCAGCGGATTGCGGAGAGCGCGTGGGCAATCGTGATCGGATGCACTAGTTTTTGAGAACCCCTGTCGCCTACCAGAGGATTTGTAAGGACATTCTTGCTAAGTTGCAGATGGCGACGATCCACGCAATGTTATCGCTTATCGGTATCTACGTGTTGATGGATATGAGTCATGATCAGCACTCGTACGTAGGAAAGGGGCAGCACTGCAGAGCGCTTGACCAGTAGTAGGAGTCCGCTATTGACGTGCGGTGCGGCAACCGGTTGTTCCGCTATTGGGACCGCGCCGGAAATATACCTACCTACCTACCTACCTACCGCCTTGGAAGCTTGGCCTGGTAATGTGGGTTGGGGCTTAATCATCCCCGATTATTTGTCAGACCAATTGGCGGCACGATGAGGGTCATTACGACGGCGAGCCTCGGGGTGTACGATATGTATATATGAAGGACATTTCGACTGTTAGGGAGCTAGTAACTGACGAGAAACATGGCCCCCACCGTATATCTAGTGTCTGGCGCGAACCGCGGGATCGGTGGGTATTTTGTTCCTCGAGCTATCCTGGCCGGTCAATAGATAATGACGATTTGCATGTGTCCGCGCAGGATTCGGTCTCGTGAAAGCCCTGTCCGCTCGCGAAAACACCGTCGTGTTCGCAGGAGCGCGCAACCCGGACGACGCCAAAGATCTCCAGAAGCTAGCAGCCGAGCGACCGGGAAAGCTGTACATCGTCAAGCTGGTGTCGAGCGATCTCAGGGGTAACGAAGAGGCCATCTCCTTCGTAAAAGAAAAGGCCGGCCGTTTGGATGTCGTCATCGCCAACGCTGGTGCGGGAAATTCGTAACTTTGGTGAAATGTGCATCTGATACAGATGATGGTGTCATCAGGGATTAGCCTTGCGCCCGGCCCTGCATACCAGGCTTCGGAAGAAGACTTGCGGAAACATTTCGAGGTTCGTACGTTTTGTCACGAGAAGCGTCACACTCACGTCTAGATACTTATAGGTAAACGTCGTGGGCACCTTCGTGTTGTTCAAAGCTGCCTTGCCGCTCCTCCAAGCGAGCAAATCCTCGGGATCCGCGCCTCCAAAATTCGTTGCCGTGTCTTCGCAACTCGGCGGTTTGAATTTCGGAGCGAGTCTGCCGGTCCTGACTACGCCGTACGGAATATCGAAGGCCGCCGAGAACTATTTGGGTCGAAAGTTGAACTTTGAGCATGAGAAGGATGGACTAGGTGCGGATCATTGGAGTCCCGTAGTATGAGATTCATGAAGAGGTCACTGACGACATGGGCGCAGTTGTGTTCCCCATATGTCCTGGTCTGGTGTACACCGATATGAGTAGGTCATGATATCCCCCTTTGTGCTCGATGCAGCTGAAATCACCATTCAATAGCCAAGGCTAGCATAGAGAAGGGTGAAACCGCACCCGGGGTGGAGTTCAAGACCGCGGATGACACTGCCGCCTTTCTTCTGAAGGTTATAGACAACGCCACGAGGGAGAACGAGGGCGGTCAATTCCTGAACTATGACGGCGCAAAGAATCCGTGGTAGTAGAAACTTGGACAGAGCATGGGAGTGCAGATCCTGAGGCATGTAGAGTACAGCGAGATAAAAAGGAACTCGACTTGAAGGTAGTTTAGCACTATCGAACACTTGTCAGTCGTGTGTGGTGGTAGGCTTCTTGAACCCTGAGTCGGTGCTGCCAATACTTCGGGTAGGCTGACGCAATACTATCTCACGCTGGTTTCGACTTGGCACAAACAGGAGAGGATGCAACGTATTTGACGAATGATCGCTCATGTCAGCTGTGAGCTTGGAGAAGTATCAATCCAATTGTGCACATTGCGTTACCTTCATAATCGAATTCATCTCAAAGTCCCGCCCTCAACTTCCTGGCTCGCCTCGAATTAACGGAGCTTCGATATATCGCGGGATTTTCATTCTGAACACCAGATGTCGGTATCAGTGGGATTGCCCTTCGTGTCTTACCATGGAACTTTCTCCCCGTTGAAGTTCATAAACCGGCCGCCCTCGTTCTCTCGCGTGGCTCGTCTATGACCCTCACCAGCAGCAGCGCGCTATCCACGGTCCCATAGCCGTGGCACGCATTCACTTGACCTAAGTCGGTTTGTACAAGGCAGTGGCTGGTCGCAGTGTTATACCCCATCCGAATCTTGTATGTCCAGTATGTTAGTACGTCTTATGCGCTGTTGTAGAATTGGGGTGTAGCATACTATATTTCGCTTCGCACGTAACTTAGATCGCACCTAGAAGCATCGACTATGCTCTATAGATACACGGTTGGCCAGGGCATGATGATGTTGTACAACTTTTCGATGTTCCCAATGTGAACTCTATAGAAATGATGTCTAAGCATGTGTTTGCGCGCACCAAACCACCGTCGAAACCTCCCGAACTTCGCGAATCCTCAACCGACCGTGAACATCGCTGCCCTTCTCTCCTTCCCAATCTCCCGCTTATCTTTCTCCTTGCCCTTGCCGCTTTTGCCCTCCTTCTCCTCCTTCTCCTCCTCCTCCCCTCCTTCGCCAGCGCCTTTCTGTTCATCGGTCCCGCCAAGTTCCCCTGGCAGGTCGCTCGGTGGCCTATCCGCCTCCGTCACCTCCGTCGGCCCGCGTTTCTCGAGTATATACCGTCCGATCGGCGCAATCTCCGCCAGTCCGCCGGGGTGGCCCGCGCCCGTCTCGTGGATGCTCACGGTCGAGAGTGTGCGCAGGAGCTTGCGCGAGACGACCTCGCGCGTCGCGGTCGACATCGTACGTGATCGCGCAGGCATCACGTAGTCCGCGTATCCTGAACCAGGGAACGGCACGCTGCCAGCCACCGCAGGTTGCGCCGTGCCCGCGCTCGTGCTTGCGGCCGTCTCCAGCGCCTCGCCGGCGTCGGCGTTGACGACGCGTGACAGGCCGGTGCGCGGGTGGTAGTGCCCGTCGAAGGACGGAATCGGCTGATGACGCGATCGTGGCGATGGCGCGTGGTAGCTCGAGTACGATTGCGAACGCAGGACGCTCGACCGACGCGCGTACGTCACGACGGGGTCCACCGGCATCGGCGCGATCGCCTCCGGTGCGTCGGGCTCCTTCGCGGGGAACGGCACCGGCGCTTCTACCGCCTCGCCCACAGCGTCCTGCCCGTTCCCCTTGTCTCCGTTCTCCGTGATCTTTGCCGGGCTGCCCAATGCGGACGCGGACGACGACTCTTCCGGAACCTCGGGCAGCGTGCTCCGTGCCATCGCGGGCGATACCGCCGGCGACTGCGAGTGTGGTGGAGGCCGGTGCGGGCGCTCGAGCGACGCCGGCTGGCTGCCGCCGCCGATGAGTATATCCGGCACAACGGAGCGCACCTCGCGCCGATACTCCTGGATCTCGTTCCAGAGCGCGTCCCGAAACTGGTCGATCGTCTCGAGCGTCTCGATGTAGCGCCACTTCTCGAATGGAATAGGGCATTCGGGCTCATCCTGCTCGTCGTGGTAGGACGAAAGCCAGGGGTGCGCGAGTGCGTCCGGGACGGTGATGCGCGCGGCGGGGTCGAAGGCGAGCATCTTCTCTAGAAGGTCGAGCGCTGGTGGGGCAAAGATGGGAGTTAGACGTCGTGAACAGACGGGAGGAGTGGAGGGAGTATTAACCTGCGCTGTCGGCCGTGGGTACGATCTTGTGGAACGGAACCCGTTTCTTGACGGGCAACGACCTGATGTAGGCTTGAGCCTATGCAAGCTCGTCAATAGCCCCAGAAATGTCACCAGAGGGCCCACCCTTTCGCTCCCTATCCGAGTGATGACCGGGTCTTCGGGTGTACCTGAATTTCCACAAATAAGTGCGTGGCCGTACACCCATCAGTAGGCACTCACCGAGCACGTCCAGGATCTTATTGAGCTGGTCGACTGCGAAAGACTATGTTGAGATCGTCTACGCATTGAGAGAGTGACGGCTGACCATAACTGGAGCAACGGAGTGTCAGGTCGGTCGGAGCTGCAGCAAGGGTGACCATGCTCACTCCTTTCCCTTGAACAACGGTTTGCCAAGCAGCAGTTCTGCAAAGATGCAACCTAGGATGCTATGAGGTAACCGAACGAACAAGGTACCGGGAAAGTGCCAACCTATCGACCAGACATCAACTATGAAGATGTTTTGTCAACTTCGGTGCTTGTATTTATTTCACATCAACGTACTGGCCGTGTCATACTGTCTACGCGCAAACGTCAGTTTCGATTGCATCCTAGGGAAGGCGACCCAAACTCACCGAAATGCCAACATAATCTCTGGTGCACGGTACCACCGCGTCGCCACATACTCGGTCATGTTTGTCGTCGCATGTTCATCCGGCCGCTGCTCGAAGCCTCGACTCAGCCCGAAGTCGCAGATCTTCAGTTCTGGACGGGAACCACATTAATAGACGACGACAGGGAGCCTAGCACAACGGAGATACCACAGTCGGCGTTCACGAGAAGATTGCCAGGCTTGAGATCTCGATGGACCACAGACGCGGAATGCACATATTTCATGCCTAAACGGTCCTTGAGCTTGTGAGGAACAACGATAAGCAGAGATCAAGTATACGAACCTCGTAGAACCTGGTAGAGGAAGTATTGGACGTGTTCATTGGTCAAACTTTGGCCGGATTTGATGATCTGGTGCAGATCTGCTTCCATAGGCTGTCAAGAGCGGAATCGCGTTCTTAGGACCAAAATTAGGATCACCCGATTGTAGCGTACCTCCATGAAGATGTAACTGCGACCGACATCAGCAATAGCCCACAACATCATATGAGAACTTACATCTCGTTGAAATCGGGAGAGATGGCGTCCAGGTCGATTAGGCCGGTGATGTTTTCGTGATTAGCGAAATGTCTGAGGAGTGTCACTTCTCGTAGTGCGCGTTTCGCAAGTTGTATCTTGTCAAACACCCGGTTGACCTGCTTGATGGCTACCGTCTCCCCGGAAATCTCGTCTGCCGCAGAGCTTTGCGGGGCCGATGCGCGTGAGCAAACACGACGTGGTAAACGGACGGAACACGAACATCACCACTCCATATGCCCCAGATCCCATCTCCCGAATGAGCTTCCATCGTTTCTCGACGTGAAATATCTTCCCGAACGACGAGATGAGCGAGTGATACCCCCTGCGCGAATCCAGGATGTTGGATCAGCGAAACGATTGGAGCGGAAACAATAGACAACGCGCTGCTACTCGCCTCCGCCTTAGATTCTCGTCCGAGAACGGGTTCGAGGGTCGCCTGACGCGCGATCGCCCTCTGGCCGGGAATGATCCGGGCGATGCCTCCACCGACGACGAGGACCCTTTCTTCGACTCCTTCGACCGCGACCTTGATTTCGACCGCGATACCGCGCGGCTCGGACGACTCGCCCGCCTGCCCGAGCGCGAGCCCTTCGGCGATGGCCCCGGGGAACGCCCCCTCCTGTCCGTGGACTCGCTCATGACAGGATCCCGCAGCGCACGCGGAGAAAGATAGCAAGCAGGGATTGAAACCGAGCAATCAACGGCCCGGGGCGACTAGTCTGGTCTTTTAAGTAGTATCGTGTACGTGGCCTCGGAGGGTGTAGCGGAGGAAAGCAAGGGGTGGTCGCGTTCCGAGGTGGGTGTCCTCAAGGCAGCCAAAGCGTGCAACTGCCGCTCAGGCTCTGAGTACACGGCAATTTGTCTCGGGCGGCCATTTACGTCACTTTCCTTCCCTTGATAATATACAAAACTGATTGCCTCATCTTATCTTCTTATCTTTGACGTTATAGATAAACCCAGCGATCGAACAAATCCATGGATAATTAAGCTCGACAACAGACGAAACGTGGTACAGTATACATACTCGGCTAGCATGAAGAGAAACGTTAGCCTGAACACGCTCAACTTGGCGTCGGAGTACCCTCCTTCGACCCTCCCGGCTCCTTCGGCGCGCCTGGCTCGTCCTCCCCAAACAGATCGAGGTACCCCGCCGTACGCGCCTTGTTCCCCGCCTTCTTGAGTACGAACTCCCTCAACCCCGCTTTCAAATCCGGCTGCTTGTCCACCAAGTCTCGCAGCTGGTCTTTCGGCAGCTGCAGCAGCGCGCCAAAGCTCGCGGGCGCGATCACCTTCGCGCATCGGATGAAGCCCGCCCAGAGTGGCGGGTTCGTCCAGATCTTCTTCGTGATCAGGCGCGAGAGCAGCGTGGTGGACACGAAGCCGACGAGCGATTTGTACGTCTGCACGGCCTGGATCACCGTCCGGAGGAAGAGCGTCGGCAGCACCGGCTCGTCGACGATCTGCTGCAGCACGACGGCGAGTATCTCGGATCGGTACACGTCCGTCATCGAGAAGCAGATTCCGATCGCCTCCATCGCGCTCTTCAACCCAATCTCCTTCTCCGAGTTGTGCAGCACGACCATCAACTCCGCAGGCGTCAGTAACTCGCTCTGGCGCACGCGTGGCAGGTTCGAGGTCACGGTCGTGAACGTTTGCGGCGGCGTGGTGACAATCGAGCTGAACACGGCGCGCACAAGAGCCTTGTTCTCTGGCGTGCCGTTCAACATCGAGACGATGCGGGGTAGATGTCGGTGGATGTCCGCCTGAGGATCACAGTGTAGTCAATATCGGATCCATCATGCGAAGAGCATGACCTACCTTGTCCATCTCCCCAATGATGGGCATCAAGAACCGTGCGTCCAGGTCCCTCTCCGCCATGAGACTCTTCACGAGAACCACAAGCGGTGCACTCGGCCGTCCGTGTTCCGTGAAGATATTGAGCACCCGCAGCGCGAGAGACTCGGCGCCGGGCGGGAATGTCCGCAAAAGCGTGAGGAGCTTGCCGTGCCCTGACCCCAGCGACCGTATTAAGGGCGTGATTAAATCTTGTACCGTCTCCTGCACGGACTGATGCATCTGGCTGTATGCAGCGAATATTCTGCACGGCACCATTCATTAACTACCTTCGTCCTCCTCAAGCGAACACGAAAACTCACTCGTCAAGAAACTCCGGTACCTGTCTCGACAGTGCGAACAACAGCTCGACGTGCTGCAGAACCTCCGCCTTCACCGCCGGGATCTCGATCTGCTCTCCCAAGTACGGCGTCTGCACCAGCTCCTCCGGTGGGAGCTCGCCATCCTCGTCGTCCATTGCTGTGTCCTCGCCTCCACCTCCGGAAGATGCGCCCTTTTTGGTCGACTGCAGCCTCCGGAGCATCTGGAGCGCAAAGTCGCGTACCATACCATCCATCGGCTGCTGGTCGGGCACCCATCGCCGGACGGTATTGATCGCGGCTGCTCGCGTGAGCTTTTCTGCGGGGAAAGGATCACGTAGTCAGCATCGACATATAAGTTCCTTGCACGAGAACGTTACCTGGATGTGTTGTCAGATCTAGTAACACCGTTATCGCATCGTCCCTCAGCGATGGCCGTTGCATCACAAACCCCCGCAGAGCCGTAAAGCCCACCTCACGCCTGATCAATGACCCATATTCAGTATATCATTTTCGCCCTGTTAACCATCCTTACCTCTCGGGATCGACACACAAATCTCGCAACAGCGCAAACACATCCATCGGAACCGAGGGTATGTCGAGCAGGAACCGAGAAAACGTTCGGTCCTTGGCGTCGAGTTGCGTCTGGTACGCCGATACAATCTGGTTCAACCAGGTGTCGTAGTTCGGCCGCTGTAAAACCAGCTTAGTATATCGCTGAGACCCCAAGAACGATCTGCGGCTACGTACCCAACTTCGGTCACCTCGTGTTCGTATCTGGTCGTTGTACCACTCTTCGTTCATCCACACCGTCGCTAGCCGTACCCTTGATAACGCTATCAGCACGAAAACGTCAAATATCCAGATCCGTGAAGTGAACCTCACCGTCGGGGGAAATCCGCCATGATATAATCACACAAGGTCCGCCTCAGCCTCTCCTGCCTTGCGTACCCGACCTCGTCTCCCCCATCCACCTCCATCCCCTTCTCCTCCTTCTCTTCCTCCCCGCCCCCTCCATCCCCCTTCGGCGGATAAGCGACGCGCGTGACCATCCGCACCACGAGTGTCATCCACAGCTCGGGCACAGCAAGGTTCTCCTCCGGCGCGCCGTCTGCGTCCACTTCGTCCCACAGCCGCATCATGCTCGCGCGCACGACCGCGTCGCGCTCCGTCTCCGGCACCTCCGGCGGCGGCGGGAGCCTAAAGTCCGTCAACAGCTGGATCTTCAGCTCCCCATCCGCACCCAACGCCTCCTCTGTCGCCTCTGTCTCCATCGCCATCGCCGCCTCATCGCCCGATAGCTAAAGGGAGGGGAAAGCAGGGACAATGAATGACCACGGTCGCCATCGAGGTAGGAGGATTTTACCTCTTGGTTCAGCCTCTCGGGCTCATACTCTATCTCTTCTCCGTCCACATTCATGTCCAGGGGATTCACCACTTCCTCCTTAACCGCCACCTCCCGATCTCCCTCCTTCTCCTTAACCTCCGTTCTATCCACCTTCGCCGACCCATCCGGTCGTGCCTTCGGGGCTTCCGCCTCTGGCGCAGTCCCCGAAAGCCCGGGTACAGGCTCGACCGAAGGTGCCCGCGCAGGTGCGGGGGCCTCCGCGAGCGCCGGCACCGGTGCCCCGTTCGCGACCCGATACGCCCTAACGAGCTCCGCAAGCCGCTCCTCGCTGAACGCCTGCAGGTTCGCGACTATGAGGTCCGTAACGAGCGACGCAGGCAATGACGAGAAATCGAAGGAGGCGAGGAAATTCGCGTTCGCCGCGCTGCCCGCCGCGCCGTGCTCGCGCTTCACCCGCTTCGCGTCCGGCTCCGCGTGAGTCCCGGAAGAGGATGCGGTGGGAGGAGTAGGGGACGCCTCCATGGGCCGCTTGAGGCGGGCGGCTTCGGCTGCGAGCGCGGCTCTGCGAGCTTTTTCTTCGGATGCAGCGCGGTCCATGCGAACGCCTTGAGCAGCGAGCGCTTCGTTGATCTGCTGGATGTACGGTTGGGCCTGCGGCGTTCTGATGACGTCCATGTTAGTTAATCAGCGATCTTTTCGGCACCGTGGATGGGATGTTGACGTACTTGGATAGGTGGACGAGCAGGATGCGCACGGCCTTTTCGGCGCTCTTGACCTCGCTGGCGGGGAGGCCGGCAAGGGCGGCGGGCGTCCATGACGCAAGGGAAGAGACGACGAGTTGCGCCAGAGACGGTCGCAGCTTCGGGAGTGTCGCCCAGGAGTTGAGGATGGCAGAGAGGATGTCGTGGTTCCTAGAAGCGCATTTAAATTAGTTAAGCTCGGTTCTGTATTGCATTTCGTGGCGGAGTGGCATGGCGCGACTGGGGTAGGGGTGGAGGCGGAGGCGGAGGACATACTGTGAGGTGTAGAGGATGGTGATGACGCTCTCGATGAGCTTGAGTCCTTCTTGCTCGAGTTGTTGGACGGGGATGAAGGGATGGTTGGTGGGACACATGGCGATGTTCGGGTCGTTCTTGTTTTGTAGCTGCACGACGTGTTAACCAGAACGAAGGATGGAAGATTTGAAGACGCACTCGAGGATCCGACACGCCCCTAGTTTGCACGATGATCACTCGTTGGAGGAATTTGATCGCGGCCAGCTTGACTCCCGCTGTGACGGTCGGCGCCCAGACCCACTCGAGGATGGTGGCTTTGGCTTGCGCGAGCATATCCCACTGAGGGCGCATGCTCATATTGCTCGTACATCTTGCAACCTCCGTTAGGTATGCAGAGTACAGGCGACATCCTAATGTCACTTACAGGACGCGAAATAGCAGTGGATACACCGTAGCGAAGCATTGCACCACGATCTTGACGGTGCTCGGATTGGGGTCGCGCAACAGACCAACGAGCGTGTCCAAGCTCTGCCCGGCTACTATAGTAGCAGTACCAACATCAATATGATATTCCATGCTTATGATGACAACGAGAAGCTATGATGAGAGTAAAGTCACTGACACTGCGTCCTTGCCTCCAAACTCAATGCGCTCCGACATATCGCGTACTGCAGCAAGTCCAGCACCCATCTCTTCAACAAGGAGTCGCCCGCTCCCGCGACGGTCTTCACTAGCGTGCCACAGAGGATGGGGATCGGCGCGGGCTGCGCCTCGAGCGCTTCACGCAGGGCGGCGAGCAGGTCGGCCTGCTCCTTCGAGTCGGCGGGAACGGCGAGCGCGGCTTGCAGGGCCTGCAGGGGGTCGACCGGGGCTGCCATCACGCACGTCGCGCGCTTATTTCCAGAACCAACAGGATATCTCGACTTATGGGTTGGTGGTTGGTCGTCAGACACAGCAGAAACTCAGAACTGGGCCGGGATGTACGCCACCGTGGTGGCTGAAGGCAAAGCGGGCGCGCGCCTCCTGGTGGCCTTGGATCCCAGCTCTGCCTTTCACCTTCATCCCAAATGATTGTCCGCCGGATGGAACATTGGCATTGCCGAGTCGACACTCGCTCACGACCTTCATTGATTCAGGCCGTATCATCACCAACAGCGTCTACTGTTCGACAGCCGGACGGGCGCTAACGCAATCTCCCTTGTGGCAGCAATAGTCAATGGAGAGACAAACAACATTTTTCAGTAACTGTAGACGACGATTGCGGATGAGTCATTGTGTCTCGTTCGACGTGTCTCGCTGTTGGAAGGGCGACGCGACTGAACATCGGCAAATAGGTGCGTATCTTGTTGCGACGCATAACCGCGCTCTGACGTTCATCTCTCACCTTGTTTCACGCAGAGGTCGCCGGCACTTTCGTCGTAGTATGACGAAACGAATCTCGCCGGGAATGGTTCTGCCAAAATTGTGGTCTGAGGCATCAGGGAGTGCACCTGATACCATGGCCGGTGAGCTCTATCAATTATCCTTCGAACCATCTCCTTTACTGAAAACTCGCAGTACGCGCACATGACTCCGCTATCGAACACATGTTGTTCATCATCGCTCAAAGAATATGGCCAAAGAAGGTACCGATATCCAAAGCATCGGAGAATCGAAGCACGTCTATGAACGCGGAGAACGAGGCGGAAGTCGATTCTACGAGCAACATAGAAGATACATGACTACGAGATACGACTGCGACGCGAAGGGTGTCACCCAATCCCACGATGGCAAAGCTCGTCATCCCCCCCGCCTTCGCGCTCCACAAGGCGTTGTCCGTGGCCCGTGGGTCTGCAGGATACTGGAGATGGCGTCCGAAGTGGAGATGACGGAATGAGAACGTTCCTCCAAGCTCCGCGTCGTGAAAGGTAGTCGGCATGTTGGGATACACCGTTCGGCGACAGAGCGCGCGGCAACCCTGTCACGCATCCTCATCCTCAACGACTTCTACATCCACGTCGAGCGCCTGTATTCTCTCGCAAAGCGACCCCACATGTTGCTCCGCGAGTGCCTTGACATTTCGGTTATACGTCTCCGATTCTGTCCGTGTTATCGAGTGGGGCCTGCCATACACAACGGCGAAAATTTTGACGCGGACCCGAGTCAACTTGACGACATCCGAAAGCCTGACGAGCGCGTCCGCGAGGGCCGCCCACTTGTCGCCGTCGTCTCGTTTCCCCCAGGCCGTCGAAACGGTGAACGTGATTTCGAAGCGTGTGATCGTCGCCAACGCTGCGCTCTCCAGGATGGCCTGAACCCCACCGACGTCGAATGCGGCCTTCCGGAGCGAACTGTATTTGCCTAGTTCGATGGTTACGCAGAAGGACTCCAACAACGGGTTGTTCGCAAGGTCCAAGCGCTCTGCGAGGGCAAGTGAGAACTCATCATCATTCGCTCGGTCGCATGCTCACCTTCTTGATCGGCGTATAGGTAATAGCCCTGGAGCGACACGTGCAGATATCTGAGGCCGGGGCAAAGCTGCACGAGCTTGCGCAAAGCCAACAACTCTTCCTGCAGCATCCACTTGGGTACCCAGCTCAGGCGCGAGAGGGATGCCAGGGAACCGAGCGAGCAGAGATGGGCCAGGTAGTCGCACACGAGCCTGAAGTGATTTACGACATATGGGGCGGGATCTAGGTGGATTTCCGCGATGTCGAGCGCCGGCGCCTCCGTAGGCAATGGCCTCGGCGGGTAAACCGACCTGATTTTCACGTTCGGACCGATGCGGACGCAACGGAGGTGGGGCAAAGAAGTGAGGACCTGGAAAACGGACATGGGTTCCAGCGCGGCGCGCTCGATCGCGAGTGTTTTCAAACCGGGGCAACAGACCGCGATATTCTGAGCCAATTTCAGGGGGTACTCTTTCCACTCCCCTGATAGGGTCTTGAAGGAATCCGGGATATGCTCTTCTAGCCAGACCGTGAGCTCCTCGACCCGGGGAAAGACGAACGGAATCTCTGATTGTCCCATCGGTACGGCCACCACACGGATCTTCGTGACGTTCTCCAGGATGTTGGGCGAGAACTGGATGAGATTTCTGATCGTGTCCAGGTCCTCCTTAGCGCGTAGGAAGAGCTCGGAAGGAAACAGATGGTACTGGCTGGCGCTGCGCCAGCGACGATGGGTTAGGGAGCACGCACGGAGTGCATCCTTGTCGTCGTGTAGAAGATCGATAATGCAGTCCCACAGCTCTTGAGGGAGTTTGTTCTCGAGGGTCATGTTGGGTGGACAGCCAGATTATGAGCAGATCGTGAATGTTGCAGAGCAATAACGCTACAGCCGTTTTCAAAAATCATGAGCGCGGCACCAGAAACGAGACGCGCGTCGTGAACGACCCTAAAGTGGGGTCACCGCCAGATCAGCGATGCCGGCGAGCTCAGGAGGTCAGCCAGCTCAGGCATCTCGACGGGATCGTATTGCTGTTGTTGTCTGAGGAGTGCCCGAGCATAAGGGAGCCAAAGGTTAGCCCGATTTTGAGCTCGAGATACGATGTGCAATGTTTCTGGGGGTTTCTGATTCCCTCAACTTGATGCTCCCGGCGGATTGTCTTTCACCCATTCTGTCAACTTCCACTCGCCTATGGGATCTTCTTGATAGCGGGCTACACCTTGATTTGGAGCAGTACACTTGTACAATGGTTGCCCCTCAGTGAGCCGCTGGCAGTAACCCTAATGTAAGGGTCTTACCCAATGCTCCCCAATGACGAGTCGCCGATGAGTTCCCAAACATCTCGTTGTTGAAAACATTGGTAGACTCCTGGGACACAAATTTGCTCATACAGAGGCTCGACTGTGTCCAGATTTGCTGGACATAGCGTCCATAATCATGGTTTACATTCGCTGACGCTATCCTTGCCTGCTACCGGGAAATTGCTCGTTAATTCCTTTGAATATCATGTTTACCACTCCTCAGAATCATCCTCTGAGCTCCTCACGTGTATTTTAATCATTTCCATGCTATCCTAGGGCGCATCATCGTAGAGTTCGTCGTCGAACACGATGTGCTGGCAGCAAACCCAGCTTTGGGGTCATCACGACGCGCATCTCGTTTCTGGTGCCGCGCTCATGATTTTTGAAAACGGCTGTAGTCGCGCGACGACAGGAGGTCACCGCGACTCAGCCCCTCCCACGAGTCTACACGCCATGTATCTGCAGCCTCAAAGTCTGCTACTTGCTGGCACGTAAGTATACCCGGCCTCAGACGTCTCGGGGATACTCTCCACGCGAGGAAAGTGAAACACGTAGGCTTTCGGCAGCATACAGGGTCAGCACGCTTCTGGTTCATCGTATGTACACCCTTTTCTCCGACTTGCTCATGTGGGTTCAAGGAGTTCGTGCCTGATGCCGATCTTGCTCTTCCAGTCGTTACGCGGTGTGCATCAGCATGAAGCTCGACTTCGCTTTTCCTGCGGTTATCCGTCAAAAGCTGCGTTCAACCCCCCCTGCGGACGGATGAATATATCGACACTGCTGCCCGCGTTCGCGTACGTAGCGAGCTCTTCCCGTGGAAGTTGCTCCTGTTCCCCGCTACAAGTCCACCACTATAGCATTGCTGGTAATGACTCCAGCTCTTTCCGTTAACGAGATGAAGGACCAATGTCTCGATGACGGCCGTACTGCTCGCACCATAAATCGCCTAGCGGCCTAAGATATGTGGGTCTGCAGGCGTGGGCGCGGGGTGTGTGGTACGTGTCTAAACTGCCGCCGCGCATACGCGTACACGGGGAGATCGACCGCTTATTCATCCTCTCAACAGTCACTACCATGGCGTAACCTCAGGGAAATGAATCGTGACAAAGCCTCTTTCCAAGCACAATAAAAGGCGCGACGCCTCAGTTAGCTCATGCTTCAGATCGCTCTTGCCCAAGGAGAACATTGATACTAGATAATTCCCGCCATGTCGCTCTTCACACCAGCCCCTCTTCCCCGGACCAACCTCGGCCGTTATCGTCGTTTGTCACCTACAGCAGGTATCCATGTGTCCCCGATCCAGCTCGGCGGGGCCAACATCGGTGATAAGTGGCACACGATCGGCCTGGGGGAGATGGACGAGAAGTCGTCGATCGCGCTGTTGGACGCGTACTTCGATGCGGGCGGAAACTTCATCGATACGTCGAGCAATTAGTCGGTTGCATATGCTCGATGTCCGGTGTCCGTGGTAATAAACTTTTTTGCCAGCCAGGACGGGCGATCGGAAGAGATTATTGGAGAGTGGGCGGAGAAGAGGGGTATCCGCGACCAGCTCGTCATAGCCACCAAGGTCTGTAGCACATCACCAACTTGGTCTCTTTAGGAAGGGTCACTGAAGTTGTGTTCCCAGTACACGTCTCCGCACAAGTCTCACGACCAGTCGATCACCCAGAAGGTTAACTACATCGGCAACAACGTCAAGTCGTTGCATATATCCGTCGAGGCCTCGCTGAAGAAACTTCGGACGTCGTACATTGATATTCTTTACGTGCACTGGTGGGACTGGGACACGAGCGTGGAGGAGGTCATGAACGGCCTCCACGCGCTCGTCCTGGCCGGGAAGGTCCTTTACCTGGTGAGCGCAGCCGTCCGTTCTCCGATCAAAGTGTGAGGTGCTCACCCATTTGGGGCAATGTACAGGGTATATCTGATACGCCGGCATGGGTGGTATCCTCGGCAAACCGGTACGCGCGTGATCACGGGAAAACGCCGTTCGTGATCTACCAAGGCGCATGGAACGTCATGGAACGCTCCTTCGAGCGTGAAATTATCCCCATGGCTCGTTATGAAGGTGAGCCAACTCTTCCTTTACAATCTGATCATATACGCGCCAGGAATTGAGACGTCGTTTCTTGACCAATCAGGCCTCGCACTCGCGCCGTGGAACGTGCTCGCCGGCGGTAAGATCCGCACGGACGAGGAAGAGCAGCGCCGCCGGGAGTCGGGTGAGAAAGGCCGGACGGTGTTGAACCCAAATTGGGAGCGAACGGAGGACGAGAGGAAGGTGTGCAAGGCGCTCGAGAAGGTCGCGGCCGAGGTCGGCGCGAAGCATATCACTGCCGGTACGAGAGCCGCCCCCGATCCTTCACCGTGTCCACATTATGCTGACCATTTCGTAGTCGCGATCGCGTACTTGATGCAAAAGACGCCGCACGTATTCCCCATCGTCGGCGGACGGAAGGTCGAGCAATTGCTCGCGAACATTGAAGCGCTCAGCATCACTCTCAAGCCCGAGCAAGTCGAGTATCTCGAGAGCATCGTGCCGTTCGACCCCGGGTTCCCGAACAGCATGATCGTAAGCAGTCCCATTTTCACGGAATGTTGGGGCGGGGCCTCAACTTCTCGGCTTTTGGATAGGGCGACGGGACCAAGTACTCGTTGTTCATGGCGATGTCGAACTTGGACAAAGATCCGCTGGTCCCGGTCATCCGTCCGCAGTAGACATGGGAAAGGCCTTATGTACAGTGTGTGGAAGAATACATCGTGACGACGGGACGAAAACCGGAGAGAGTGCCGGGCGACCTCTATCTAGGACACGCGGAAAACGGGAGGGATGGTACTCTGCATTGATATGCAGCTTGTTCACATCGCCAGGTCGTCTTGAGACGATCTTAAGAGCATCAAGCAATCTCGAACACTTTGTCGAGGCTGGACTACCTGCATGAGCGAGCAGCAGGGATAGCATCGATTGCAGGCGATGGATGCAGGCGAACTTGAAGGTGTACTCCGTGCCTTTGAGCGCGATTAGTCCTCAAGGGTCAGTCTGCGCGTCGAAATTGTACCACCATGAGAGCTATCGACTCTTCGGATATCTGCAACATTACCCCATCTGAACGTGGGTTGAAAATGGTTTCAGTTTCGTGAGCCGTAGACAGTAGGCCTCGGTTGAAAGAAGAAGGAAGTAGAAACAATCAACTTGACCACCACGGTTTCCTCGTAGATCTCATGGTTCTCAGATTTGGAATCGAGAGTGATCCTCACATAGTGCAGAGACGAGTCACAATCCGGCTGGACAGTGCGATGCACTGTTTTGTGCGTCGTGCTTTGCACTTCAGATTCAGTGAGTCCTCGTTCAGGTGAGCGTTGATAGTGCATGTCCCAAGCGTCTTGAATTGCGATAGAGTGGGTCGCGACGTTGCAATTGGGTAATTGGGCCGTTGCAAGAAGTACTGACTTAGGCTGCGTTTGGGAACGCTTGATTCTGCGAGACAGATTTGACCGAGACCACTTGCCATTCTAGATCCGTGAGACTGAATGTACATACATGACAAGACATGTACAGCAGTATAAAATAGGGTCAGAGACAAACTGAGTCAGTGGACTGGTTTTTTCTACCTGGTACGTCGCCTGCACGAGTGGCGTACGTGCAGCGCAGCACCCGGCTGTTCCGCTACCAGGACCACTGCAATCTACCTACCGGTTTGTGACTGTCAGTCGCTGCCGTAATCTGGACAAGACTTTCAAACAGCGATTGTCACTACGTTGTCGGCTTTTCACCTGCATCCCAGCTGTCTTCGAGTCTATTCGGCGCATCTATCATTATGGTGCATGCACGGGGCTAACTTGACCGGGGCTATGCTTCACACTCAATCCAATCCTCCCGTTCGCTGCGCGTCACATTTCTCGGAGATTCTTTCGCGTCGGCCTTTCGAATAGCCCGAGTTACGATGAGACATCGAGGACTTTTGCTCAGACTGAGTTCAGTTCTAACTTTGATGTTGCTCCATCCGGCATTATTGACACCGTGGTTCGCCAATCGTCGCTCCGGGTATACAAGCTAAGCTTGGTTCACAGTCATGACCCGAGGTCTCCATTCCACGCCATAGCACTTGTGCCCCCTCTGTCTCCTTCGGGCGGAGCAGTTCGACCTGCTAACTACCTTTGGGATATGCACGAGTGGCGTATTGTACATCGTAACATCGGGCGGATGTCCTCTCCGGCCTCAGGATCAACCCGCGGTCTCCCACGTCAAGCTAATGTTCTTCTGATCCAGCCGAATGCGGGAGGCGATGGTCTAAATGCGCGGATACTTAACATGAGGGCCAGAATTCTTTGCTACTACTGAACTTCCCCTCTCCCTCTCACTTCGTCGGCGCTATGCCTTCCGGCGTCAGTTTCATTGACGCAGCCTTGCTTGCTTTATTCGTATATCTCCTTGGACGGCTCATTGCGCGATCGTCTCCGACGCGTCTGCCTCCTGGCCCCCGTGGGTTACCCCTCATAGGGAACCTCCTGGATCTGCCGAAGGACCATGAGTGGGAGACGTTCACGCGTTGGGGGAGAGATTTCGGTATGAGTTTCAATATCGAAACGTGCTCTCCAACGACGTGTATCTTGACGTGAGGTGTGCTACCTCGTAGGAGACCTTTCCATGGTGAGAGCGCTCGGAACGAACATGCTGGTCATCAACTCCTCCAAGATCGCGGTCGACATGCTAGGTGGGTTGCCAATTTTGGTGCACGTCGTAATCTTTATGAACCCAAGCTTGCAGAGAAAAAGTCAAACATATACAGTGATCGCCCATGGATGAAAATGGCCTGCGACCTCGTTGGACACAAGGGACATTGCATTTTCAGTCCGTACAACGATCGACTGAGGCTTTTCCGGAAAATGTTCCACGGTCCGTATTCCGTTTCATGTTTCGGCATTTGTGCCTGTATAGCAGAGTGTCTTCGCGAGAGGCTGACTATCATATCCCGTTGCAGGCGTGCTCGCAGGCAAGGAGAATCTGGACGCTCATACAGCCATCGAGGAACACGAAACGCACCGGTTTCTGTACCGCCTCTCGAGAAATCCTGACGGTCTGCGAGAGGAGTTGCGCAGGCGAGTGCATGTGCAACTCTTGATCGGGGTATGCTCACGTGTATGTTTGCCCAGGTTGGCTGGCGCCATCATCCTCAAGGTGTGTCACGGTTACGAGCTCGTCGAAGAGGGAGACGACCCGATGGTCGACCTTGTGGAGCGTGTTATGATCGAGTTCGGAGACGTGACCACCCCCGGGCACTACGTGGTGGATATCATCCCCTGGCGTAAGTCGATGCGCACATCGATGGTCAGGCCATGCTGGCTCATTTGCGATATAGTTGCATATCTTCCCGGGTGGTTGCCCGGTATGGGATTTAAGAGGGCCGCGGTAGAGATGCGCAAGGTTTTGTACGACGGGAAGGACATGCCGATTGCATTCGTGAAGGAGCAAATGGTATGACAACAACGAGCAGCATCTCGATGTCTGGGAAGATTCAGCGCTAACTGCATTCATCTTGCCCCAGGCTAAGGGAACAGCTATGCGGTGCTTTACCTCAAAATGCCTGGAAAAGGTCGCTGAAGGGAACGCTCCGTACAATGAGGACATGGTGGGGTGGGCAGGAGTCAATATATATGGAGGTGAGGTTACAGGCAGTATCGATCACGGCGCTCCCCTAAATCTCATTCATAGGTGGTGCAGATACGGTAAGCTTTGCGTTTATCATGAAAATACATCAGATGAACAAACGCATCGATGTAGACCGTGTCTGTCAGTGCCTCCCGCTGCTGATACATTGTGTGTGTGTCAATATAACTCACTGATATTTCAGGCCAACTATTCGTTCTTCCTTGCGATGATGCTGCACCCCGACGTTCAGAAGAAAGCACAGGAAGAGATTGACCGTGTTGTTGGGCCGGACCGGCTACCGACTTTGGCGGATCGAGAGCATCTGCCGTACATAAATGCGCTCGTGAAGGAAACGATGAGGTGGCAAGTGGTGCTGCCTCAAGGTAAGCGGATCGCCAGTCTGACTAGTAATGAAACTGACTGGTGTCGCGTAGCTCTTCCTCATGTGCTTAGAGAGGACGATATCCATGAAGGCTTCTTCATTCCGAAGGGTACCATATGCATCCCGAACGTCTGGTATGCATGATCGACGTTGCATTCTGTGCATGTTTGGGAGCTCAATTCGCTGTTGCATGTAGGGGTTTCCTCCACGATCCAGCTACCTACCGTGATCCGGAGAACTTCAACCCGTCCCGGTTCCTCGAGGCGGAGGGTAAACCTGCTGAAACAGACTCGCGCTTGTTCTGCTTCGGGTTCGGCCGCAGAATATGCCCAGGTTTGGGACATCGATTCAATTGCATATTGCTCCTCTGACATGTTTTTCCGTTGAAGGTCGTCAACTGGCCGATGCGTCTATTTTTCTCCAATGCGCGATGTCCCTCGCAGTTTTCAACATTGACAAGCCTTTGGACAACTCGGGAACTGCCATCGAGCCCGTACTGGATCGTACGAGCGGGGTCGTTACACATCCGACGCATTTCGCGTGCACGATCAAACCTCGCTCTGCACGGGCTGCCGGGCTGATTCGGTCGTTCGAAGATGCTCTTTGAAATCGTATTTTCACAGCTTGACCCGAGTTTCATGTGCATGAAATGTCATTAACTATCTCATAAATCTATCACTGTTCTGTTGGGGCGTATATCCAGACGCAGACTTTTTTGTAATGCAAAGCGAAATTTCCAGCTTTACATCCAGCTATCCGCGACATTTTATGCGACATTCCAATGGCTCGTTGGTATGCTTGAGTTGCGATGGGCTGGATGTTGCGAAGTCGAACTATTCAACTAAAGCGAAAGCTTGAAACGGTAATGAGTCCACGTGATCGAACCGAGCAGTGTGTCTGGCACTACAGTCTGAGTGAAGGTTCTCTTGGACAACGACAACGCACACTATCCCATCGCTGAACCATTGCTGGCGTTGTCAGCCTTGTACCCTAGTGACCTGCTTGGAATCACATCAACCTCTTTAATATGGCATCCTCGGTTTTCTACAGGTTCAAGTCGCAAAAAAATGATTCCCGAGTGACCTTTGACGGCACCGGCATCTCCGTGTTTGACCTGAAGAAAGAGATCATCCTCGCCAACAACCTGGGCAAGGCGAACGACATTGACATTGCCGTCTCGGATGCTTCCACAGGGCAAGGTGAAGACATGGGCGTTGGTGGCTGAAGCGGTGCGTTGACGGTGGTTGTTCTCTCAGAGCTCAAGGACGACGCGCACGTCGTTGCCCGGTCCTCGTCTGTGATTGTGAGGCGAGTGCCTGCTCCCAGAAATGGAAGAGGTGGTGCTGCTCGATACTTGGCCGGTCTAGCTCCTGCTGGAGGTGCTGACGCGGGGTCAAAACCGGGCGCGCCTGCGCCGATGCCGTGGCAGAACCGAGGTTCAATGTCGAAGCGCTTCGATGGGAAGGAGGATCATCCTCCCGTACAGAAACAAGCACCTGTAAGTCGTTTCTGTATCCTACTAATCCGCCCTATTCTTAAACTCTTTCCCGCAGGCCCCGGTCGTCAACAACGTGACGGATTCGGACGAAGCCGCCGCCATGGCTGCCATGTTCCAAGCACAAACGGCCAGCTGGGAGGAGACCCAGGAAAAAATGTCTCAGTTGGTGTCGCGCCCTTCCTGGCGTCCTGTTTTGTGTAGTAGATCTTGTCTAATGGACATCTATTCCATCATCCGTGTTCTGCGTATGACTCTGACAGTGCTACATATATCCACCGAAACCCGCGCGGTGGCGGCCCGTCCGAGCGGGGAGGCAGGAACTCATTCAACCAGCGTCATCAGCCTGACCGACCCCTGCCCCCGAGCTACGTGTGTTACCGTTGCGGGCAGAAAGGTTTGAACCTCTTCTTGCGTCATGCATACTAGGTGCTGAAGCGCGTTTAAGGTCATTGGATACAAGACTGTCCTACGAACAACGATAAAGACTACGACCATCGACCGCGAATCAAGCGAACGACTGGTATTCCTCGTAGCTTCCTGAAGACCGTCGAGAACCCCAATGACGGGCAACATACGCAAGGAGTCATGGTCACCCCCGAAGGAGGTTACGTCGTCGCACAACCAGATATGTGAGTGTTTGAGGGTCGCGTCCTTCATCTCGTTCACTAATGCGGGCGCTCTAGCGCGTCGTGGCAAAAGCAAGTTGCGAAACCGAAGGCTTTGACAGAGGCCGAGATTCGCGAGCGGACGCCAACGGACCCGGCGGTCACCTGCTCCATAGACAACAAACTGTTCAAGGACGCTGTTAAGACACCCTGTTGTGGCACCACTTTCTGCGAGGAATGTATCCAGACTCACCTCCTTGAACGTGACTTCATCTGTCCCAGCTGCGGGAAGAAGATCCAATCGCTCGATAAGCTGATACCAGACAAGCCGACAAGGACGAAGGTTGGGGAGTACATTCATAAAGCGATCGAAGACAGCAAACGGGAGGACGGCGAGCCGCAATCCTCTAACGCAGGAAAGAGCGCCGCTACTGGCGACACGAACACGGTGAGTTTGCGTGCGTGCGTTCGGCTTGCTTGCGTCTCGCGCTTACATTCCATTACCGTCGGACCAGGCCAATGCGGATAACGCACCGCAAGAAGGCGATATCTACGCCCAGCAGACGGACGAGCCGGACATGCCGCAGATTATCGTGGACAGCATTCCGGGTCTGCAGGCGCAGCTGCACCAGCTCTCGACCATGCTTCAGAACCCGGCGCTCCCGCACCCGGTCAGGCAGACGACGGAGATGCAGTACAACCAATTGCAGATGCAGCTCCAGCAGGCGCAGACGATCGCGGCCGCGCTGGAGGTGAACAAGGCGGCGGCTGCGGCGAGCTTCGCGAGTATGCAGCAGCAGATGCAACAGCAGATGCAGCCGATGATGCAACCGTGGGCGGCGGCGGCGTACGCGAGCCAGCAGGCGGTCGCGCAAGACTCGCCGTATCAGCGCTTGCCGGTGAACAACCGAAGGAGGAACCTGAAGAGGGAGAGGCCGAGCGACTTCGTGGAGGTCGCGGGAAGCGAGGGCGACCCCAAGCAAGCGAGGTACTGGGAGTGAGCAGATGGGCATTGGATATGCCGTGCCTGATGGACTGACTTCGTCTGGAGGTGGCATGTAATCTTGATAAGCTCTTCACGACTGTGCAGTTGAGTAATTGGAAATATACATATCATACTTCATCGGACGAATTCGTCTCGACAATTTGTCCGATTTTCGCGGATGGACTCTCGTCGCATCGGTGCATCGCACATCCATGAGTCCATGGCAGGTGGTTCCGCTGGTCATTGCAAGCGATGCTATATAATGAAATCAGCATTGCTCTACATGCGCGGCCTACCACACATTCGCGTCGGGCTCGTAGTGAATGCTTCCTCGTCAAGGCATACTTACATTTCGCCAGATCCTGACGAGATTGGAGGATCAACCGGAGCTCGCTGCCGCAGCGAGGGCGCATGGGCCGGATCAGGTGCGCTTCTGATTGGCGGAAAGCCACGTGCCATCGGCCCGCGCTTTCCCCGCTGACGGGACGCGATTTACACCAATACCCCGGCCGCGTCGCCTTCGGGGGGCGCGTTACGCAGTGTCGACTTCATCATCCTCTACAGATCAGAAATGTGGCCCTCGGCCCTGCAACGGAGCTGGTGCGCCGCGGATGCCGGGCCCGGTTTGTCAACTCACTGCCGTTTGCGGTCCGTTGCCTTCGGGTTATAAAGGCGTTCGCCTCCAACATATCCTGATCAACGTTTCTTCTCTTATTACACCTTTCAAAGACTACACCTTTTAAAGACTGCTCCGGAGCCGATATGTCCGTCTCGGACTCGGCGTCTACCTACATCGGAGAAGACAACATGGGCTTTCACTCGTCTACTTCTCCTCGTCCGGAGCGCATTCACATCGACGAGCAGAGCAGGCAGAACGTCACGGAGCTCGCGAGACAGATATCGAGAACGTCCAACGCCGGTGTTCCACGAAGGCGGGATACCGCCCCTCACACTCAACCGCTTTCTCCGGCCGCGTCGCGCAGCTCGAACGCCAAAGGCGAAGATCTGCCGAACCCATTCATCGGGAGCGACGATCCGAGGCTCCTACCGGGTAGCGGGTCATTCGACGTCAAAGCGTGGATTCGCGCCGTCTTGAACATCGTTGAGCGAGAGCCCGAGCGGTTCCCTCAGCGCACGGCGGGCATTAGCTTCAAGAACCTATCCGCCTACGGCTTCGGCACGTCGACCGACTACCAGAAGGATGTGGGAAATATCTGGCTAGAAGGCGCTGGACTGGTTCGGAAGGTGCTTGGGAGGGAGAGGCAGCGCAAGATCGATATTCTGCGCAATTTCGACGGTCTGGTGAAAAGTGGAGAGACGCTTGTCGTTCTCGGGCGACCTGGGAGTGGGTGCAGTACCTTCCTGAAAACGTGAGAGTTGCGCTGTTTATCATTTTCCAACGTCCACTTAATCCTCCGTATAGCATCGCCGGTCAGACCCACGGCTTTTTCCTGTCGCCGGAGACCGAAATACACTACTCCGGCATTCCGCGTGAGCAGTACATCAAGCACTTCCGCGGAGAGGTCATATACCAGGTATATACGATCGCACTCGCTATTTCCTCCCTCTTACGCTGTCGAGTTAGGCCGAAGTAGATGTACACTTCCCGATGCTGACCGTCGGCGAGACCCTCGCATTTGCGGCGCTTGCGCGGGCGCCTCACAACCGTCCCGACGGCGTCACCCGCCGGCAGTGGGCGATGCACATGCGCGACGTCGTCATGACCATCTTCGGCCTCAGTCACACCGTGAACACTCGCGTCGGGAACGATTATATTCGTGGGGTGCGTCAAGTTTTTCCCCCCAAATACTTGCTTTTTAAAGCCGCTTCCTAGGTTTCCGGCGGTGAACGCAAGCGCGTGTCCATTGCGGAGGCGACTTTGAGCGGTAGTCCAGTACAATGCTGGGACAACAGTACGCGAGGATTGGACAGCGCCACTGCGCTTGAATTCGTAAAGACATTGCGAACCGCATCGGAAGCCGGTGGGGTAGCCAACATCGTCGCGATTTACCAAGCCAGCCAGGAAGCATACGACGTAAGGTTATATGCGCATACATCCAGGCATTTTAACTGATCATGCGTGTCCGCAGTTGTTCGACAAGGTCATCCTGCTCTACGAGGGCCGCCAGATCTTCTTCGGCCCCACAAAGGCAGCCAAGGATTACTTCATTCGGATGGGCTACGAGTGCCCTCCCCGCCAGACGACCGCGGACTTCCTCACGTCAATTACCAGTCCGGAGGAGCGCATCGTCCGCGCCGGATTCGAAGGCCGCGTCCCGCGCACGCCGGACGAGTTCGCCGTCGCGTGGAAGCAGAGCGCCGAGCATGCTCACCTCATGCGCGAGATCGAGGCGTACGACCACCAGTACCCCGTCGGTGGACACCACCTCGAAACGTTCGTCAAGTCGCGTAAGGCGCAGCAGGCGGACCACGTCAGCTCCAAGTCGCCGTACACGATTTCGTTCCCGATGCAGGTCCGCCTTTGCTTGGTGCGCGGGTTCCAGCGGCTGAGGAACGACCTGTCGATGTTCTTCGTGACGGTGTTCGGCAACTCGATCATGTGCCTCATCGTTTCCTCGGTCTTCTACAACCTCCCCACAGACACGAGCAGCTTTTTCTCGCGCGGTGCACTGCTCTTCTACGCGATCCTTCTGAACGCGTTCTCGAGCGCGCTCGAAATCCTTACGCTCTATGAGCAGCGGCCGATCGTGGAGAAGCACACGGCGTACGCGCTCATACACCCCGCTGCCGAAGCCTTCGCGTCGATGTTGACGGACCTGCCGACCAAGATCTTGACGGCGCTTGCGAGCAACCTCATCTTGTACTTCATGACGAACCTACGACGTGAAGCCGGCGCGTTTTTCATCTTCTTCCTCGTATCTTTCACCACGACGCTCGTGATGAGCATGATCTTCCGGACCATCGCCGCCTCCTCCCGGACGTTGGCACAAGCGATGACACCAGCGTCTTTGTAAGTACCGCCGGCATTTGTTTCGCGCACAATGCTCACGGATCACTAGGTTTATTCTGGCCCTTGGTACGGTTCTGGCACCTTTGTTCCGTGTATCTATTCTGACCCAAGATCATAGTCATATACACCGGCTTCACCATCCCTACACGAAGTACGTCTTACGACTTCGCAATCGCGACCTGTCCCTGACTGACATTGTTTGCGCAGACATGCATCCTTGGTTCCGGTGGATCAACTACCTGGATCCCATCGGCTACGGGTTCGAGGCACTAATGGCCAACGAGTTCTCCAGTAGGAGATACGCCTGCGCGTGAGTGATTCCAGACCGATCCTAGGTTCTAACGCTCATCACCTATCCAGGCAATTCATACCTTCCGGACCGCGGTACGCCAATGTCTCCGGCACCGAGCACATCTGCTCTGTAGTCGGTGGCAAGCCGGGAAATAACTTCGTCGACGGCTCGGACTATATCGCGCAGTCGTTCCAATACAGCCGGTCCCATCTCTGGCGCAACTGGGGCATATTGGTGGGATTCTTGATCTTCTTCCTCATCACGTACCTCGCCGCGACGACCTACATCAGCTCGGCCAAGTCGAAGGGCGAAGTCTTGGTCTTCCTTCGGGGACACCTGCGCCCTGAGAAGAGGGACGACGAGGAAGGCGCGTCGCGCGGGGAGAAAAAGGTGGTTGTATCGTCCTCGTCTTCGAGTCGCTCGAGCAAGGATGCGGCGGCGGATTTGAGCCAGCGGGATATCTTCATGTGGCGTGATGTGGTGCGCTGCCCAGTTCTGCCGCGTGCTGGTTCGAATATTGAATGATTCGTGGTAGGTGTACGACATCAAGATCAAGGGGCAGCCGCGGCGGCTGCTTGACCACGTCGACGGGTGGGTTCAGCCCGGAAAGCTCACGGCTCTCATGGGTGCCTCCGGTGCTGGAAAGACCACGCTGTTGGACACACTCGCTTCCCGCGTGACTATGGGCATCGTCTCCGGCGATATGCTTGGTGGGTCCTGCTTCTCACAATCCAGCTGGTCACCGTACTCATGGTACCTTGCTTATAGTCAATGGCCGCCAACGCGATGCATCATTCCAGAGGAAAACTGGCTACGTCCAACAGCAAGACTTGCATTTGCAGACCTCCACCGTCCGCGAGGCCTTGGAGTTCAGCGCGCTTCTACGACAGCCAGCGCACGTCAGCAAGGAGGAGAAGTTACAGTACGTGGAACACGTCATCGACCTACTGGAGATGCGAGAGGTACGGAAGTCGACGACCGCCGCAGCGAACGTCATTCCTGACTTGTCTGCAGTATGCCGGCGCTGTTGTTGGAGTTCCCGGTGAAGGTCTCAATGTGGAGCAACGGAAGCGTCTTACCATCGGTGTCGAGCTTGCGGCGAAGCCCCAGCTGCTGCTTTTCCTGGTTCGTAATCACGCTATCTCATGTTGAGCTGAAGTTGAAGACACGAACAGGACGAACCTACGAGCGGTCTTGACTCCCAGACGGCCTGGTCTGTTCTCAGTCTGCTGCGCAAGTTAGCCAACCACGGGCAAGCCATTCTCTGCACGATACATCAACCTAGCGCGCAGTTGTTCTCGGAGTTCGACCGACTGCTCTTCTTGGCCAAAGGTCGGTGGAACAGAGCCATCCAGATCCCCCCGCCGACTGCTAACTGCGCCTTCCTCTCTTGTGAAGGTGGACGCACGGTGTATTTTGGAGACCTCGGCGAAGATTCGAGGAAGTTGATCGACTACTTCGAGCGGAACGGTGCGGATCCGTGCCCGCCGGCGGCGAATCCAGCGGACTGGATGCTACGTACGTGATTACCCTCCTGACATGCTGAACCATACCTGACCGATGCATATTCGCTTTGCAGAGGTCATCGGAGCTGCGCCTGGTGCCGTCGCCAAGCGTGACTGGCCCGAGGTATGGAAGGAGAGCCCAGAACGGCAGAACATCCGCGCCGAAATCAGTAAAATGGAGAGGGAGTTGTCAAGTAGAACCGTTGAAGAAGACGCCCACCCTCAATCATTCGCCGCTTCTCACTTCATCCAGTACTACCTCGTGACGAAGAGGGTTTTCCAGCAGTGCGTACTTTTACTCGTGGAGTTTTGGGCCGGACGTTGATGTCACTGCTGCAGGTATTGGCGTACCCCAAGCTACATCTACGCGAAGTTGACGCTATCCACTGTCACGGCCGCGTTCATCGGGTTCTCTTTCTGGCAGGCCAAGAGGGATCAACAGGGCCTACAGAACCAGGTGAGTTGAGGAGGGGTCTTTCCAGTGATGAAATAATGCTCACCCATTCCATCAGATGTTCAGTATCTTCATGCTCATGACCGCGTTTGGCAACATGGTACAACAGATCATGCCTCAATTCGTGACTCAACGTTCCCTTTACGAAGTACGGGAACGCCCTAGCAAGACCTTTGGCTGGCCAGCATTCATGCTCGCCCAACTGACCGTGGAGCTGCCGTGGCGTACGTCTAGAACAGCACTTTCCGAGTATTATCTGGCATTGACGCAACCCCGCAGAGGCCTTTGCTGCTGTGCTTGCTTTCGTCTTGATCTACTTCCCCATTGGTCTCAATCATAATGCCGCATTTGCCCACGAAACGGCGGAACGCGGCGGGCTGTTCTTCATGCTCGTCCTCGCGTTTTATATATTCACAAGCACGTTCTCCACTATGATCATCGCCGGAGTGGAGGAGGCAACCACCGGAGGCAACATCGCGAACCTCATGTTCAGGTACGCAACTTAGCCTACTTCGTGGATGATGGGCTTACAGCGGAGTTCTTGACAGTCTTTGCCTCATATTCACCGGCGTACTGGCAACTCCTTCGCAATTCCCGCATTTTTGGATATTCATGTACGACGTGTCGCCCTTCCGATACATGCTCCAAGCAATGCTCTCGGTCGGACTCGCGCACGCCCCTGTCAAGTGCTCGTCCATCGAGGTCAAGACACTTGATCCGGTGCCCGGCCAGACCTGCGGACAGTACCTCCAGTCGTACATATCCTCATTCGGCGGATCCGTCTCCAACCCCGAAGCGACGTCCGGATGCGAATACTGTTCGATCACGTCTACGGACCAGTTCCTCGCGCAGATCAACGCCAACTACTCCGAACGGTGGAGGGACTGGGGCTTGCTCCTCGTCTACATCACGTTTAACATCGTGGGAGCTTTGTTCTTGTACTGGTTGATCAGGGTGCCGAAGGGTAACCGGGTGGAGAAATCTGCCGCTCCAGGGCCGGATATTTCTGCGCAGACGAAGAAGGAATTGCTACAGTGAAGGATGCTGTTTCAACGACTTGTGACGTGCTGATATGACCTTTTTACATCTTGGAAGAAGACCTTCAGATTTCTTCTACACTCATTCGTTATCGGTTGCTCGAACATTCTCTACGATTTTCCTCTTAATCATAACTATATCATACCCAGGGTCCCTCCGTATCTAGACGTACGTTAGTCTACAGTGTCAATCGAAAAAAATATTGCGATTGGAACAGTAACACAGGGGGTGGCTGTGGTAATATTCTCTCCAGCCCGCGATCGGGTGAAGTGGTTGTTGCCTCGAACATTCCCATATCACTGTCGCTGTCATGAGATTGCACGAAACAATCCTGAGCAGTGGAGGGCCGTTGCCCTCTTCCTCCTCTACAGCTTCTGGACCCGGCGCTATAACCCTCCACGACATTCAAACCGGAACCTTGCTCGCGTCCTTCAAGCAGACTTCCTCTCGAGCGCACTCCCTGGCGGTGCTAGAAACGAAAGCAGCCGAAGGTGGCTTTGTACTTGCGCTGCAGGCCGATAAACCGCTTTTGCATGCGTATAACTTCCAAAAGGTGCGTGCTTATGCGCGGATATCGAGTTGGGAGGCACTGACTGGGAGATGTCATTTCTGCAGGACCAAATCGCGTCCAAGATTGTGTTACCTGAAAAACTCACATGTATAGCAGTTGACCCTCGAGGATTCTGGTGTGCGGCGGGCACTGCACAGGGTCGGGTGTACATATGGGAGGCGAGTATTCTGCCCCGAAGTCAAAGTATAGTACTTCAGTAATAACCCGCCTCGGTTATGTGAAGATCGGCTCCGGGATCATGTACAATGCGTGGGACGCTCACTATCGCCAGGTCACCGTTTTGCGCTTCACGCACGACGGCGCTGCGCTCCTCTCCGGCAGCGAAGACTCGGGCGTGAGCGTCTGGTCCGTCGCGAGGTTCCTCACCGTCTCTCCGTGTATACCCTTTCGCTGACTCCTGGCTCCTTTACCCCCTCGCATTGCTCTGACATGTGTGTATGTGTGGATTTCTCGCAGATTGGTGGACGACGATGCAAAGGATGTGATTCCGCTACCAGAACGCTCGCTCTCGGACCATACACTACCGGTTACGGATATATCATGCGGCGTGGGTCCGTACCCGAAGTGCAGGGCCATCACAGCGTCTGTTGATCACTCGGTGAAGGTGTGGTAGCAGTTCCATGTTCCATTTTCCACTCCGTAACATGCTAAGTCTGCTTCGTAGATATGGGATTTGTCTTCGGGGACTTTGCTCACGACCTTCAGCTTCCCGAAACCAATATCGTGCCTCGCATGGGATTCGACTGAGCGCACATTTTTCGCTGCATCTGCACCGACTCGGGGTAAAGAGCGAGAGGCGGAGGGAGATAACACCATATATCAGGTCAATCTGTATCGACAGCGAGAAGACCACAGGGTGGAAGCGGTCGGTGGGCTCGGCGCGAACGACGTTATCCGTATCGGAGAACCTGACGCGAAGGCAAAGCGAGAACGATATATAGCCGTGGAGTGCGTTTTCATTGCAAACACACACCCTTTTCAATCTTTCGCTCATTGCTATATTCCGTGTCCAGGGATCCTGTAACGGCGATGACGATCTCGCTCACGACGTCCTTCCTCCTGGTCGGCACCTCCACTGGCAAAATTCACGTCTACGACGTGCCCTCCCACCAGCGCCTGCGCACTATCTCGCCATCCCTCTCCTCCGCCGCAGCTTCGACCGTGCCCCTCCCCATCACGCACATTCAGACAATGCTACGTCCGGCGGACCTTATCGGTCACGTCTCGTTAGACATTGATCCGAAAGCGAGCCAAGGCGCGGAAATCGTGCCGCGCGTCGTGGCGCCGTTTCAGAGGACGAAGGATGCGAAAGCGCGGGAGAGGCACGAGGTCAGCATGATTTTGCCCCCCAGCATGAACGAATGGGTATGTGTTCTTTCCTCTACATCATGCACAGGCACCATTTCTCATCGTATTCATGTCATATCGTAGATGGATTACCAGTGCTCGAGCGAGGAGCTTCTCCGAGATCAGGCATTTTTCCTTCAACCGCAGTCGCAGGACAAGTCGTTGACCGGTGCGGTTGGTGCGAGCGATAGCGCACGGGTGACGGAGTTAGAGGAGGAGGTACGAAGGTTGAAGGGCGATTTGGGGAAGGCCAAGGCGCTCAACGACGAGATGTGGGACAAAGTGGTCAAGAAGGTCGTGAAGCAGGCGAAAGAGCAGACGGGCGAAGACAAGAAGGGGGAAAGCGCGGAAGAGAGGAAAAGAAAGAGGACCCGCAGTTGATCACTTCCGTGTATCTCCATATGATTTGAGAGGGCAGAGGAACCTCCATTATCATTCGCAACGGGGAACATACATAACAGGCGGCAGTCATGGGGTGTAGAAGCGTCTACTGGGATGGAGGCTTCGATTTGGTGATGTCTTCCGCCGTTGCGCCATACTTGGCTGGGTCCACGCCGTGGTAGGGGTGGTTCACCAAGTTGAACCAGGGGAACGCCTCTGGATAAACGTAATGGGATCAGCGATGTGTTGGTTGACGCAATGGAAGAACGGCGATTGGTTGAAAAGTTCTCAATATGAAATGACGGCAGCTAACACGACGACTTACGGAATTTGAGCTGGGAGAAGGTCGAGTATCGAGCAGCGATTCCCTGGATCCACTCCGGTTGATCGCTCTCGCCGTAGAGGGACTTGCCCTCCGCAAGGCGCTGCTTCATCTCCTTCATGTCCAATTCCTCCTCGCGCTTGTTTTCTGTCCAGCCCCAGAAGCGCACTGAACACAGAGGTTTTTTTTAGTGGTTTGCGTCGGATAAGTTCGTGTTATAACACGCACTGCTTGACCGCTGGTATGCGAACATGAACCCGCCGACGAACCCGAAGAGGCCGCCCAGCCTCATAAGCGTTCGCATCCCCTGTGGCGTGGTCTTCACCGGGTCGACGTATTCTGTGGTCGCATGTCAGTCTCCCCGTGTCTGCAACGGATCCTGCACGGTCTGCGGAGGCGAACGGGACGCACGCCATAGGTAGAGCAGCCCGGGAAAGCCAGCAGTACCCGCTGCCCAGTAGCCGTAGTCAGAGGGCCGCATGTAGCGGACGACCCGAGAGGCATGCGGGTCCTGGTCGATGAGCGGATACTGGTGCTTGACCACTTTCTGGTGCATCGTTGTATGTCGGGTACAAGCGTGTATAGGACTTCGCCCTCGGCCGTAGAGACCATTTGCGCCCGCCCTGAGGTGCACGTGTCTCACTAACGGCACAGCAAACCCAAATACGGGTCAAGCCACCGCAGGACCACTTGTGGGCGCCATCCTCTTGTCTTTTGCCTCTGACTCTCATCATCCCCACAACACCAGTATCGACCAGCAGCGTCCCTGCAGATACGTGTACGATAATTTACGATGAGCGTCGCAAGACACGATCGACGCGCGACCAAACGCGCAGTAGCGTTGCCCTACGCTCGCCCTGCTACCAGCGCTGCAGCATCGAAGAAACGCTCTGTGCGCCCTTGCCTCCTTCTATCGCTGATCTTTGCTGATAGATACATGCAGACATGGGGAATTGGGACTCTTTTCAGCTGGCTCAGCGGTCGGAGCAGCTCGCAGTCACCGGAGGCCGACGAAGACGGAGAAAACGGTGGCATGGACTACGACGACGAAGAGCCTAACACACCGTCGCAGGCACCGAAACGAATAATCCCGCCTCCTATACCTGTTCTCAACTCTCCGTCCAACACCATCACCAATCAGTTTTTCACACCTCCCGCCGACGCTCCCGTGAGTCGCCCGCGCCACACTCACATTCATCGCCTCTGACCAGCGTTATGCCTTCCGTAATCGTCCAGCTCGGTCAAGGGGTCGGACTGCAACCACCACCCAAACCACCCGTGTCTTTTCAGCGCCCGCAAACGAGCGTACTACCTACCCACCACCAATATACAGCGCCTCCGCCTCCGCGACGTCATGAACCGCCTCCTGTCGCCTCTGGGTCAGGCCAGCAAGCGACGCCCCCGCCAAGACTAAACAGTGCCTCCCCGCGCAAAAACAATGCTATTGCTGCCGGCTTCCTCCGAGAGCGCGGTACCAACATGACCCAAACTGACATCAACGTGCTCGTCGCCTTGCTGGAACAAAACGAAGAAGGTGCGCACAACCCCCCTTCTCTCTCCAGCGCGCTTCCCCTGACTGACAAATCGCGCGTGCTTGGCAGAAGATTCGCGCGAGCCGTTCCACTTTGAGTACACGACGCCATCGCCGACGCCACTCCGTGGAACGACCCCTGCCGCCCCGCCTGCCGACGCCCCTCAACCAAACGGCGCGGCCTCGGGCTCGACCACGACCACCCCGCGTCGCATGCTCTCCCGCAACCCGAACGGCGACCTGTTCTGGAACGGCGGCGGCTCCGCCCGCGCCGTTCGCCGGAACCACTTTCAGTCTCCCGGATTCGGCTCTGGCCGCCCTGCGCCCAGCTCCATCAAGCTCCAGACCAGGTCGTTGACGACCGAATCGAAACGGCGGCGCGTCGGCGAGGACGCCGCGAGCTCCACAGCCCGCCCCGCGGAGACGCACGTGGCGAACCCGACCGCGGCGAACGGCCCAACGGGCACGCGGCTCGGACCCGTCGTGAACGGCGCGTTCCCGATCTCGAATGCGCCGCCGGGCGTGAACGGCACTCCAGCGAAGGAGACGCAGGCGGCGCGCCTGCGCGCGAACGAGAAGCCGACGGCTCCCAAGTTCTCGTCGCCGCTGCGCCAGGGGTGGACGCCCGGGTCGCCGCCGTCGCCTGCGACACCACCGCAGGCGCGCGAAGTGCGCCCGACGCGTGCGGCCAATGTGCTTGCGGACCTGATCAAGGAGGCGACGCCTCCCCAGCGCCGGCCGGAGGTCGTGAACCCGTATGAGCAGCGCGCGGGGGTGAAGTTGCCAGCGCGGACACAGGCGAAGCGGAAGGCGAAGGCGAAGGCGGCCGCGCAGAGCAAGGCGAAGGCTGCGGCAGCGGCCGAGGAAGAGAAGAAGAGGAAGGAGGAGAAGGCGTTCGAGGAGCTGAGCGCGCAGGAGCTCATCTCGGCGACGGTGCCGAAGGGCAGTAAAAGGGCGAGACCGCCGCCGAACATGGTCAAGTCGCAGTCGCAGGGCTCCGCGTCGTCCGAGGGCTCAGAGCCTGCGGGGTTGCGCAGGAGTGCGAGGCTGAAGTCGCCGGAGCCGTCACAGCCTCCTCAGCTACCGCCGATGCGAATGCCTGCTGCACTACCGAACGGGCACGGGAACGGTTCGGAGAGGAAGAGGCCGGCGGTGACCATCGAGGAGGTCAGCGACGACGAGGACGCGTCGCCGAGCAAGAAGCAGAAAAGGGCGCCATCGCGCTCGAGCATCGAAGTGGAGGAAGTGGACGAGGCGGAGGTGGCGACTGGCCAGGCGAGCACGAGGCCGGCGGAGGTTGTCGAGCCCGGCGATCAGGAGAAGGGTCGGGAGAGCAGTCCTCCTGTCTTGGGCAAGCGGGTGAAGGAGCACGGCCCGAGTAAATTGAGGTATAGCGTCCCGATTGAGGAAGATGAAGATGAGGAGAAGGAGAAGGAGAGGCAGGCGCAAGAGCAGAAGGAGAAGGAGAGACAGGCTCAGGAACAGAAGGAGAAGGAGAGGCAAGCGCAAGAACAGAAGGAGAAGGAGAGACAAGCGCAAGAGCAGAAGGAGAAGGAGAGGCAAGCGCAGGAACAGAAGGAGAAGGAGAGACAGGCGCAAGAGCAGAAGGAGAAGGAGAGGCAAGCACAGGAACAGAAGGAGAAGGAGAGGCGAGCACAGGAGCAGAAGGAGAAGGAGAGGCGAGCACAGGAGCAGAAGGAGAAGGAGAGGCGAGCTCGAGAACAAAGGGAGAAAGAACTCGAAGCGCAGAAGGAGAAGGAAAAGAAGGCAGCAGAGAATGCCAAGCCAGCAGTGTCATCCGCTGAGCTTATGCCACCGCCTCCCGTTCCAAGATTCGCGCTTGCGCCTGCAGCAGCCAGATCGTCGATCTTCGGCAACGCTCCGTCAGCGCCTTCAACCTCTACATCCGTTGCCTCAACGTCGACCTCCGTACCGTGGCCCCTCGGCCCCTCGCATTCGGTCGGTGCCGCGCAAATGTTACCAATCGGGCCCACGGTCCCTCCACCTTCCACCGGATCGATGCCTGCACCACCGCAGGACCCACGGTCTGCCGCTCGCGATTCGCCGGTCGTCGCGCTGCCCGTCTTCCGCTTTGAGCTCGCGGAGTCCTCCACCGCCGCTCTGAACGATTACGAGCGCAAGGCGCGGCAGCTTGCTAAAGACGCGCCTCTCTCGTCGCTCCCGACGTTCGACTGGGACCCAGACTTCCGTCCCTCCAAGCCACCCGGCGGCGGCCCGTCCGGTCCTGGCGACGACTCCACGGACGACCAGCCTCCCAGACCGCCGGCGCCCGCGACGTTCGACTGGGCCGCGGCGGGGCTCGCGCCACCTACAGCGCCGGCGAACGAGTGGACGTGTAGCATGTGCGCCCTCCCGAACGACAACAGTAGGACGAAGTGCGGCGTCTGTGACTCGGACCGCTGACCCTTCCCCCCGGGTCGGTTGCGGCCCCTGATGTACATCGTTCGTTTTTTTTTTGCTCTCGCTCTTGTTTTTTTGTTTTTTTGTCCGCCTCTGCTGCAAAACGCAAATAGTTGCTGATTTTTCCCCTGTTCTCTTCTTTTTGTTGTCCTCGAGACGCTGCATATTGCTATCTCTCCGCCGGAATCGCGATTGCAGGGCACGAATGCCTTGCTGTTGTTTTCTTTTTCTTCTTTTCTCTCTTATCACAAACTTGTACTATTCTTACCAATTGCAGTCCAAAGATCGGCACGGTTGCATTTCTCTCTCTCTCGGATTCTCTCTCTCGGATTCTGCTGAAGGCTGAGTGCAGCTGAATGAAAGAAATCCGGAGTCGGGGAATCTCGACTCCGGGTCGCGACCTTCTCCGAGCGGTGTCGTGATCGAAATTATTGCTGTGACCCCCCTTTGGAGCGCGCAGCTGTCTGGAATACGTCCATCGCGGCCCTGGCCCGTCCCCGACAGACCGAGAGGCAGCCAACATGAGGCGACATGGGCGATGTCGGACGTCCATTACGCCCGATCTTTTACTCTATACACGGGGTACACATAGATAAACCCTGGGGGACGCTCATACACGGCGCTCCGATAGCGACGAAGGAGCCAAACATCAATGCAGACCACGGAGACCAGCCCGTCGAAGCGCGCGCGCCTGCAGCGTAGCGTCTCTGCTGCGACCAAACGCGTCCTCGTCCACCCCAAGGTTCCGGTGAGCGCGCCTTCGCTGCCTAACAAGATGGCGAGGCTTCGTACTCAGACCCCCGCGTCAGGCGCTCATCCGCCGTGTTTCCTCTCACACCCACCTCCGCGTCCACCTCCACCTCCCCTTTCGCCATAGCGAGCATGAGGCCGACCATGGCAGTTACGACGACCTTAAGCCGCTCCCGGCTCTCCCCAGCCGCGACGACCCGACATTGGTGCTCACCGCCGACGACCACGCGGCGCTGAACCACGACCTCCTGGACGCGAGCTCGACCCGCTCGATCGCGCCGACGTCCATCCGGAGCTCGCTCAGCGACGACTCGTCTGCACCCGTAGCAGCAGACGCGCGCGCGTTCGATCACTGGTCATGGCCCGACGACGACGAAGACGAGGGCGAGGTTGGGATGCCGCCGCTGCCGCCGATCGAGGAGACCGAGACGCCCCTGCACGAGCTCGACGATCCCGCCGATGTGTCCAACCCAGATGCTACCACTTCGTCGGCACGCGCGGCCCCAGAGGACATACTGCCCGAGCTCAGCGACGGCTCGTCGAGCGACGGAGCACCAAGTATCTTCGAGGCGGACGACTTTCTGCCGCTCACCCCGCCCGCGGACACCGACACACCAGGCTCTCCGACGTGTAACCCGGAGGACGTGTTCTTCGATCAGGAGAAACCGGCGTCCCATCTCCGGAGCGCCGACGAGACGGGTTTCGATGCACCATTCGTCGGGGACATCGCCTCGTCCGATCTTGTCCAGAACAGCCTCCCATCTATACCGCGCAACAACGAAGAGAATGAGGAGAGACCAGAAGCGGAAAAAGAACAATCGCGGCCGTCGTCACCACGTCCGGTGTCGGAGCATACCGAGCGCCTTGTCGACCCGCCGCTTCCTCCCTTACCACCTTCGCCTGAACTACCTTCTTCATCCCCGCATATCACATCAGACGGCGCCGACCTGTCCCCCCCTCCACTAGCTCAACCTGAAGAGCCTGTCGCCTCAGACGAGGCAGACGACGACGACGACGACGACATCTTGCTCGGCCCTTCGCATCATACGGCGCTCGCCGCGTCAAAGATGGCGTTCTTCCCCGATGCCCCCTTCCGACCACTCACATGGTGGCTCCGCACCCCCACCACCGGCCCCGTCACATTGACATCCTTCCTATCCTTTCTGTTCCGCACGACATATCATTGACATCATCCGCACGTGTGTATGCGCGCGTACCAACCACCAATGTACTGAGCAATCGATTATTCTTTGTGAAACAGTTCGCATTCTTGACCTCTGTTTCTTACATATTTGCTAAGGATCCCGCGAATGTATGTAGCTGGTTGCTGCGCTGCACGTACGCTACTCGTGCAGACGACTCGGATCCGGATGAGTTGATCAGATCGAGTTGCGAATTCGCGTCCCGCCGCGTCGCGTGTGCTACGCTGACACGGTCTCCCTTGGACCCGTCGCTGATGCTCGCTTGAAGCTTGAAGCTTGAAGGATCGTGTCCACTCAACTAGCGGATACCTCAGATTCGTCCTCCTTCCTATTCTACTCACGCTCACGATGTGAATCGGCCTACGGATGTAACGACTCGCGGCACCGATACCCGGCCGCTCTCAGTCATCCGCATTGCGCTCGCTGTTGATTTCTTCCGGACGATTTCCATATCATCGTCGAGGCTCTAACCGAGCAGCGCGCTCGCCTGTAATGTGGCATCGGCCAGAGGCGAATAACAGCGCTAACTGTACATGTGGGGAATACTTATACCCTTCACTGAGCCTAAGGGCGTGAGAATCTGACAACACCAACCGTTTTCCGATCCCTGCGACACGAGCAACTTACGTTGCCTGCTCAATCGCCCGAGGGATATACTAGGGTCCTCTAACCGTTCAGGAACCCCTCGCACGGGTGATACAGCGATCCAAGAGCATGACATGAAACAGCAGGACGGCGCACCAAGCCTTACATCCTCACCATGATTCGTCAACTATACAAAGGCGTCCACTCAACGGGAAGGTTCACAGGAGAGTCATCTCTGTCATGCTCCTCGGGCACCCAGCCCCGGGGTATCAGTGACTCTCGCTCGCAGATATCATGCTTCTCACTGGCTTCTTCCATGGCGTGTGATAGGACTCATTCCGGCACCGCATCGACTCACGGTGTAGGGCCGACGCAAAGGCGCTCTTCGCGCCAAAGCTTTGCAAGCACTCTCTCCTGTTTATAAGAGCCTTCGAAGTCGCCGAAGTCTGACATCCGCTAGCTGTTCTTTGCTGGTCGCTTTTCGTCGATATTACCATGGACAACCCGCTCGTACTGATCGCCGGGAGTGCGACGACTGCTTTTCTGCTATACAAATTCGTGTTTCGTACATTTGCGAGTGTGAGCGCTACGGCCGGGCATACGATACTCGGCGCGTTACCTTGAATGAATCGCTAATCGGCTATTATTTGTGGCGGCAGCTAGCACCGATTCCGACGATGGGCTACAACAATCCACTTCTGTCCTACATTGACGCGGTCCACTTCTTTCGCAAGGGCAAGGACATTCTGGCCGAGGGATATGTCAAGGTGATTCCGATGCTAAACTAGCGATCCATCTATGCGCTTCTGACTGCAATGTCGTCTCACCAATACACAGTACCAAGGTGGTTTCTACAAGGTTGCCTTATGGGACAGATGGTTGGTGATGGCCACCGGGCCCATGGCGGAAGAGCTGCGCCGCCTGCCGGACGACACCATGTCCTTCATGGATTTTATCACTGATGTGCGTACTCGGAATCCCTTCGTTCAGGCGCGTCGGATTCAACCACACCCCAGTTCCTGGCCACGAAGTTTGTATTTGGGAATGCGGTCATAGATAATCCGTACCATCTACATTTAGTACGTCGGTTCTACCGGTGTCCGTATGAGCTGACAATGGATGGCTGACGCACTACGTAGATTCCGTCTAAGCTGACCAAAAACCTGGGAACGTTGTTTGGTGAAGTCCGCGAAGAGGTTTTACTTGCCTTCGAAGAACTTGTCCCTGAAAACGGTGACGGTACGTCCTCTGCTTTCAATGCTACCCTCGCTACGTTGCACTTACAGCCTATGCAGACTGGGTAATTCTTCCAGCTATGGACACAGTGAGGACGATTGTCGTGAGCCACTTCTATACAAGTCATCCCCTTCCTGAACAATAACGAGCATCAAACAGTGTCGCACTAGCAACAGATTCTTCGTCGGATATCCATTGTGTGGGTCACAACTTGATTGCCCGTCATTTTTCCTCCCTTGACTTCTGGTCTAGGTAGGGATATCGGATGGCAGAACCTAAACATGCGCTTTGCGATGGAAAACCAAGTTGCTCAGGATCGCTCGATGCTGATACCGGACCTGCTCAAGCCGTACGTGTCTCATCCTATTTGAGAAGTCGATATCAGGATTCATGAAGATATCATAGGTCACTCGCACCTTTACTGCTCAACATGGGCAAGACAGTGAAAGAGGCATCAGTCTTCATGCGACCTCTCGTAGAAGAGCGCCAGCGACAATACAATCAATACGGAATCGACTACCCTGACAAGCCTGTGAACGGTATATCTTTAGGTCGCCGATACGATCTGACGCAGTTTACGCAGAATGACTTCCTCGCATGGATGATGGACGTTGCCGAGGGACCGACTCGCGGCCTCGACGACATGGTGAGAAGGATTCTGCACCTCAACTTCTCAGGTGTGTGTTCGATTCTCTGCAAACGCTACTTTTAAGGCTTACTCATCCTGGCTTCAGCAATACACACCTCCACTCTGGTGAGCGCTGTGTTCAACGCGTAGCGTTCCGTGACCTATGTCTTATAAATGGCAGACTATGACACATGCCATCTATGATTTGGCGACGAATCCTGAACTTTGGCTGCAACCTCTTCGCGAAGAGGTGGAGCGAGTGGTTGCCGAGGAAGGGTGGACTAAGGTGAGATTATACGAGGGGAACGGGCGGCAAAGCGCGGACTGATATGGTGGTGCCTAGATTGCGATGACCAAGATGCACAAGATCGACAGTTTCATCAAAGGTGAAGAATCCAATCGAGCGCATAATACCAGAACGTTGGCCTCATCGCATCACAACAGAGTCAAGTCGGATTAACTCGTTCAGCGGGAGTGAGTACCGAAACTACCCGGATCACTCTTGTGAATCTGACACCTGGTCACGACAGTCAGCCTCATGCGCATGGCGCTGAAAGATCACACGTTCTCCGACGGCACGTTTGTGCCCAGGGGAACGTCTCTCGCTGCGCCGGCGATTGCTACGCATGAAGATTCGTCGAACTACGACGATCCTTTCACGTTCAACCCGTGGCGCTTTTCCGATTTGAGAGAAGGAAGCGAGACCGCAAAGCACCAGCTCGTGAACACATCCCCGGAGGTAAGACAACATATGATGCGGCCCAAATAAGGCAAGACTTGACTGTCCTCGCTCGCAGTTCCTAACCTTCGGACATGGCAAGCATGCGTGGTGCGTCTCTTGCCGACAGGTGTACCTTGCGATGCTAAACACCGTCGCAGCCCCGGCCGCTTCTTCGCAGCAAACGAAATGAAGATGATGCTCGCACATATTGTGATGCATTACGACGTGCAACTCGAGAATGGGTCGCGGGTCCGGCCCCCCAACTCCTACTTTGCGGTGAATTGTCTTGCGGATTCCACGGCGAAAATATGCCTTCGCAAGAGACAGGATTACGGGTAGACGGTCAATGCCGTTGTCCTGGTATTATCACATGCAATATGATGCGCTAGTATACAATGCGTTCTCAGAGAAGAATAAAAGATTAAGTCAGCGAACATCTGCCTCGCCTTCACCACACCTCATCCGTAAACCGATCCAGAACGCCATGTGCGTCCTCCACGTCCTTCTGCGCTTTCTTCCGCATGTAGAAGATCGGGCAATCTCTGCTCGTGCATAGCACGTCCTGATGCAAGGATCCTTGGCACCGTTGGCACTGAGTCCACAACCTCGAGAAGCGGACTTCGAGGTCCGATGTAGTCGAGACTTGCTTGTGGTAGAGCTCGCCTAGTTTGGGGCGGCAGTTGTTGCATACGGCACCATCTGAATGATCGAGTGGTTAACGTACGCCGACAAGATCAGCAAGAGACACGTACTTGGTACGCTGTTATTGGCTTTTAATGCCGTTTTACACCCTAAGCAGGTCACTGTCTTTACAGCAAACTTCATGAGACCACCGACAGTGGGCGTCGCGATCTGGATAGATCGTGTGTGACCACCGGACACTGAACCGCGATCCGTAAGCACAGGAAGCCCATTCTAAGCCGTGTGCGCACTCACGGAGCGACGACGCCTTCTCTCCAAGGATAGGCTCGAAAATCCTCATAAGCGGCTTGGAGAGCTGGTTGTCCAAGTAATACTTGGTGTCGATGGGAATGTTGTTCTCGAGAACGTATATAGGGTCTTCAGACTTCTCGTACGCAGCAGCGCCTACACACCAATCAGTGGGCGCTATTCAGGGAAGCAAATCTGGACAGACCCTTTATGCCCTTAACAATGACATAGGCAACACGGTCCCCGAGTGCAGGAGCGGAGCCTGTATGTTACGTCAGGGAAAGAATAGACAACCTCAGGAAACTCGCTGACCAGCATCACGCTGCTTCATGCGTTCGGCTAGTTCCACATGCGCTTGTTTAGCAGCATAGTCTAGAGATACATTCAGTGCATGTACGGCGTCTATGGATCAGCACACGTACCGGCTTTGGCGAGCGCCTTCGTGATCACCAACTGCGACATATCGACCTTGTTCTGTAGCAGATCCGAAATCATCTGTTTCGTGTACCTGAAGGACAGTGAGCCGCGCGCAATCGCCAGAAAACAGCCCAACTCACTCTTCTGCACCTTTGACATCGCGATCGATCAACATCTTGTGCAAACAAGTCTCTATGACGGTCGACACAAGACGACAGTTGTCTCGCCGAACGGTCTTCGCGGCGATGATCAGCATCTAGGCAGAGGGAATGGGATGTCTGCACCAACCTCGATACCCTTGGAGTCCATCTTGTCGTACTTCTCGGGTTTCGTCCAGTAGAGCCCAGCATAACGCTTCTTGCTGATCAGCAGATACGGGAAGTAAACCTTTTCGAACTCGAGCTTGATGGGTTTGATGAACTTCGTGGTCACAAACTCCGCGGCTTCGCTGCCTACAACGGAGCGCGGAAGTCAGCAAATGCTCGCGGCTGGCCGAACGAATCGCTAACCGAGCGCCATGACCTCTTTGAGATCTGAAGGGCCGAACTTCACCATGACGGAATCCGTGTCACCGTAGATGACTTCAGCGTTATGACTGTGACCGTTCGCAATGCAGTATTCAGCTTCTACTTCCTAGTATCAACATCCGGTGTCAGGATGCCATTCTCGAACAGCACATGATCATCGCAAACCTGCTTAGTCTTCTCGATCATTTGCCGACCGTACGAAGTGGTACTAGACGAGATAGCCAAACATGGCAATTTGCCTATAGTGGCGCCCGTGAACCCATATACGGAATTGGCAGAAACCTGAGCAGGGCTATGAGACTTCAGAAGGGCCAATATGGAGATGATGCCCGTACCTTGAGAGCAAGCTGACGACCGTCGAGTACAGCACGCTTGAAAGGGTCACTCTCTTTCTTCAGGTCAGCTTTCGCTCGCTTTCTGGCGCTGATAAGGTCCTCCAAGATAGTCGGAAGAAGCCCCTTCCTCTTCGTCGAGGTCACGAAGAAGTCTACGGCGATAAGTTTCGTCAGCGTCAGGCGGTTAAACAGCGGCATCCACGTACCATTGTTGGGCGTCTGGATATAGTCCACATCTTTGACCAATTGGAGCCGGTCGATGGTAGCCTTGTCCAACAGGGTTGTGTAGCACAGATTGTGCGCCATCATGATCGACGGGTATAGAGAGCTGAAATCCAACGTGGCGATTGGGGAATCGTAGTAGCCCTTCTTGGGTTCGATGACGGTGGCACCTTCATACTGTTCGTCGCTTCCTGTGAGCCATCAACGTATGAGTTCACATCGGGCGCTGTGGAAGCAATGCTTGTACCTTCCCCCTTGAAGACCGGAACGAGATAGCCCTCGTCGTTGGCCTTGCGAAAGAGCTGTGAGAGCACCTTGATGGATTGCCCACGAGCGAGGAGGTAGTTGAACGGGACGCCTGTCACCCTCGCCATTTCAGTGTAGTTAACGAGGTACATCAACTTGTCCATCAGTCGTTGCGGGAGGTATGCATCCTAGTACACCGTCACATGGGGTCGAGAATGAACATTCCCGTGCTGCTAACCTTCAAGCAGTAGACAGCTAGACGTCTTCTTGACTCTGGTGTCCCATTCTATTACGCTAACGTCAGTGAAATTGTTGAGGTTTTAGTTTGAGAGGACACACCTGAAGCTCCGTAATGACACTATGGTGCACGTCCTCTTTCTGTTCTCCCAAGAATTGGGCACAGACAGAGTTGAGGGTATAACTACGAAGCTTTTGCTCACGCTGCATGACTTGCAGGAGATCAAGCTGGAGCCGGCCTTCCATAGCAGTTTCCTTTGAATCGCGTTGCCCGTACGCCTTCGAGGAAAAGTGAGTATCCTTCACTTGCGTCCTGACGTCTGTCGTCAAGAACGAACGGTTCGAGTTAGCGCCTGGTGGGGGTGCAGGAGCGCCGGACTTACTCCGCATCCGTCCAAGGAAGGGGAATTTATTGGCCTTGAGGGCCTTAGCCCGGTCCATGAGGTACGGCAAATCGAAGTTGGAGATGTTGTAGCCGATGACGACGTCGGGATCGACCTGTTCAACGAAATCGCGCCACGCCTGCAGCATCTGGCTCTCATCATCATACGAAAGAACTTGGGAGCCGACAATATGAGCGCATGAGTTCAGGGTGAACACGTTTCGTATAAAGGGCTTGCTTTCGCCTGCAGAGGGCATTAAGGCGCAATAGGGGTCGCTGAGAGCAATATAACTTACCCTGGATGGTCACCATATTCGCAATCTGGATGACAGGATCGACGTTTGCTTCAGGGAAAATGCCTTTTCGGCCGGCGCATTCGATATCAAAACTGAGAATACGCAATGGTGCTAGTTTTGACCAGTTGCCCTCAGGCGCATGGGAGATGAAGTGGTCCCATCTTACATTTAGCCCGTGATGAGCCAATGTCCAAGTGGGGCGGCGGTCGAGAACTAACCTGACACTCAATTCGATTTGGCATTGGGACTTCTTATCCTTCACCAGGTTGTACTTGCCGGCTGGCACCTCGATCCAGTTCATGCCCACAACCTAACGAGGCTCAGATTTGTCAGCACGATAAAACATCATGGCACAGGACAGCGCACCTTGGTGTCAATCATGAATCGCAGGACGTACGCCAGGTTGCTCTCGAAGGTGGTCGTTTGCTCAGGGAACAGGTCCCTAAAAGCGCACTCTCCACGTTCGAACATGCGTGAAGAACGGCGCCATGTCAATACCGCTTGAAGCCGCATATACAAGGAATTGGCTCATCTCGGACTTTCGGCACGTTGCGAGGGTTATCTGTTATGAGCTTCATGAACGGCACCCAGTCGTCGCCTCGATACCCCCAGATACTGCGTTTCTTCACAAGCTCGATCTTTCTCACACAACCCGCCCCTAATTGGTTCTGCCGAGGATTCAGTTCTTGTCGAACTGCGCGCGGTTGCATTGAATTTCCTCACGTTGAGATAGAGGAGGAACGATGGTATATCGTCTTCCGTGAAGCCTCGCGGAACGGGTATATAGAAGTAGGGGTCAAAGTCGTAGACATGAGCCAGAACGCTGTGGCCGTCCTGGAAGCGAGTTAGCAATCGTCATACAAGGCGGTAGTGTGGCTTCACCTCTGTCACACCGAACATTCTGAGAGTCACGCCTCCACTCGAGTTCTCGGTGTGGTACTCGATATCAATCTGCTGGAAGACTGCAACCGACGTGAGTGACTCGGCCGGAACGAGATGAACCTGGCTCACTGATCGAGTCGCGTTTCTCGTCGATTGGGCGCAGTGCAGGCCGCGCCCAGAGGTCTGCACCTCCTTCTGCAGCTGATAATAGTGTTTCCTTCAGCAACTATGTCTCCAGGATCCGCGGTGGACAAGATGCTCACCGGCTTCTTCGCCCGTCTCCTCCTTCAACCGCTCCAAAACATCGGCGAACGACGATTGCGTCGGCTGCGAACCTGAGGACGTCAACGAGTTCAGCTTTCTCTTCTTCATGACTGGTTGGTTCGACGGGTCGTCCTCAAGGCTGCACAGGGACTTAGACTCTTGTCGCTCGCAGGACGGCGCGACAGTGACTAACCGAGACGCCGGCAAATTATCCTTGGCAGAGACCGTAAGTGCGGGCATATCTCCGGCTCACGTATTCAAGTGACGCGGTTCTACAAGAGGTTCGATGCCAGAAACGCGTGCCACCGATTCACGCACTAGCCTGGGGCTCGAGGGTGGGATGAAGAGCGTGGTGTGACGAAACCACGGTGTGACTAATCGCGTCTCCGCGTCTGCGCTTTTCGTCACGTCACGTTCCCCGTGGCACACGAAGAGTTCGGAGAAACAGTATGTGATTGAACTTCCTTCAGACTTTATCACCTCATGAGGTTAACGTTACGTGCACAGGACTCATTGTTCGTCGATACTTATGTTGCTCCAACATCTCGTTCGAACCCGGCGACATCGGATTCCTGAATTTGCTCACATTCGCGATACACTGCGCAAAATGCCATGACATGGGTTCCATCTGCGAGCAGCTGTGGGACACTGGAGAGAGACACTGCAACCTCGGTCGATTGCTGGAAGAGAAGTCGCCGGTCGAGCTCTGCCTCTTAAGAGACGAGTCTTCATGCGCTCCCGAGAGACGAAGACTATGAGCGTTATCCGCTCAACATCAACTGCAATTCGGACGGCTCCGCACAGACTGCTGTCTTAGGCAGACTGTCGCACCGTATACAACCGTACAAGCCCACCGTCCTCGAGCTCGCCCGGTATGGTAACGACGAATCCCGGCTCCCAGAATGCATCCACATACAGACACTGGTACTGAGCGGGACGGACAGGCTGCCGTCGTTATGTCACTTATTGGCTGGCGGCTTCACCCACAACGGTAGCTACCTTCTTCCCAATCTCTCGTTATTAGTTGTGGATGCCTATGCAGTAAACGAATCTGCCAGGTTTTGAGCTCTCTGCCTGGACTTCGTGAAGTATGGGGTGTCGCACCAGGTTCCATCGTCGAAAATCGAAACAATCACTATCAGGAAACCCGGCTACCCGTCGCAGCCTGATCAACTGAAGTTGTTGCAAGAAAGGTGCAGGTGATACTTGGATCCTCATGAAGTGGAGTTGCCAGTCTATCTGCAAGTGTTGCATTTGGCAACGCATGGATAAGAACGTACTTGATCCAATACGTTGCAGGAGGAGTATCAAAGGACAGTTGCCTCACAACTCGTGAGCAGTCTGACCAGTTTTGACGTAGAAGACGACACGATGGCGTATCCTCCGACCATAGCATCCGAATCCTCAGTCGAATCCTTCCTAGTGTCGTATACGAGATCGTAGTAGCAGGAATGGAAAGAAAAACTATGTTCATAATATCCTAAGGCAGTACTGTCCAACTCTCGCGCACTCCACGGTCCGCCCCCGCAGACGGCTCACCGTCCATTGATAGTCGCCGTCGAGTCACTCCTCGGGCGCCCCGCGTCCTGAGTCCCCTTTCCCTGACCCTCGCTCTCGGGCGGATGATTCGGATGCTCAGGAATCTTGGCGATCTCCTTCTGCGCTTCTTCCCAAGCTTCCATGTTCTGCAAATACGAGCATGCAGGTCAGTCCCGTTCGTGGAGAATCGGCGATGCCTCGATCGAACGTCCATACCTTCTTACACCAATCCCGATGCGCCCGCGCCATGCTGATGCACATCTCCCTCAAGTCGGCCACCTTCTGCCTCTGGAACCGATCCAAGTCGGCCTGGATCGTCGAACTCGCGTATTTGAGGTCCTGCGCCGAAAGATGAAGCGCATCTTCGAGCTGTGAACCGAAAACCGAATCATCAGCCCCACATTGTCGTAGCACATCGGGACCACCCACGTTAGAGATCGTCTCCCGCGTCTTGCTGATCGAGCTCCTCCTCGCCGCCTCCGGGTCCGAGTCGATCATCCCGTGCAACGTATAGCTCAGCGCGCTCAACAACCCCATACCCGGCGCGCGCCTCTTCACAGGGTTAGGCCCCGGATGCGGCGGCAAGCTCCGCGTCCCGTACTCCTCCCTCTCCCCCTCCCCCTCCCTCTCCCTCGCGCCTCCCCATTCCTGACTCCCGCCCACGCCCACGCCCGCATCGCTCCCCACGCCCTCTCCCGCCCCACGATCGGACCCGAGCGCAGGCGAAGTCGGCGACCCCGGGTCGGGCGTCCCGGAGCCCGGGCTGGGCGTGTTGGGCAGGGAGCGGATCGTCGATCGGCTGAGCGCCTCCTCCAGCCGGCGCGCCTCGCGCTCGTGCTTCTCGAGCTCGTTCAGCTGCTCCCGGCGCGCCTCGAGCGCGTCCTGCGTCATCTCTACCTGGACGTGCTTCTGGTGCCGGTACGCGAGCAGCTTCTTGATGATGCTCGCGAACTGGGTGTACTCCGACAGCGGCTCTTGCCAGTTCTGTTCCAGGTCCTGGAGCTAATGGAGATGCGACGACGGGTTTCGATGAGACGCGGTTTTTTTTTTTTGCAGCAGGGGCGAGGTGTGGGGGGACTCACGAGGCGCGTGGTGGAGAGGTAGGTGGTGTCGACCGCCTGCCCGGTCTTCTCGATGGCCGCCGCGAGCTCTCCGGTTTCGTTCAAGCTGAAACCGTTGAGCGCGGCACCGAGCTCTGCGTGGTCTTGGGAGTACTCTTGCGGGCCAAGGTTAGCACGAGCGGCACGGCCGTCAGGGAGTGGAGATGATCCTACCTGACCACCGTTTCATCGTCCGTCTGGTCACTTTCTCCATCGGGCCTTGCAGGTGCGCGGCGAACTTGTTCGTAAACGCCTCGCTATCGAGGAAGCGCTGGTCTGGGCGGCGGAGGGGGTGCGAGGGCGATGGGTTCGGCAGGGAGGCGTAGGCGATGGCGGACGAGGAATCGGTCGGGTTGTGCGCGGGCGCACGGAGGATGTTCTTCGGGAGGAGAGTAAGGGGCGGAGAATGCAGTACTTCGGTCTGTTGGGTATCGTCAGTCGCGGTGATAGGGGGTAACGACCGGCGAGGACACGATGTTTACCCATGAGACTTCGCCGTCCAGGAAGCGGTGGAAGACGTGTTCGTTGGACAGTATGGGGTGTTTGGCGACCCGGTTCAGGAACGTCTGCAGCATCCGCTTCCGTCGCGCTATCATCTGCGCGTCTTCCTTCGCCTTGGCCTGCTTCACGGCGTAGTCGCCGATGGTCTGCTTTGAAGGTATGGGCGGAACGATGAGCGTCGGGTACAGTTTGGCGAGTGATAATCGCAGCGACTCAAACTCGGAGTAGCGGTGCGATGCGGTTGCGTTCTGGTACGGCAAAATGAGATGTTGATGCGGGGTCACATGTGGGTAGCTGCAAGAAACGATAACATACTCCTGCACGAATGACATATGTGATGTACGGCGACGTCGAGTTCACAGACGTTTTCTGTGCGTCTACAATCTGACATGGGCCCCGATCCATCAGCTTCATTGCTATCATCATGTGTGCAGAAAACCTGGCGAGCGCCTCACCTGAATCTCGACGTCCTCGCCACTATGTAGCCACTGATCTCTGGTGCAGCAATAGTCCTCCTTGAACGCTGGCTTCGGACGCCCGTGCGAGCCTGGGCTCGGGAACGACGGCCTGCTTAGAGGCGGCGAGCGCGCACCCGGTCGGGGTGGTGAGCTAGGCGTCGATGCAGGCGGCGAGGACGGGGCAGCGAAGGCGGGCGCGACGTCGGTCTGAAACGGGTTCTCGTCCTCAAAGGCGTCCATCTTGGCGGCCGAGTCGAACGCAGAGGCAGACGCTGCTCGCGCGGGGACTGGGGACAAGGAAGGCGTGACTGCGAGCGAAGCAGCCCCGGCCGCGGGCGCCTAACTCGTCATGACGTACGCGTAAAGCCGGATGTAATTAGGCGCCCAGCGAATACTTAAACTTACACCCTCTCCTTCCTCCTCGTATCGAATTACACACCAGCTTTCCTGAGCAGTTCGACTCCTGGACACATGGAGACCTGAATGATGAGTGACGCCACGTTCAAATCAGCTCCCCCTATGGTCCTCATCCTCGTCGGCCTCATCGGCTCTGGTAAAGTCTGCTAGCCTTCTTCATCCACGTCTGAACCACCCCATTCATGGCTTTATCGAAGTCCACATTCGCCGAGGCACTGCAGCGCGAGCTCCCTTCTTTTGTTCGCTGCTCCCAAGATGAGCTCGGGAACAGGAAAAAGGTCGAGCAGCTCGCGCGCGAGTCGTTAGCCCAGGGACGCTCGGTATGCATCGACAGGACGAACATGGACGCGCAGTACGTCGCGTCTGCGCGTCATTCTCGCGCATATACGCGTCGATTGACTGGGCTGCAGGCAACGATCGACCTGGATAGCCATCGCGCGCGAGAATCGCGTCGAGCCATGGGTACTATACTTCGACACCCCATACGACGTGTGTCCCTCCTTGCCCCATTCATACCCTGTGCTCATATTTATACTCCTACAGTCTTGTCAACAACGTATCCGAACACGTCCGTCGAAAGGTCTTCTGCTCCTCACTGGTCCTGACGCCCCTCCGTCCGTTGCCTCTAGGCACCGACCACCCGACCATCACAGACCCCGCCCAGGGTCTATCCGTCCTCGCCCGCTTTCGCAACACCTACGAGCCACCCAACCCCCGTGAAGGTTACACGCGCTACCTTGCGCTCTCTCCCTCTCCCTCTAGGTCCTCCCCCTCCAGCACCAACCCAACCAACGCGCCCTCTCCTCGAGTGCACTCGCTCCCCTCCTACACGAAGCAGGACCTGCTCGCTATCCTCTCCGTCCTCCAAAGCTCGCCCCCTCCGCTCAACCCGCAGACCAGCCTGGACCGCTACTTCGCTCCAAGATCAGGTCCTCACGCCCACGCCCACTCCAACCGCGGCGGCGACCACCCTCGAGCTCGGCCTCGCGGGGGCGGCCGGGGGTCACCGTACGCGTCCCGATCGCGAGGACGGCCCACGACATACGATGGCTCGGGCCGCGGGCGAGGGCGAGGGCGAGGTGGGGCGCCGTATGGGACGCCGTATGACCGACCTCAGGAGTCGGACACGGGTTGGCGGCGCGGTGCCAGTATCGGGAGCAGAGCCGGAGCGCCGTCCCGAAACGGCGCCGGTGTCGTCTGAGAACACGCATGGGCATCCCCCACCGCCCGCGAATGATAGCGCTCATGGTCAGTCGCTGGGTCATGGCTCGCGGGACGAACCCATCGAACTATCTTGAATCAATTCCTCCATATGCTCGGACACACCGGCCCCTCAGAAGTGGCGGTGTATTCATTTCTCCCGGAGAAGGCCTGACGTTCTGCCCTTTGCTATGTACGATACCACGGATACTAAGTCTGTGCGCGTATTCATCATTCGGTCTGACGGTGACCGGCTCTCGAGTGTCGCTATAAATATCAAACGTCGATCATAGCACTCAGTCTTATGTTGATGGGGATGCTGTCCGTGCGAAGTCCCACGAGCGTTGACAATGGGCGGTGATCTCGGGCTCGCCCTCCGAGGAAGGATCGCTCGCAGTTTACCTGCGCATGCAAACGACGGAACGCCAAGGGCAACGGGTACTAATACCATCGACACTTTATTACACAGGCTGAACTAGAAGACCGTCCTTTGCGCAATTCCACGCGGTTCCTGCGAAATGCTGTTTTGGGTTCATTATCAGTCCACCCTCCCCGCGAAGAGTAATGGGGTCGTGCGTCGTCGAACGGCGGTCGTCAGTGGCATGGGAGGAGAGGGGGGAGGTGGAGATGCGGGTATTCGTTTAGAACAGGCAGTCGCACATCTCTGCGAGGCGATGTTAGTACGGCGCTAAGGAGGCCGGAGCCTGCTCGACAACACGCACCTTCTGCGCAGCAACAGCACAGAATGCCGGCTAAACACGCCGTGCAACCGCCGCCACCACTCGACTGCTGCGCAGGCTGCTGGCTGTGAAACCAGAGTTATCGTCAGCTATGTGGACCACGGTGCGAGGGGAAGGACGACGTACACATAGACCGTCTGCGGGGGCGGCTGCGGTTGGTAGCCGCCGCCGTATCCGGGTCCACCGCCGTACGCCTGTGGAGGTTGTTGGGGGTAGTATCCACCCTGGCCGGGCGGAGGACCTGGAAACAGTTGAGCTCGTCAGTAACGACCCTCAAGGCCTCAAGACGACGTAAGTCTCACCTTGAGGGGGGTAGTACTGTTGCTGCTGCTGCTGGCCACCGCCGCCGTAGTAATCTCTTGCAGACATGATGGTCGTAGAAGCGGAGAGTTAAGCTGGGGTGATAAGGGTGGTAGCACTGGAGGCGTTGGATGTGGTGGGAGTGGATGAGTGAACCGAGGTGAGTGGGCACCACAAATATCTTCGGTCATCGGGCTGGTTCCCGCCCGCCACCCCTTCCGCATCCGCCGGCCGGGGCCCCTGCCGTGAACGCAGACCTGCATACGTAATCAATGTATGCAGCTTGCAGCGCCACCCGACCGCGCCAAGTTCCTCCTGTTTCCAGAGTAGCATGGCTCATTCTCGTCGATACGGGCACTCAGTCTCGTTGGTACCTGCTGCGCTCTATAGCTTTTGCCTACGGACTGCGCATCGCCAAATCGCCTGAGGACTGGGCCGGTGAATGGCCCGGGAAAGGCGCACAGTCACACCGCTTTGTTGGTAACGTACGGCCGGGCCAATAGCCATGGGACGCAATGCAGCCTCGAGGCCGCCGTGCGCACCGACGAGCACGCCGGAAAGGTGCCCAAAAACGGGAACGGCGGGCCCTCTCGAGAGGTCGACGGCGTGATCCTGGCGCCCCCGAGGGCGGCGCGTGGTGAACACGAGGCGCGCAAGACGCACCCTTTTCCTGATCCTCTCCCGCGGATCGTACGACTTTGCGCTGGGTGTTGGCCGGGCGGCGTCTCCGCCGTTTCCGAAGTGGATGCAGCACCTTGCCTTCGCCGTCTTCTTCAAACACCCCGCTTCGGCCCGGTAGGTGCGAGTACAGTCACATCGCCACTCTAACCGCGAACGCATTCGACGTCGATCCCGATGACCTGCGGCATCTGTTCATCGTGACTTGCATGGTCGGTATTTTAACCACTTTCCGGATTCGTCGGTTGCCGATAGAAAGTCTCCGGAAATCGAACGCTCAGTCTTGTTGACCAGAAGTAGCATTGCTGAACGCACCGTACCACCATCGAAGGCCAGGATGCTCCTATCCACCCATGGACGGTGTAGTCTTAAGCGGTCAAAGCGGGATCGGTGACGGGAAAAGTGTTATTTAGTGTCTCTGCCTTAAGATTGCTAATCGGGGAACTATGATGACATCTCACAGCTTATCGTCATGCAGAATACCCTAGTTTCCGACGCCGCGACTTCTTGTGATGACGTCGAAGCTGAGATGAACAAGATGGTGCGTTTGGCGATGCTCTTGCGAGGTGCGGTAAAAAAAACCCATTCGACGGATGAAAGATGTATAAGAAACCGTCTAATCACGGGCGAATTATCCAGGGCAACAAGACGTGCCGGTTCGCGAGTGAGCGGGTCATCTTCGTTCGCAGATACGAAGGCCTCTTGCGAGCCCGCTTCGCGCTTACGGTGTATCCTCGACGTGTACTACCCGGAGATGTATGGTTGTCCGCAAGCACGGATGGGTGGACTTGAAGCGATCACATAGCACGGGCCATGGGAGAGGGAACCGAAGTTGTGACAACACAGGCAAAATTGCCAAACGGACTACCTGAAGATGGTATCTCCTGGCAGTGTTCAAGCTCGCGATACACCCGTGGGCCCGTGGATATGATCCACTCCAACTTAAGGGCAACAATAAGCAACGCCGGGGTCAAGAGTCCTCAACCATCCGATCTACCGGTGATAAACCAACGTCGCCTAGACAATGGCGCAGTGACCGTTGGACGTACTACGTAAGCCGCATCTTTATACATGCTAGGTTTGCGCCATACAATCTATTTGCGACAGCATGCTCTATTATTCTGGCACGCAATACAACAAGAGCCTTTGATCTGGTCTCGACCTGCGTTGATGCGGACTCCGTTACTACGCGGAGGCGGAGCTACTGGTCCCCCAGTGCGGAGAGGAGCGGCGAACTCTGATATCGGCGCTTTGCGAGGCAAAGGCTATTCTGGATCGCATGATAAGATCGTCCGGAACTGGTCCACTTCCACAAAGGCGGCCATCTGTGCTTTTGGCAGTCGCAAATGTGCTCCTTACGGACACATGGCAAACTAAGTTTGCCGGGAGAGTCCCGGTTTATACGCCGTGTAAGTCCCACCACGCCCCGAGCACAATCGTCGTTCTCCGAAATGTCATTCCTGCTAAATCGAAGCGCCGCCGGCAGCGACGGTCCTAATAAGAGCTCTGTTCCGGTCTTGTATTCCGCGTCGGCACCTAACCTAAAGAGTCTTGAGAGAAGGTACGCTAGCTATAGAAACCGCGGGTGACAACGTATTCTGACCCAACTGCTAGCATGGAACAATATTGTTGTGCCGATATTCGTGGCAATTTCACAGCGATTGCTCAGTGCCGCGATCATCTCCGCGAATAGCTCCAGACTCATGATTTCACTCCCGGATCATTTGACACAATCAAATTCTGCAAGATTATGACCAGTGACAAAAAGACCGGCGTCTCATGGAAGACCATGTATACTCACCGGAGGCACTGACGTCGCGCGGAACCGTGTCCGTACCAACGATTCAGTACCGGTTTGCTCTTGTTCCGCGAACGCCGAGGCCTTTGAATACGCATTCGACGCTTCCCATTGTCTCTGAAAGTAGCTGAAACTCAACGTCGTGGCACATCCCGCCGTGAATTTGGACCCATATAGCGTTCCAAAGCCCGATCAACTGCACCCACTGTCGCGATTCGGCGCTGAGTGCGAACGTGAGAGGCCGAGGAGACGCACCAGGGGGGGCTTCGATCAGACCCAGCGCAGCGCTTATAGCTACTTCGTCCATGCGCTTCAATCGTCCATGTAAGGCGTAAAGTCAGACGCCACCGAGTGGCGGCGGCCTCTCTCCAGGACTCGGCGGCAATGATGCAATTGAGCCGCAATACGGTCCGAGCCCTCGCACGGATAGCCCCATACTCGTGCACGGGGGGGGAAGGCGAATATATGAACGCGTCAAAGCCCATCGATCTTATCTGACTTCTACCGACTTCGCCGGAATCTAAACATGGACTTCGTCTTCTTGCAAGTACAAAAGGCGCTTCTACAAATGTCCGAATCCTCTCATAGCAGGTCATAGCAGAAGAAGGGGGGGGAGGTGCCAGAAACATCCGTTAGCCCCCTCGGCAGCGATAATTTCCAACGGAATTTACTAAGTATGGAACGACGCGAAGTGCGAATAGGGATAGAAATACACATAAGACGATAGCCTGGCGGACAGAAGATCGAAGAGGTGGGGGGAGCAGGCGAATAGACAAGTACGACATTGGGAAGCGTGAGCAACGTTTAGCGGGAGGAGGTACCGGGCATGGGAGGAACGGAAGGCGGCCTCCGCAAATAGCAACAAAAAACTGATTTCAGCCTTCGGATCACGGACGACCGGTAGAAAACGCGTACATCCTTACGCCCTGGCACACCCACAGGCGGTCAGCATATAGGAACACGACCCGACGCGACCGTACTGACTTGGCGGATGAGGTACTGCGTGAGCGGCGTCGTAGCTGCGAAGGAGAAAGAGGGTCAGGGTCGGACGAAAGAGGCGGACTAATCCGGGCTGACACGCACGGGGCGCGACGTAATTGTCTCGGGACAGCACGTCGAAGGTGCGCGTGCGGGCGTGTGCGAGCACGTTCCCGGGCCTGCCGACCGCGACGACGCCCGGAGGGCCGAATCTGACGCATGTAGGCTTCAGCCGCGTGCGGAGTGCAGGGGCACACGGTCGCCCCCCCTCCCTCCCAACCTTCTGCCGAGGAAGCGGAGGGGAGGGGAGTAACAGCGAGGATGGACCGACCTCGCGACGCTCATGAGCGTGACTCCGAGCTGGTAGCTCCCGCGCTCGCGGACGCTGACGTCAGGGAAGAGGAAGAAGATGCCGTGCTTGCCCTGGAGGTCGCGCAGGCGGTGCGGGGACGAGACGAGGTTGCCGTACAGGAGGCGTTCGCCGCCGGGTCCGGGCGTCGTATCCAGCTGCCGGCTTCCGTCTGCGGAGAAGATCGAAAGGTGCGCGACGAGGAACGGGATCTCCGCTTCACTGTACCGCATGCAGAAACAAGGTCGGTCGACCTGGTAACGGGCTTGCGAGAACGAGATCGCGCGAAAGCGGGTACTCACTCGTCAATGGGATTGCCCGTGTTGTCCCGGACGATGAGCTGGACCACCGGCGGCGGAGCGAGCGGCAAGCGCGAGAGGCTCGAGGGCCCAAACTCGGCAGCCTTTTGAGGATGCTGAACGACCTGCAAATAATAATGCCTGGTCCATCTATAAGCGTCGTAGCGGGCCAGAAAGAGCGGGCAAGATAGCTCACTTTCCGCCCGTCGAACCCTTGCGAGGGCTTGCGTGCACCCTTGCGCTAGGCGAAGAACCCGGCTGCGAAGAGCTGCCAGCGTAGCGAGACCGGGTTGGAGAAAGCGTACTCAGGGTCGGCGAAGACGTCTCACTGCCGCTGACGAGAAAACCTATCGAATGCTTTTCGCGCGTCGGGGAGTGCTGGACGGGTGTCCGAGCCTCATGCTGCGCGACCATGATCGGGGCAGGTCGACCCTCGTTGCTCACCGAATACGGTGAGATCATTGACATCTGTGTTGGGTCAGTGGACGCGTTATGGAACACGGAGGGGTCCTGTGGGGTGCTCAGCGACGAGGTGAACAGGACGCACGGCGCGCTCACATGAAGGTGATACGTCCGTGGAATCGACGGGGCACTTGGGGTATCGGTCGATGGAACGGGCAAGTGCCCGGCGTTCTGACTATTGGCCCCATCAGCGTCGGTGTCGGCGACGAGGGGGATAGCGACGGTCCGAAGAAACGAGGGCATCGGAGTGTGGGCGGGGGTTCCGTCCGCGAGAATGGGTCTGCCTTCAAGGCTTAGAAAGCCTTGAAACTGCGCCTGAGAAGACCCTCGCAGCGGATAGAGTCCGTGTCACCACCCCTGGAAGGCTCATATACTATTTTTCGCCCCGACGTAAACGAGGCGCCAAGGTTTGGGTATTTGATAGGCCTGATGTCGTCCGTCTCTCGATATGATTTGATGACGAACCTTGCATCGCACGGATCCGCCGAGCTGGTCGCAGAAGAAGCACGCACGCAGACGACGCGGAGAACGAGAAGGACACGGAGGGAGGGGAGAGCAGCTGAATGCGATTCGGAGCAGAAAACTCTGAAGATTATACAGGAATTAACGTGTAAGAACAGCGATGCGAAATAACGTGGGGTGATGGGGAGTGACAGCGCGAGCGGACGACTCAATAGAGCAAGACGAGCGAACGAAATGTAGATCAGATTCTCGTCTTGATGTAACTCCATATCCCTGCACCGGCGGACACCATCGTCGCGGCTGCCAGGGCCGGTTTGACTCCGGCTTTGGGTCGGAAGAGACGTATAAGCGAAGCTACCCAAGAGCGGAACGTTTGAGCGTGACATACCGGTACACTTGTAAAGCGCGCCGGTGAACGCGCCGGCGGACATACTGCCCAAAGTGTCGTGCTTTCCTCGCAAGCCATCGATCGAAGAGTTTATCGCGTTGTACGTGAGGGCTGAAATGGGGGAGGTTAGAGGCCAGACGAAAGACAATAAGGGCTGCCGGATCCGGACGAGACTGACCAAGAACGCCGGCAGAGTTGCCTATGAAGGTTCCTCTTCGGGTAACGGAATTGAGAATGCTGTTGAGCCGCAATCGCGCGTTGGACACGGCCAGCGGGCGACGTGCGCCTTCGCGGATGCCCCACGCACCACCGAGGGCGAGGCCTGTGCGCAGGAGTGTCAGCGCGTGACGAGCGGGAGACAATAAGGCGCCAGATAAGGTGAGAGATCGGGATTGGGCTGGGGTGACAGACCGGACCCGGTATCATGATGGAAGGGGGGGGTGGCGAGAAGGAGGGAGGGCGAGCACTCACCACTCAGGTACATGGTGCCCGTGCCGTAGCAGAGGTCGTCACTCCAGCCGCGGGAGGGAATCGCGGTTCCTGCGCCGGGCAGATCGTTCGTCTTCTCGTCGTCGAGCACGAGGTAGTCGAGCTTGTCGCTGAGGCCGGCGAGCGGGTGCAGTCTGGCGGGGTCGAAGGCGCCCTGGAGGAGGTCCGAGGCGGTGACGGCCTCGTCCGGCGCGCCGGGGACGCCGTCTGGCCGGGCGAACGTCGCAGAGCGCAGGTATTCCGCGGGGTCCTGGGACGAGGAAGAGGCGCTGTGAGAGTCTTGGCCGGACATCGTCGTCGGTGGCGGGGATATCGAGGGCGGCGTCAAAGGGCTCGCTGCGAACGATGACCGAGCCCGGGTCCAGCGCTTGCGGGCTGGCGACAAATTTTCAGACTCCGCGGCGGTGGGCGGGGTCGGGGCGTCGGAGCGTGACCTGCGCCTGCGACGCGTCCGTCCAGCCCGGTTCCCTTCGTCTCCCCGAAAACAAAAAGCGATGGCCTTGCCAATCTCCCGGTCAACAATAAACGCGGCGTGTGCGCGAGCGCACGCCTTGCGCTCGTTTAGCCGCTATCACCACTTCGCATCAGTCGGTGCGCTCGCCCGACGGCGCGCCCATCCCGAGACGACTCGATGCCAGCGACGTGGGTCCGGACCCGCCCGACAGCGGCGCATACATCGGGACTTAATTGGATCTGTTTGGAATAGGATGGGCTACCTCGACGACGCCGCACTCGACCGCGAACGATCCGGCCGAGACGGAAGCGCTGCAGTGCCTCGAACAGGGCACAGCGAAGCTCGAGGAGGGTGACGTGCAGGCGGCCAAGGAACTTTACAAGCGCAGCGTCGAGATCAAACGTACCGTTATCGCCGCTCGTCCACCGCTGCATCTGCGCTAACGTAGCCACCGATACCCCTGGCGCAGGCAATGCAAGGTACGTCTGCACGCACGTCGAGTCACCGGTGGGGAGCACCCTTGTGACGGCCAGGTACACACCTACAGCTCCCTCTTCAATCTCGGCGTGACACATTACCACCTCAAAGAGTACGACGACGCCATTTCTGCGTGGAAAGAGTCCATCGCGCTCCAACCATCAAGCCCGGACGCCCACACCAGTACGCCCACCGCCGCCTCTTCCATCTCCCGCCGCGGCATTCTCTTTGACTCCTGCTGACCAACCGCCGACAGATCTCGCCAGCGCGTACATCATCTCCCCCGTCGCACGCCCGGACCTCGCGCTACACCACCTCCAGTACGTCCCCTCCCCGCTCTTTTTGTGTAGCGAGAGTCTCGGAGCGCACCGCTGAGGCTTCCCTCCGACTTTGCATCCGACAGTATCGCGACTTCCCTCGCGCCTGAGGATCCCGAAATTGCGGTGCGTTCATGGCTATATGCGCTCAAGCTCCGTTCCTTACTCATTGGGTTTTGGCGCCCTCGCGGATCCAGTTCAACTACGCCGCCGTTCTGGAAGCATGTGAGGATTTCCCAAGCCCCGGGTCATCGCCCGCCTAGGACGAACGGCGCTGATATATGCCCTCAGGTGGCCGCCTGGAAGAGGCTCTAGAACAGTACAAGCGCAGTAAAGACAAGTACGTTATATACCATATTCTACAAACTTCCCGCTGCGACGATTAACGTTCCCTATTCTTTTTTTGGCGCTCAGCGGCGTCGAACGCGCAGCCATGCACATCCGCAACGTAAGCCACTTTCCGCCGGATATTTCCGCCCGCCCGCGCGCCCATCGGCTGACTCGAAGTCCCCCCCCCCCCGTGCAGGTGAGCGCTAAGATCCTGGGATCGAAGATGAAAGAAGCCGAGAGCGCCGGGGGCGAGAAGCCCGGCTCGGACTCACAGTGAGGCAGCGGCCAAGGCGACGCCGTCCCCCGCGCGCTGCGCGCACCGTCGCTTTGGTGGCGGCGGGAAGAGCTTTGACGGCTAGGCGGCGCTTCTCTTCCCTCGGCGTGCGTCCACCGCGTCGAGCGTTGTTATTGTCTGGCGCGCTCGTTCTCGGGACACACGCGCCGCGGACTTTGCCGGTGCGAAGGTCGTTAGTATGAGCGTCAGGCGTTCGAAGGACCGTGATCTTCTTCCTCATTCGATGGCTGTGGAGGACTTCGCGTACTATCTGGAGTACGTACTTCTCGATGCTGCGGAGTGTGCATCCCCCCCGCCGCGAGATGCGTATGACGTGGGGTTATGCATAGATAATCAGGATCGAAAACACGTCTCTCCGCGTTTGATCCTCTCGAAAAACTCACGCTAAGGAAAACGACGCAGCTATCGCCGACCCTGGCATTCGTCCGTTTGCTTATTGTCTTGTCGTAAACGGGTGGGCATTCACAAAAATGTCGGAGACCGGCGATGGCACATGCTTGAGACACCGCCCGGGGGTCGCGGGACGACGAGGCCCGCCTGGGCTGCAATATCATCGCGCTTCGAGCCCTTGTTCATTATGAAGCGCGGATCGCCGGTATACGCCTCGGTGATCCCGAGACTTCCAGCTAGCCCCATCAACAGTAAATTGCAAGTTCCGGCCGTTCAGTGCGCAATTCGACGGCGACATCGCGCCCATGTACCCGGTTCTCGTCCTTCTGCGATGCTTAAACTATAAAACTAGCAGCGTATATCACATGTGCTATACTGTAAGACGGCTGAGTCGTGACATGCATGACTTCTGCTTAGGATAACTTATTGTTTGCCGCATGATCCTGCGAGCGACATAAATATGAAGATCATCACAGCTTGAAGAATGCGTACGGCGCTCTGTATTGGTCTAAGCTGTGGTAAAGGGGATGCGTCGTTTGTTCGCTAATTCATTCTTCACTCCGTTCTCGTTGTATAACAGTGCATCACATTGCATACCATGTTGTCGGGGCAGGAGATGTGTAATGGAATCCATTCAACCATCTAACAGTAGCAACGCCGGCTCCTTATCCGCATTCCCGTCTCTTGCGCAGGCAGACATTAGCCTTGGGGTCCGCGATACAATTCACCGCCAAGTAAGAGTTCGGTGGTCGGATGTGAGACTCGTTCTCGAGTTGCACGTCGTAATACATGACGATATGAGCAAGTATCATCTTCAGCTCGTTTGCTGCGAAGAAACGACCGGGGCTGTATCACTGTTTAGCTTTGTGGTACCATAGATTATACCAAGAGATTTACCACGCATGTTTGCCGTGTCCGAAGGTTAGGAACTGCGCAGGCGAAAAGACGGGTTAGCTTGATCGGTGATGGACTGCGCACACGCTTGGCATACCTCCGGGGATGTATTAACAAATTGATGCTTTGCGCTTTCGCTGCCTTCTCTCATATCAGAAAAGCGCCATGGTTTGAAGGTGAGAGGATCCTCGTAAATCACTGAATCTTCATGCGTAGCAGTCGTGGGTGCGGCTAGCGATGTTCCTTTGGGTATAAAGGTGCCGTCGGAGAACGTGTAGTCTTTCAGCGTCATGCGCAGCAAACTGACTAATGATTAATGATACGTCACAAGCGTTAGAAGTGTTACTGTCAGGACTAGTTTGATACTTACTTCCGCTCAATGCATTGACCCGACTTGACTCTATTCACAATACACCCCTGAGCTAACATCGAGGCGGTTTCCGTCCTCACAGCCCTTACCTTTGATGAAACTGTCTATCTTGTGCATCTTGGTCATGGCGACCTGAACATGAAGGTTCAATATGTGCGCCCTATCTCTTCTTGCTCATATGACATCATCTTAGTCCATCCCTGTTCGGCTATCACGCGCTCAACCTCCTCGCGAAGAGGTTGCAGCCATAGCTCCGGATTCGTGGCCAGATTGTAGATGACATGCGTCATGATCTGATAGCACAAAACGTCAGTAAATTATCGTCAGGCGCTGAGTACGGTGCTTACAAGAGTAGAGGTGTGGATAGCTGAACCAATTCGAGGTCAGCTTAAGATTATTACATCCAAAACAGGAGGTCAAAACCTCCGAAGTTCAGGTGCAGAATCCTTCGGGCCATGTCGTCGAGGCTGCGAGGTGGTCCCTCGGCCCCGTCCATCATCCACGTCAGAAAATCGTTCTGTATGACCGGCGTGAATACATATTAAACCCCGTAGGAGCACGGAATTTCACAGGTTTGTCAGGGTAGTCGATTCCGTGTTGTTCATACTGGCGTTGACGCTCCTCTACAAGAGGTTGTAGATAAACTGAAGCCTCTCTCGCGGTGATGTCCACATTGAGTAACAAAGGGGCAAGCAACCTTCGTTACCTCCATCAGACCTTGTCCCTATATCGAACACGTGAGATAAGCAATGCACGTACGGCTTCAGCGGGCGGGGTATCAGCAACGAGCGGTCCGAAGCAACCTGATTCCCCATTGCCAAACGCATGTTCAAGTTTTGCCATCCGATGTCCCTACCTATATCGATTATCAGCAAAAGGATGACAAAAAATCAAGTCGCAACCTACACAGAGGTTGTCCGACAAAAATTATGTTGCTGGTGCGGCACTGCGTAACATATCAGAATGTTGTTGAAAAGCAGAGTGAGGATCAGGATGCTCACTACAACCGTCCTCATGGCGTCCATGGCAGGAAACACGACCCATTCTGAGCAGATGATTAATCAAGGTCTGGGCGAAGCACTGCAAGCGAGCTTACCGTCATCTTTCTCTGGGACCAATTCCTTGAAGGCGACCAGAACTTCTTCGCGAACGTCGTCGAACAACGACCCAAGATTCTTGGTCAGCTTGGACGGAATCTGTGTTTGATCATTCAGACATCCACTGGCATCGCCCCCATTTACTCGCCCGGCTCACTCACAAGGTGAAGGTGGTACGGGTTATCGATGAGATCGCTGCCGAAGATGAATTTTTGGGCGAAGTACTGTCGGTTTTTCAGTGTCATTCCAGACAATTTGTGGATTTCAAAACGCACGTCGTTAACGAAATCCGTGAAGGACATCGTATCGTCCGGCAGCCGGCGCATTTCTTCCGCCATGGGACCGCTGACCACCACCAACCACCTATCCCAAAGTGCGACCTTGTAAAAGCCACCCTTGTGCTGTCGCGCAGACCGCGGAGGAACGCAATGACAGGCTGTGGTCAAATGCGCGAGACCGGGAACACTCAGTACTCACCTTCGCATATCCTTCGGCGAGGACATCCTTCCCTCTTCCAAAGAAGCGAACCGCGTCAATATAGGACAGAAGCAGATTGTTGTAGCCTATCGTCGGTATCGGCGCCAGCTATGAATCAAAAAAGGACATCCGCTCAGCATCTCCTTCCAGGCGACACGCAGAGTGTCACATGCCCGAACGCAGCGCTCACACCGGAGAAGGTACGGAATGCGAGCCTGTAGATTATAAAAGCCACGGTCGCGCTGCCAGCAACTAGCACGAAGATGTTACCCATGACAGTGTCTTGACAATATCTTAACATGGAGCGAGCAATGGGGAAAAGCAAGCTTGCCAAACGTCGGTGATTTCGAAGTCTCTTATAGCATCGAGGAAGTGTCCGCAATAGTCTATCGTGAAGCGCCTTTTGCCACCGGCCTGCACTGGCGGTGTGAATCGGTGCGGTACCGGAGTTGGTCCTGTCACCCGCTAAGGAGCCGGTAGAGAGCGAGCCCTCCATTGAGAGCCCGGCATCCGAGGAAGATCACGTTCGTCCATAGTACGATTGTAGACGAGCTCCGTATGGCAGATTATGCGGTGTCGTTCGAGTTGCACGAGAAAAATGGAAGGCTGAAATGATTTCGATGCCAGGTCCGTCGACCAGTTACCTACGCATGTGTGCATGTCTGACCAGTATCATGTGCAGCACCTAGCATGAGTCGTCCGTGAGGCGCGGACACGAAGAAGCATCAGAACGCTGAGCATGATTCCGGCGTAGGAAAAGCGGATATACTTGTGCTGCAAAGTGGGTCGGCATCCGTACTGATTCTTCGATTACCATTTCGCGCGGACAGATGTGATGGCTATGCCAATTCGACGATGACTATGCCTTCGTTCATCCGATCTTCTCGCAGACCTTGCCAAGACACCATCACTGAAGACGGCATTCAACGTTTAATGGCGCCGGCGCCGTAGGGTCATGTGCGATATCCATAACCTTTGGATAAAATAACGCACTGAGTCGAGCTATATTGTAGTGAAAAGGGATTGAGCAGCATAATCTAGAACAGGAACGTCTGTGCAACGTGAGCTTGTGAGGGGTGATACAAAGCCTCGAAAAACGCACTTTGATGGAATCGTGGCTTTTACAGCGGCGCAGAAAGCGAGTCAAATCGTGGATGTGTACGCGTGTACGCGTCATAACATCGGACCTCGCACCGGCATCGCAATCCAAAAAGAATCGAGTAAGCAGAGGAACCCATGGTATCCTGGTGATTCAGAGAAGACGTCGTCTAAACACGGGCATGATGCTGGCACATCAGCGAGACAGCGCTTTCAAACGAGCCTCAGCCGCCCTTGCCCTCCGTTCCCTCTCGACCTTTGCCCTCATCTCAGGCGTCAGGCCCGCAACACTCTCCGACCCGCCACCGACGCCCCCAAGCCTCCGCGGGCCCTCCAGCGTCTGCACTTTCGTCTTCGCTGCCACCTCTACCTTGGGCGGCGCAACCGGCTCCTCCGTTCCACTTGCCCCTTCCTTCGCCTGCCTCTCCCGGATCTTGTCCTTCAGACCCTTGCGCCGCGCCTTCTTCTTCTCGCCCCGCTCGTCCTCCATCTCCTTCGTCAGCGCGCTCTGGACGTGTCCGGCCCCGTGCCAGTCCCACCAGTCCGAGTGCGCAGCGGCACAGCGTCGAAAGACGTTCCGAACCCCGCGGGTGCGTGCAAGATCATACGCGGTACGGGCTGCCCCAGCTGGTCGCGACGGCGGGGCATCGGACGCGTCGGATAGCACGCCCTCTTCGTCTATCGTCTGCATCGATGAGGAGGGCACTGGGACAGTCGGGTCCGCCTTCGCGTCCTCGAGCAGCCAGCGCGTAACATCTTCCTGCCCGGCGTGCGCAGCGACCTGCAGTAGCGTCCGGCCCCTCTCTCCGGCCTCTTGCGCGATCCAGTCCGGCATGAGGGCGTTCACCCCGTTCTGGCCCAGGTTGCCGCTGCCACGTTCGAGGAATGCCTTGAGCGGGTCAAGCCTGCCTTTGCGTATCATCTCCACGGCACGTAGCCACCTGTCCTTGAGGGCCTCTTCCTCCGCGGTACGTTTCGGCGCTGAGATGACCGGGATGGCTGCCTTTTCCGGTGCAGTGGCTGGCACGGGTTTGGGTTTGGGAGCGATAGAGGCGAGATAAGCTTCGTCTTGAGCGCGAAGTATGTCTTCGGTAAGGTGAGAGACTTTGACCCGGGTGAGTTCGAGGAGACAGCGAGAGATCTCTGCTTGTGTCTGCGTGTCACGGATTAGCGGTCTTTTAGTGAGATATGGATGGAAGCTTGGTGGCACGCACTGGTCGACGCGTGGGGAAGGGGAAAGTTCGTAAACGATCGTCGCCTTGTTTCATCAGACATCAGGATAAGCATATGAGCTTCTCCTTCGCAGATGGAGAGAGCGCACCTTTGGCAATGGGAGAACCCTCGAAGTCGACGAATATGCGGCGGTTGGAGGTGCTGGCACGTATCCATATGCGCTCACACGCGTCAATGTCTTCTGCCCATTCTAGCAGCAGGGCTCGAATGTCCTATCATCAGGATCTTGTTCAGGGAGATCGCGTCGAGAATGCAAGGCAACGGAACACATACGTCAGCCAGTGCCTGCTCGCCGTAACGGCGTAACTGCGCGCCGGCACTTTTCGCGTTTCCTTTCGCTTGATCGTTCAAGGATTGCGATCCACCCTGCTTTCGACGCGCTGAATTGATGCTTCATCAGCCACATGCCACGAGCCGATGGAGTCGGTAAACGCACTGGTATAACGGTGAAAGGTCTTGTGCTTCAGTATTTCCACCTCAGGTTTCGGCTTCTTGACCTTGATTTTCTTCTTCCGTCTGCCTCCACCATCTTCTGCGTCCGCTCCTTGTCTCTCCCCTTCCTCCACTGCGTCCGGGTCCTCGTCCGGATGACTGACTCTGACGATCGACCCCGCGAAATGGCCGCCGGCTGTCATGAACATGGCCCACGTCCGTCCGTGTTCGCCGTGATTGCGTTGCATCGCCTTCAGCTCGTCCAAGTACGATTCCGGAGGAGCGCGAAGTGGGAAGAGCCTCTTGTATATCCCGAGTTGGGTTTGGGGCGGGGAATGGAACCATACGAGTGCGGTTTGGGGGATGTTGGGGCGGGGAGCAGACGGGGAAGATGATCGTCGCGTTCTGTGTCTAGACATGAGGGTGTCCACGGCGTCCGAGTCCGACCCTCCATCTTCCGATGACGAGGATGCGCTTCCGGAGATGGAGTCGTCGAGACCTTGAACCTCGAAAGTCAGAAACGAGAACCCGCGTCGGGATGTAATCGCGATCGGTGCACATTACCATCGACCAACGCCCCAAAGTCTTCCTCCGCCACGGCCTGCTGCCCGTTCAGGCGCATCTTCACGTTGTACCGGTGCCAGTCGCTGCGGAAGTGCGCGCGTTGCTCATCGAGATCGGCGAAGGCGGCGCCGAGGCAGATGTTGCATGTTTTGCTACCGATTCCTGGGGCCGCTCCGGTGGCGTCGTCGACTTGAGCGGTGGATGGTGGTGCTTTGGCGGGTGGCGATGGCGCACGCTCAGGATCTTGCCAGAGATGTCGGGGTGTGAGGGTCTCAAGGATCTCCTTCGGCAACGAGTAAACGTGATAGTATTCTTGAGGCATTACGAGAGCGAATAACGAGACGTGTGTAAGAGTAAGAGATGACTTCTGTATACTTATGCAGGCGTAGGTTGCGATGGTGGTGGCGGTGGTTAGTCAGAGCTCGCTGAGCAGACTCATTCAAAGTTTGTATTCGACTATGACTCGCTTCCGCGATCTGGCTCCGAAACGAGATTACGTCGAAGGCAAGAGTAACGAGTCAGCCGATGCTTATATGAGATCGCTGAAGGATGATGTAAGTATGACCGTGTCACTACGAGAAATGCAAGATCAATATATTTTCATGTGCAGCACAAACACCACTGATCAACATCGAGCAAGGTGGTGGTGGTGGTGGTGGTGGTGGTGGATTACGAGGCCCACATACCCCAAGGTTTTACGGCCCCAGTGGGCATGTAGCCGACGCGCTAGGGTCTACCACGGTATGCGTGAACCCGGGTGAACCGCAGGTATGTACCTGCGGTTTACGCACGGGTCGGATACAGCGGGTACGGGTAGACTTGTAGCACGGGTCGCGGGTAGGTACAATCTCGTGGCTCGAATTTTCTGCTCTACCCGGGTACGACCCGGGTATGGTGGCGCGAATCTGTGACGCAAAAGTGACCGAGTGACCGATCTATCGTGCGCAGCCCGTGCGCATCACCTCCAGCCAGCACGCTAGCGACAACCTCACTCAGGGACGGTCGAGTTTCGATTCCTCGCGATTAGCACTGTAGAGGTGCGAAGCCGGTGGGCTGGGCGACGCGATAATTGATATGCGCGAGTCCTCGAGGCTAAACAGTGGCTGCCGGGTGAGTGAAGTGTGGAAGCGTTGGGAGGCGCGCGAAGCGCGCGATGAGGATTAGAGTCGATGAGGCGGTCGGTGTCGGTGGTCGGTAGTCGATAGTCGCTGTCGGTAGTCGCTGTCGGTAGTCGCTGTATTGCTCGTAGATGAAAGGGGAACAAGGTATATATCGTCCAGACGTTGGGTGAGCCGGATGCTGTCGCTAGGGTACATGGATATCGAGGATTTATACGTGCATTCATTCGTACGCGACCATCACTCCTATCTTTCCCCCCTGCTGATCCCTCGTCCCTCGTCCCTGGCCGTATCGAGCCCATCGCCCGCGCATGCGGTTGTCGTCGAGATCGAGCGGCCGGTAACCGCG